TTTTTTTTTTTTTTTTTTTTTTTTTTTTTTTTTTTTTTTTTTTTGTTTTTTTTTTTTTTTTTTTTTTTTTTATTTTTTTTTTTATTTTTTTTATTTTATTTTATTTCTCTCACTTTTGTTTCAATATAGAATGGATCAGCGCGACTTGCCGGTATGCATGTGGCCCCCGTATAAGATAAGTATAGGAATTTGTCCGAGTCGTGGGCCGAAGGATCCCTTACTGATTCTAGGTTGTACTTACCCTTTTACTAGTTACTATTTGCGATTAATATCATTGAATGGCGTTCTGGTCCAGAGAGAGGAAAATAAATCATGATATAGTATCCAGCTAGGGCCCAAATTTAATCTGCGCAGGACAGGTAGTCCCACATGAGATGTCGCCTAACAGGGAGGTTTGGATCCTCACACACAGACATTCAAATTAATCAAAAACGGGAAGTTGCCTGTCGACCAGACAAGAACTGGAAATGAAAGCCCGAGTTGTTTGGTAGGCGGACCGGACCAAAAAACCCACAATTTGTCCCTTTCCCATCGTGCATTGATTGAAACATTGAAAACAAGGTTATTTTCAACTGCCGTTCCGAAGATTCTCCCTCCATAGCGGCAGAGCCATGCCCGCGTCTCACCAGTCACCCATAGTCTGGTCCGGGTCTCCAGTTTCTTGATCCCCTAGCTTGTGTTCTTTTTGGGTCCTGGAGATACACGGGATCTGGGAACCGTTTTTACTCTTTCCCCTCCATCTTTAGTCTCTACCATACTTGCTACTGTATCGGTTCTATCCTGCGGGGCGTTCGTTAAAGAAACTTTAGTTAATTAAGGAAAATAATAAGAATAATAATCCACCGAGGTAATTTTGCTGTTCTTTTCCCTTTTATCGCTCACAGGTGGAAAGAGTGGGAATGGGAGCTCAATTCGGCTCTGATGGAGCATCCCATGGAGACTACTATCAAACCGTTGCATGATCCATAACACTTCTGACGATAAAGTCGGTCTGTGAAGCACACGATGACGATTCTTGTCTTTCCCTTACTCTTGGCAGTGACTCCTGCGGTCGAATTCGACTGTGACACTGGTGCCCCTGCTGATCATCAGGGAAGTAAAAAAAAAAGAAAGGAAAGAAAAGAAAGGAAAATAAAATCCTTCGAAGCTTTCTAGAAATTGACAAGTATGGCATTGTGGCGTGCAGGTTCGTTTCAGGATGAAGAAAATCCCTGAATAACGCTTTGTATGCAAGTCATGAAAAGGGTAGAGAGATGTGGATTAGAGATCGTCTTTGTTGGAAGGTTAGTCGTAGTCAGAAGTACATTCCATACTTACCTCGATTTGGCCATATATAAAGAAAGGGACCCGTCAATGATAGGGAAGTCTGGGCGTCGACCGTTACTGCTAAGATAGTGCGTGTGGATTGACAAGAACCCGAGGAGAGAATCGAACTAAAACTGAACCCTTTTTTCCCCATGATCATCCGAAGGAATTTATTTGATGGATCTGTCTAATTTGAAGAGAACTACTATTAGTTGATTTTTGTTGGAAAAAAAAGGTGTTATCATTTAATTTTTTTTTTTTCCTATTGGAAATTATTTTAATATTCTTTGCATTTTTGCTGGACTGGAATTTTTCTTTTTTCCTTTTTCGTTTTCCTTTTTATTTTCAATCAATCTACTTTATACTTCTTTCCTTTTCTCATCGGGTGATTTCCTTCTCTCTCACGTTCTTACTTACTTCCCTTTCCATTCCCGTTCGCTTTTGGGGTCGTCGACTCTTTGGTTTTCTTTTTGGGTTTCTTTCTCATATTCTCGAGCTATCTTTTGATCTTTTGAATTTCAATTATTTTGGGAATTGATTGCCTGGGTCTCTCTCTTTCTCCCTCACTTAGCACCGCCCCTCCATTTAGTACACGTCTTACAGGGGAGGCTGTTTTTTTTGTGTACGAGTGCAGATACTTGAACGTCAGAACACTTGGCCCCCGATATCCCTCGGCCCTGAGTAGCAAATCACCTCTCGCAGGGCTCTCTTGGATTTGCCGCGAATACGCTATCACTGCCAGGGTCCATTCCTTTCCCTCTAGTGGCAGTGTTATTTTCTCAACCTTCCTCTGAACGGTTAAGGTGCGTATGGATTCCTAAGGGTTCACGGTGGGCTACTGTCGACGCCGGAAGAGGACTTTTGGTACAACAAAAATTCCAAAAGAAAATGAGAATAAAAAAAAGGACAAAGAAGAGCAGCCCACTTCGTTGTTACTTTAGTCTTTCATTCGCCTATTGTCCTACGCGGCCGCGGACACCATTTGTCCTCGACAAACGCCCTTTCCCTTTATCCTTACTCACTAAGCTTGTTTCCCTGCCGTTCTGACATTACTAGTTCCTGCAGTCCGACAACGCTATCCCTATATCATTTGGGTCCAGAAGACTTTGTCTTGACCCTTACTACTCTCCACCGTATCGGGGCATCTCCCAGTGCCGCCTCGATTTGGACCCAACAACTAACCCCCCCTCCTCTCCTCCAGCGGGACTAACTGTTGGGTGTCCGGGACATTCAGCTGGAATTTTGCAGCTTCCCGGGACTGGGGAGAGTGTCCTAAAAACCTAGAGTATCAGACTCGTTTGCGCAATGACAGTGGCGTGCTAGATTGAATACGCCCTGACTGCTGCCTTCCCCGTTGTGTCTCCATCCTCCGGGAGTGTATGGAAGCGTTCAAGTGAGCCCGTGTGGCGCGAAGTCGTTCTTTTTTGTTGCAGAAAGCTGGTCACAGATCATCCAATTCTGGTAGTCATTCTCTTTTCACTCGGCGTCCGCCACCTCCGCATTCGGTATATCCAATTCAGTTCCCTTGATAGAGGGTATTTGTCACCAGTACGAGGCTCGAATAGAGCCTGATTCTATCTGCCCTTTCAATCCAAAGAGGGCTTAAATACGGCTTTCATCTATCATTTTTAATTTTATTTCATGACATTTATCTTACTACGATACCCTTGAAATTTTATTAACGCCAAAAGCATCGCAGAGTCAATAGGAGGTGGGTGGTTGCATTTCGACCTGTCCGCTCACTTGATTTACCGTTATCATACCCCCTTTGGTAAACAATGTTAATCATTTGTCCTGTTCTCTTCGCCAGATTTCCCCCCCCCTATTGCTTGGTACCTCAAGACGTTGGATTTCGTTTGGCTTGCTAGCAGTCACTTGGATACCGACTTGAAAGCTGTTGCTGTTGGGTATAGGATCTTAGGCACCTGCGCAGAACCGATTCGCGTTTACACCCAATGTCAACCATGTCGAATCACTATGTGGGACAGTTCGGTCGTATGCTACCTGCCATCGATGGCCAGTCGAGTCGTCGAGAGTCCAACCCGCCAGCTAACCCGCCAGTCCCCGGATCTCACCCATACCAACTTCCACCACCGCGTGCTTCGGCACCTTTGCAGTTAGGAACTGATCCCTTCTTGCACCAGCGAAATCAGGGAGAGGCCGATTCTGGAGGGGCACTTTCGAGGCCTTCTCCAGGCCATCAGCAGACCCCAAGCAAGCAGCTCCCATCCGTTAGCCAGTTGTTGACCCCCACTGTGCATGAAAGCCGACCACCATCACCCTATCATTCCCATGCATTTAACTATACGCCTCATAATGGAGCGACAGATCCCACGAATCGGTACCGCCCTAAGGAGACAGGCCCTGCCTTCGCGACACCCCGGAGTGACATCTCCGAGAGTGCCAAATTCCATCCAAATCCCAGTCCACAGCTGCAGTCGGGGCCCTTGCCCCGCCTCGCTCATATGTCACCCCATGGCTTAGGGCATGAGCCTCACTTTAGCTCTGGGAGCCAGGGCAGCCCTTCTGTTCCACCTTTCGCACCCCCCGCTTATTCCCCCCAGGGCTTCAGATCCCATGACCGGGACCCAGATATGGCTGGCTCAGAGACCTCGGATTCTGGCAGTGCGACAGCAAACAAATCCCAGTCCAATGTCCGACCTCATGTCATCGATGAAAAGTATATCGATGGAGAGGGTTTGTGCTATATATACGCCGACGGCTCCCATTGTCCGAAGATCATCGATGGTGTGCCGGTGAACGCTAATTGGGGGATCACTAAGGCTGGAAAGCCGAGAAAGCGGTTGGCACAGGCATGTCTAACCTGCAGGGAAAAGAAAATCAAATGCCAACCAAACCTTCCTAAATGCGATCAGTGCCAGAAATCCGGACGAGAGTGTAGGTTTGAGAGCGCGTAAGTACCGAAGATCTAGTCAAATTTAATGCACATGTGTCTGATATTTGCGTTTACTAGGCCTCGCGGTCACCGTGCAGCACTGAAGGCTTCGCAGCTGCTAAACCGATACGAAATAAGAGATGGTTTCACTCCGGGCCACAGCTATCCGGGATCTTCTAGTTCGTTTTACTCGATGGTTCGGGCATCGGAGAGTTCAACCTCCCTTCCGGGAACCAGCTCACAATCGCCGGTATCTGAAGGCGCCGTGCTTACACCTTCTGCCATGGAGGGTGTTCAGGACAGTACGCCGGAGGCTGAACATCAACGCAGACTGCGAGTACAGAGCTTGAGCCGGGTCTCTGTGGGGGCTGAGGAGTTTAGCAAACGTCCTGCGGCCCATGTGGCACCAGACTACAACGAGATATTGATGGAAATGAAAGATTTGGATCCTCAAGATCCCATCGCATGCGACTGGAGCATCGATCCGTACGAAGCCGATCCCGAACTGACAATTCATTACGTTGAAACCTATTTCAACTACATCAATGATCGCTTGTATTACATGCTTCCCCGGAAACGTTTCCTTCTGTGGTTGAGGTCATGTCATACGAAATCATTGGACGATAATATGCTTCTTTACTCGATGATGGCGTTGGGTGCGGTATTCTCGGATCGTCCAGATCGAGTGATGGCACTTAAAAGGTATTCGCGCACTGCCCGATATGCGGTAGAGCGCAGCCAACATAGCCTCACGTTACAACTTGCGCAAAGCCGTATTATTATGAGTCTCTGGTTTTACGCTATTGGTGCACTCGTGAAGTCGTGGGACGCCGCAGGTGCGGCTGTCCGAACCGTGTGCGGGTTACGATATAACGTCGAGTCAGGTGGAGTTATCGTAGACCAAAACCAACAAACTTGTGAATACGGTCTACACCCGCAAGCGTTAATTGAATGCCGCCGGAGGACGTTTTGGATTGCGTTTATGATGGATGTAGGTTCCCCAGAATACCCTGGTATTCCTCAGTTGGTTTCATCTCTGAACTTGCGCTGACCACTTGCCTACTAGCGTCTGTCCTCCTTTTATACACCCTCCTCGACCTTTATTTCCTCCCAATCCGCCTACCTTAGACTCCCTTGCCGAGAAGAGGTCTACGAAGCCCAACAGTATACCACCGTACCTTATTTCCAAAACTTCTTGAATCAGACACCGGTGTCGCCAGAGGATGAGCTCTCTGGTATAAGTGCCATGGCGCTTTTGATAGATGTTATGGCCATCTGGGGAGATGTCTCGGATCATGTATTCCGATTATCATTGATACCCGCGGATGCATATCGCAAGCTCTTCGAAGAATTCCATTCCTCCATCGTCCGACGGTCAGATGAGTTGATCTCGAGACTTCCTGATCATCTCACCTTCACGGCAGTAAATATGGAGCGAAGCATTCGGACAAAGAAGGCAGACACATTTGTGGAGATTCACTTGCTATACCATGCCACGTTGATGAAGCTCAATCGACATGCTCGCCATCGTAGCCTGCCCGAAGCAACAATCGATTGGCACGTACATACAACTCGAAATCATGCGGCCGAGATTCTTCGGATATCTCTTACTCTCATGCGCTACGCAGCCGAGTATGAACCATCACGCCTTGTCATGGAGCCGACCATGGCCAAAGGCACAATTCTTAGTCCTTACCTGGGCTACGCGATAGTCTCTGCCGTCGACGTCCTCAGTGCGGGTGGACTGATTGTTGACATCCCTGAGACCATTACTCTCATTCGGGGTGGCCTTGAAGCACTGAAGGAGCTGAGCCGTTTCTGGGCTGGATCTGTGCCCTTAGTGTCATTGGTCGAAACACGACTTGACGCCATGCTGGAGCATCGCCATCACCCGATGATGTCGGAAGGCAAGGTTGCTTTCATGGTGACCGGACCGTCTCTGGATAGTCAGATCCGCAACGGTACCCAAAAACAAGAACCACCATCCAACGAAGATCTCATGTACGGTGGTCTACCCCGTGAACGATTCTTTGCCGCCGTGGGCGCCGGAAATGTTCCATTTTTGGAAGAAAATATTCTCTGGATCCGAGACACCAGTTGAATAAGAAGCATTGCATTGCAGCGTTCCGTTCTCATTTGGTGTTGGTGGTCTGCTACCATTTCTACCCCTTGTCCTTTCCCTCGCTTGTTCTCTGAATCCTTGCATGGCGCGGTTTATCAAAATGGGCTATAATTAATTTATTACCGTATACCCTGGAGGCTGGTCTTTCTTCTTCTGTCTACCCTTGAGCCCTTGCGCTGTTTGAATTTCCTGTTCGATTTAATTGAAGGGCTGAGTATGCCTTGTTGAATTAGATGGGGATCCGTTGTGTGGTCCTCAATGACATGACTGATACGCTGGATGCATTGACATGGACATGTATATTAGCGAGACATGGTTGATCTGAGCATGTTTTGAATTGAATTTTGTCAAAAATATTGACCCATGAATCGAATTTCATCATGCTATGAAATATCTATATAAGTGTCGCATCTATATGAAGACAAAGGACCCAAAACAAAACGGAAGAACACAAACGTTGTACCTTAAAACTTCGCACCATACCGAATCCGTCAAGGTACACGGGACCAACGGGGCTCCACAGCCGAACCCCCGACACTTTTTCTCCCGCGACGTCATCCCAAATAACAGCTAAGCCTATCCCCGCAAAAAAAGAAAGAAAAAAATAGCCAAAAATTCCCTGGCGCATCACCCACCTACTAAGAGCAATTCGTAAAATCAATCATCGCAAGAAGATGCCTCGTCGCCACTTCCACAATTAATTCTCGAACTGATCGCGCCCCCGGAGAACCAACAACAAGGGACACGATGGAAGCGTCCTACTCATCCGAGTCCTCGGATTGGGTCCATGCTGAAGCAACAACATCCCAGCAATGGAACCCCGGCTCCGAATACCCAGATAATAATACCACGGATCGCAATCAGGCAAATGGCCCGGACCCAGACTACTCAGCTCTATTATCCTACCCCGAAGAAACAGATTACTATGCCCTCCTGGGATTATCCCGGACACCGCCGCCCAGCGACGCAGAGATCCGCTCCGCGTACAGGAATCTGACGCTGAGTTTCCACCCGGACAAACAGCCCGGCGAGTGGCAGGAGATCGCGAGACGGCATTTCGAGCGCATCCGCGAGGCGTACGACACGCTGATTGATCATCGCAAGAGGACCGTGTATGACCTCCTGGGCGCCGAGGGCGTCCGGGCGGAATGGGGCCCCGGCGGGAGTATGGGGATGGGCGGGGAGGCGGAGCGGGAACGCAGACTGGGTGTCAAGGCTAAGTCGCCCGAGGAGTTCCGGAGGTGGTTTTTGGACGCGATGAAGCGCAGGGAGAGGAAGGCCATTAATTCCATGGTGCAGAGTCGGGTATGTTATCTTTCTTCTCTCCTGTCGGTGGTTTGTTTGGCGGAAGGCGTGTCTTTTGGGTGTGGTTGCTGACGTGGTGGGTTCTCTTTCTTTTTTTTCTCGTCCCGTAGGGTTCCATTGTCTTGGGTATCGATGCTTCCGATATGATTTCTGTGGATGAGGGTGAGGGCGAAGTCTATTTTAGTGTGCCTTCGGCTACGCCGTCGAAGTTTAATGTGGGGTATTCCTTTAAGGCGCCTTTGCCCACACCGAGGAAGCTGTTGGGGAAGTTGGAGAGGGATGAGCCTGTGGAGGAGGGTGCTGAGCAACAGGGGCCGGAGGATGAGGCCGGTGATGAGCCGGAAATGGTCATTAATGCTGGAATTTCGGGTGAGATGCGCCACCTGACTCAGAAACTTTCAATCGAGCATCTGGATGGAACTACGGAAATACGTAAGGTAAGAGAGATGTTGTTGTTGATGTGGATAGATGGGATTGTGGCTGACGGTGTTGCGCAGGTTCCGTTGCCGCCCATTATAGCCTCGCAGGAGATCACGCTTGGAGCCACTGTTAATCATGTGTTTGGTGATGTTGCAAGCCAGAAGGGGATCCTTAGCAAGCGGCCGTTCTCGTTCCTCAGATATTCTGCTGTCTCTGTTGGTGCCATGGTCTTGCCTGTTCCGTCAGTGCAGGCGAACATGGTGAAGGCTTTTACGCCTGTTGCCGGGACGAATCCTTTTAACGTCAACTTCAGCAGCACGTTCTACAAGTCGCCTGTGAAATGCCCGCCAGCAATGGCCGTTCAGGTCATGAAAGAGGTGGGTGAAAGGAAGCACGCTTTCTTTAGATGGCAAAGCGGTACTATCAGCTGGCCAGGCGCCGTAGAGCGCTTGCTTAGCCCCTTTCTTGACATAGGTCTGGATGTCGACTCTGCGTTCACCATTCCCAAACAGACTAGCCAGTTCCAGGTTGGTTTGCTAGCTCTCCCAAAATCTCAAAAGCAGGCTGCTTTTATGGATGACTATGATGAAGAATCGGAGGACGGGGAAGAGGAGAGCGAGTACCAGCAGCTTCGGTCCAAGCAGCGCGCGGAAGACAAGGTGGGTGAAGCGTGGCAAATAGGCTTTTCTGTTTCTCCTGAAGCAAGTGGCTTACAGCTGAGCTATGGACGTAATCTCTTTTCTGGAACGGCCGCCAATGACCCCTTGCGCTCTGAATGGAGTTCTGAAGGTCATTATGCTTTGCCACCGGCAAATGAACCACGCTCCGTGCGGGTTGAAGTGACCAGTACTGTCAACATGGATTTGTCGCTATCATGGAAAGTTGAAGGGTCGCGGCAGGTTGGTGAACTGACTCGCATGGGACTCGGTATTGGAGTTGAAGGCCCCCATGGTCTTGTCATGACGGTCTTGTGGAGTAGACTTGGCCAAAGAATCAAACTTCCTATCGCCGTCTGTCCCATTGACGTGGTTAATGCGGACGCTGCCGCGCTTGCTGTCATATTTCCATGGCTGGCATACTGTGCGTGGGAATTTGGGTTCATCCGGCCAAGAGAAAGGAAGAACCGTCGACGTGTGATAGCTCGACGACAGAAGGAGCTGAAGAAATTGGTGCCAATAAAGAGAGCAGAAAGCCTGCAGGCGACTGAAATCATGACTGAGCAGGTACGGCGGAGACAAGCGAAGGAGGAGAGACAGGACGGTCTAGTCATTACCAAGGCTGAGTATGGCCATTTTCCTTCAAAGAAAAAGGGCAACGACACTGGCAAGGAATATGAGGTGGTAGATGTCACCATCCCCGTGGCCGGTTTGGTGGACCGTAGCCAGCTGGTGATTCCCAAGAACATGGTCAAGGTGAGTTGATTATCAGCCTGCAGTCTCATGGGGATGCAATTAGCTAATAATGCACAGTTCCATATCCTTGGCTTTTATGACCCGGCCCCTCTTCTGCCGAAGACCCTGAGGATTTGGTATACATACCACGGGGCGCAGCATTATGTAGAAGCCACGGACTCTGAGGCCATTGCTTGCCCCATGCGCACTCATTTGATGCCAGATGAAAACTGACCAGCATCTGGTGAAAGCATGACATCTGTATTAATATGTTAATGACTGTGGTGCTGTTGGCAGTGTTGTTGTTTTGGACATCGCCACTCTTGGACCGCACAACTTTGCATTTTGTCTCTTGCATGTTTGGTGTACTGATGGATAGACTTATTATTCTGTGTTCTTGGAGTCTGAACTGTCATAAACCACTACTAGTATACATACTAATTGGAATACTTAAACAGTGGAATGTAGTTTGTCTTCAGGAGATGAAGGTGCGGTGAGTTGTTGGGATTTCCAGTGAAGTAGGGGAGGCATCCGATAGGTAACGGACTTTGGTGTCTGCCTGTCATGTCAACAATCCCACTGAAGTCCCGCCATTTGTTTGCCGGTGTTACTCTCTCAGATTCCCTTAACACCCGTCATATATTCCCTGAACGTGTTTATCCATCTTTGCGATCTTTTCACTTTACACCTCCATTCTGTCACATCCTTTCACACCCTTAACCGCGTAACCACACCTCCTTCCCCAACTAACCCTACATAAACATGACTGCAAGCCGTGATGACAGTGCCAAAGATGGCAGCCCTTTTGCTGCGATCAATACGCCAGTTACTTTTGCCAATGCCAAATACCGATCTACTGGCCCGGCGCTGCAGCTAGAAGAGCATACTGCAACTGCGGCTGTGACTCCCACTACTCCTACTTCTACTGCTTTCACTGCTTCTACTAGACCTGCTGCTACTTTTCCGGCTGCAACCAGCGCAACTCATGCTCATGCTAGCTATGGGTGCTGCCCTGGACCTCAGTTTCACGCGAGCTGCTACGGCACTGGACCATACGTTGGCGTTATCCCAACTCCCGCCTGCCAAAAGGTAAGCTAAAATAGGCATGACGCCATATCCTAACTAACAAACTATGCCTGTAGGCTCCAGGATTCCCTGGCCGTTGTGTCTGCTACTCTGGAGATATGTCTGACCCTGTTACACCTGAGCCTTATCAGCTCGAGGTTTTTGAACTAAAGAAGTCGATGGGGGTTTCTGCTGGTATCATCGACCCTATTTCCCAGTTTCCATTTGGTATCTAAATAAAAGTGGAGAATAAGTACAACGTACTAACTTATCGCTCACAGCGCCTGGCTCCGCAAAGCTGATGTACCAGGTCCCATATCTTGTTGAGGAAGACTGCAAGTTCTGGTTCCACGCGCCCAGTGGTGATTATATGCACCTCACTGTCAAGCAAATTGCTGAGAAGCAGTGTGCCGGCCACTGGGCGAACACTTGTACTGGCCAGCCTTACTACCAGTGTACGCCTAGGGACAGGATCCGATATCACGCTCAGGATTTCAATGCAGTCTTTCAGAGAAGTGGGCTCAGCCACATCGAGTTCCACAAGCGCTACCAGCCTTTTTGACCTTTGGTATGTCTTTCCCCTTCTTCTCCGTCCTTCCTTTCCTTTGTCTTGTTTGTGTTCCGTGCTTGGGTTACTCGTGCGTTTGGGATGCTGATATCGCACAGCGGACCCAAGACCTTCCTTTGCTGATTTGCCGGACTGGTCTATTGCTGGACATAGGTGATGCCTTGATGCTCGCTGGATAGATTGAAGGCCTCGCAATTTAACCGTGGAGAGGAGATATTGAGCGGGAAATACGATGGAGGTTCTGGGATGGCGAAAGCTTACTTGTACCTGGTGTACTTTACTCAATGGAACTCCCTCCTTTAAATCTTTAGCCCTCCTAAGTGTAACTACGGCCTTTCATGGCTATATCCGCGTAACTACTGTAGATATAGTAAGCTAAAATACTCGATACTAGCTCTATTCAATGAGCCTTAGACATAATCAGAATCCTTATGTGGACAATATTGGGTTAGATGATGATAGAGCTTCACGAGAAATAGGAGGAACAAAGAGAATATTCCAATCTGAGTGTATGTGTCCTGCAGATAAAAAGTTAGCTTTTATACCTACTACACCAGTACTACAGCAGTGGTTTGTTTGTTGATATCCAGTAGAAACTATGAAAACGGATGTCTTCCCGATCGGGAAACAATGACGACGAGACAACTGGGAAGACACTACGGCGCGCCACAGAATCCACTCCTGCAATCCCGCCGCCAAAAAGAGAAAAAGCATCCAACCACCACTAGAACTTTCAACGTATCAATCACTCCCCTCCCCCTATTCCCTTATCAACCGTTTCACCCCCTTGACAATGACTTCCATTGCAGAGGGGCTTTTTAAATCCCTTCCAAAGCCGAAATACACCGGCGAGGATGAGGAGATCCCGCATCACGCGCAGCCCCGTGGTCCGCGGGTCGTGGGCGCGGACCAGATCGATGAGACTCAGATTGTGTTAAGGGTGGGTTGATATCCATTTTTCTAAACGTGGGACTTATGTGTCATGGAAATGCTAATGAACTACACTTTAGAAAACCGGCCCTCCCCCGTATGGAAACCGTACCGGTTGGCGTCCTCGAGCCCCCGAAGACTTTGGCGACGGTGGCGCGTTCCCCGAGATTTTGGTCGCACAGTATCCGCTCGATATGGGCCGCAAAGGCTCATCATCGACATCTAATGCACTTGCTGTGCAGGTTGATGCAGAGGGAAAGGTTAAATACGATGCGATCGCGCGACGAGGCCACAGCGATAACCGGATTGTGCACGCCTCCTTCAAGGACTTGATCCCGCTCCGACAGCGGGTGGATATGGGTGAAATCTCACTTGATCGGCCGTCGGAAGAGGAAGTCGAGGCGCAGATGGAGAAGACGAAGAATGCGCTGGCGAACCTGGTGTCGGGAGCCGTGGCAGCACAGAAGCCTAAGAACGTCAGGGGTGGAAGTCGGGCGGAGCCGACCTTCGTTCGTTATACGCCTGCGAACCAGATGGGTGATAATTCTCGGAAGAATGACCGGATCATGAAGATTGTGGAAAGACAGCAGGATCCCATGGAACCGCCGAAGTTCAAACATAAGAAAATCCCTCGTGGACCGCCGTCGCCGCCTCCGCCGATCATGCATTCGCCGCCACGGAAGCTTACGGCGGAAGATCAGGAGGCCTGGAAGATCCCACCGCCCGTGTCGAATTGGAAGAATCCTAAGGGTTATACAGTTCCGCTCGATAAGCGTTTAGCCGCCGATGGTCGTGGTCTGCAGGATGTTACTATTAACGATAAGTTTGCTCAGTTTGCTGAGGCTTTGTTCACCGCCGATAGACATGCTCGTGAGGAGGTTAGACTGCGTGCTCAGATGCAGCAGAAGCTGGCGGAAAAGGAAAAGGCGCAGAAGGAGGACCACTTGCGGGCACTTGCCCAGAAGGCCCGCGAAGAGAGAGCTACCAGCAGCCGTCACGAGTCCCGTGCCGTGTCTCGTTCTCGCTCTCGTTCTCGCAGTGTCAGCCGGAGTCCATCTCCGTACTCTAATCGGTCTGGTACTCCTAGTGATGACGAACGAGCTGCCCGGGAGCGTGAGCGCATGCGTCGCGAGCGCCGCCAGGAAAATGAGAGACAGCTTCGTCAGTCGAGAATGGGTACAGAGAGACGGATTCAAGCAATGGCCCGTGAACAGAACCGTGATATCTCGGAGAAGGTCGCTCTGGGATTGGCAAAACCGACTCAGTCTTCCGAGACCATGTGGGATTCTCGTCTGTTTAACCAGACGAGTGGAATGGACTCCGGATTCAACGAGGATAACCCTTATGACAAGCCGTTGTTTGCTGCGCAGGACGCCATCAACAGTATATACCGTCCCCGGGCCCAAGTCGATGCCGACGACGACGAGGGCGGTGCCGAGGGAGAAATGAGCAGGATTCAGAAGTCGAGCCGATTCGAAGTTTTGGGTAAGGCTAAGGAAGGCTTCCGTGGAGCTGCTGATGCCGAGGTGAGTGACTCAACTGGTCCCTTTCGTCCACTTTATGGTAGGATCCCTGCTAACGAACGAAACAGGCTCGTGATGGCCCTGTTCAATTCGAGAAAGACACCACCGATCCCTTCGGCATCGACAGTATGATTGCCGACGTCACTGGCGGAGCTGGACAGAAGCGCTACGGCATTCAGGAAGTTGATCGTGAAGACCGTGGCTCCAAGCGCGCTAGAGTTGACGAGGAGTAATCGCTAGATGCAGTTGGGTTGGCTCGGTAGGGTTCGATTTATACCATTGTCGTTTGTTGGGATGATTCATGCATTGCCGGCGTTGTCATTGTTCCTTTTTATCTATGTGTTTGGTTTCTTCCTCTGGCTCAGAGGACAAATTCAAAATTCATTGGGCTGCTTTGTTGATATATGTAACTGTATTGTTGTCAGACAGACAAGACTCGGTAATGACTTTGAATCAATGATATATACACGTATAACTGTTTATCTACAGAACAAATATTTGTTTTCTATTTAGACTGATATTTAGGCTGCCGCTCACCTGATTTCACTACGCCTGATACATTATTGAGTGGATAGATATGTAGAGGCAAGATTCATATTCAACTAGTTACAGTATCCAGCTCCTCTCCTCCTTTCCATCCAGGGTATATACACTTCTCGAGCATCAATAGACTCAGATATCAGGACCTTCTCCCTCTGTAGTTCTCACTACTCGCACACGAAGGCATCGAAACAGAAACAAAAGCAACCGCACACCAGACCCAAAAGGCAACGCATCAAATCCACAACCATAAACAACCCACTCATAACAAAACAAAACAACACATCACTACCTAGACCCTCTCCTGCCAACCCCAAACCCAACCCCCATCTCCTCCCCAACCCTCTTCCTCCGACCCGCCTCCCCAAGCAACTTACTCTGCAAATCAAACTCCGTCTGCCACCCATCCGACCCCGTAACCGGCGGCGCAACACCAACCGGCAGCTCCCCCTCGCATCGCTCCCGGAACGCCCGCAGCTGCTTCTCACTCCAGCCCTGAGCACGGAACCACCCCGATAGAGACTCTTGCATGTGGTTGGTGCTTCGTAGCCAGGTCGTGCAGTGTGTGTCCGTCCAGCCCTGGGAGCGCAGACAGTTGTAGATGGCTTGTTGGGAGGGGGTTAGTCGGGTTAGGTCGATGGGGGAGGTTGGGGGGATGAAGTGCGCTGGTAGTTGTTGGGGGCGGTTTGAGCTGGTGGTCATTGTATGTGGTTTTGGGTGAGTTGGTATGTTGGGGGGGGCTGTGGGTTCATATGTTGTTTATATTGAGGTCATATATAGGGCCACTTGGCAAGGATGGGGTTTGTGTGTTTCATATATTGAATTTGGATGTGGAAATGGGAACAATGAGACTAAAGTAAGTGATTCGCTCTGGCTATTTAAGCTATTTATAATGGCTGAGCTACTAGTACATTGTGGTGCTCTGGATCCTTCCAATATGATGGAATCCCTGGCTGTATACTAATACTTCCTAGTAGGTTGATGTGACGCCTGATAGGTAGGTAAGGCCGTGACATTCTGGTCATGATTTAGTGGTAATTCAAACATGTTTCAGAGCACAGGGTAATGCGATTATTCTTCTCATTGGATGGTAATAAATGACAAGTAAGTCAGTACGTCCGAGTCATGTGATGATTGTATTCTCGAATAGTAGGACCCTCAGTGATGCCATGAATGGTTGGTAGCAGCCGTTGGTTCTCTAACTCTAAGTATCCATATGGTATGGCTACTGAGAAGGTGGCCCTTCCGGGGAGATTCTCGATACTTGGTAAGGGATCCTTCATGTATACCAGTGGACCTTGAGACAGTATACGCATGGACGGAGAATGGGTCATTAAGTGCATGTCTTATAGACTCCAGAAATACTAATATCCGGGAGAATAAATACCGCGGAGAGGAAGATGAAAAGCATGTGAAACTGTTGGAAGCGACAAGGGATGTAAATCGCTCATTATGGAGCCCCCATCGGCCTGAGAATTGGTGATAGCATCTGCCTAACGGGAAGGGAAGGCCAGATTTGGTCAGGTTGGGTACATGTTGACACGCTAGACACCCATATTAATAAGAGAGCAGCATCGTCGTCAAATGCTGTCAAAGGACGTGGTGGACCCTGTATACGTCGGACACTGACTATGCAGGCGTATCCAGTAGATTGTTGAGACGGCGACATGATCTGATGATTGAGATTCCTAACAGCCAATGAACGCGAGAGTCATTATTTTGGCTGTCTCCTATTAGTGCCTGTAGATAATCGTCAGAGGGAGACAACGGTATGCATGAGGCAAGATATGGGAAAGCTCTTGACAAGCGTCCATGCTATTGAGTTTTGCGAAAGAGAGAGGCTGCGTTTTGAGAAGGTCATGGGGCATGGATTTCATAGTTAGTTGCTGCTGTAGCGCTGCAAGCGCAGTCAGATGAATGTTTTAACCGGCAGTGCCGAGGAACGTAAAACAACACTCGCAAATTGTGGTGATTGCCGTTGCGAATGACGAGCTAGTAGACCTCCAACGGGATTCAGAGACATCATTTGGTATGACGTCGTTGGAGTGATATTGCTTGCTAGACGAAACAATACCTGCACCAGGGTTGTACCGCTGGTGTTAGGTTTCGAAGGGGAAGTGGTTGATACCACGATGAGGGCAGGTTCAGTGAACGCGGAAGGTTTTTCTTATCGTAGAGGGTTTCCCGCTGGCATTCCGTGGATGGACAGGACTCCACCCAACTCATTGCGGTGTCATTGGGACCCTCCAAAATCCACCCGCTTTATCTCCCGTCGAAAACGGGCCCCCTTGCTTGCGAAGAGGTGGAGATCCATATCTTACGATACGAATGGTGCTGCCACACTCTACCCAACTGCGGATTGTGTGACTTATCAGTTTTTGCGGTGCCTGACTAGCCCGAGTAAGTTACCCCATGATCCTGGTTGCTTGAAAGTGCGGGGAGCCCATGAGCGTCCATCATGAATCAGTCGTTTCATATCCTGATCTGCCCACACAAGGCCATTGGATTTGCATAGGAACCGTGCGCCGGGAGGATTCGACCAGCAAAAGCACAGGCATTTATCGGTAGTGGCGCCTACCGCGGAGTGGCGATCGCAACGGAATTGCTCATTTGCTACTAATGCTGATAAGCAGTGGTGTTGGTGGAGACTTGACACTGGAGATAAAGCAGGACGAACCACTCGGCCAACGGCTATGTCTATTGCGAAAGATCATTAGGTAAAAAAGAGGATAAGGCATTAACGAATTTTCTTCAAGCAGTTGCTCAGGCCTCAGGGGGCCAAAAGGCCGGAAAAAATCTGAAGGGAGAGACAACCGGTCATATATACCCTCCTATTTTATTTTAATTTTTCTTTTCTCTTGCCTTGGTTAAGCTTCCAACGATTGTGGATATCTGTGTGGGGACCTTTTTTTGCGACAAACCTTCGGTGACTCAAGTTTCAGCAAGTCAGCAAGAGCAGCCAACAAAAGAATTATTAAGTCATTGCATTGCATTGGAAAGTGAAGGAGAGGGAAAAGAAGTGGGAGTGTAAGTGAGCGAGGAAAAGAAACGCAAGTACAGAACAGGCATAGAGTCCAAGTCACCTGAGAAGCTCTTGTTCTCTTCCACCGTCTTGACTCATTCCAGTTCTGGTGTGCTTCGAGCCATCTCTGATGCCATGCTCCTCATCTTTCCCTGATTGCCCATCTCTTATAACATCGTCGTTCGACTACTCCTTACTTGCGTGCTGGCCTTATTGATATCATTCCCTCGGAAAATGGCGTAATGGAAGGCGGTCGACGAGAAGGAATGATTGCTCAACGTCTCAAAACATTCAACGGAAACAAAACTATGCAGTATAAGACAAACAGGCGAAGTGACCCTACCCTGACTGCGGTCTATCTGAAGCTACCTCGTCGTTCGGCTCTTCTAGTTGCTCCCAAACGCGAGCTGTCAATAACACCAGTACAGTCTCAATATTATTCTTAGTATATCATTTGCGCCTCTCAAACTCTCGAAAGGAATCAATCACGCGGAGTGGGCTGTCCAGTTTTCCATCGACCTTGATTTTCATTCCTATATATAGTCCTACCAGCTGGAATCCAGCCTTGCCACACCATTAACGAAGAGCCTCAATTCAGCCTGGCCTAATTGTCCTGCGCCGCACTAAATCCACCAGTGATTTATCCACGAGATCACCCTCGTGAAGAGCCGGCGTCTGACCTGCTCTTGAGCCACACAGGCTTTACAATACATCTGAAAAGATGGAGCAGTCGCTATCGCTCATTTCTGCTCAGGTCCAGTTTATGGTGAGCCTATTATGTCCTACATGCAAAAGATCCTATAACAACATGATTCCTGAATATGGCTTCTTCGGACAACTGCTGGATTTTTCCAGTGATCCTTCGTGTTATGAGGCTTAGCTTGCTAACAACAATGATGGTAATGCAGGAAGACCGACTGGCCCTCGTCCATATTCCACTGGACCTCTACCCGTATTTTCTGAATCCAATCCTTCAGGTCCTTTTTCATGAGGTACCTCCAATTAGTGGGAATCATGCAGATTTCCAGAATGGTGGCCCCGACGGTGGCCACAAACGCGCTCAACCTGCGTTCTTGAACCTCTCCATTACACCTGTAGAGTGTTCTATTATGTGTCCTAGGCAACTTGCCAATGACTATTTCGCTCCGTTGGTTGAACGTTTTGCGAAAGATAACGTATCCAATCCGTGTCGCTTGTCCATTAGCCGTGATGATTTCATTGCCATGCAAGTGTACGGAGAAGGCCTCGAGGCGGGCCAACGAGTACTTGAACTCACCAGCCCATTAGCGATGGCGGGAATGTATGTTTCTTTCTCCTCTTTTCCCTAAATCGTAGGTTGTGCTAATGGGGATATGTTGTAGCTCCATATTTTTTATTTCCACTTACTTCTCAGACTATATTATTGTTCCTCTGCGTAGCAAGACGCAGGTAATTCAAACTCTGGAAAAGCGAGGGTTTCAGTTCGAGATGTCGACGGACGCATTCATCAACAACAACCAGTTCAACAGTTGTCTCAGTCCCGTGTCTCCCCGGTCCACCAGCAGCCTGGGATCTCCCCCGCCCACTCCTCCGCCATCATCACTTGATGAATTACAGACTCGCACATTCTCTTCCTTGCGAAAGAATAACATCACTCCTTCCGTTGATAGATCCCTCCGCTTAGTCCAATGTGCTGTTCACCATCGTGACGGCAGTGAGATCAGCTCTATATCTATACTGCGCGACGCGCTGACAATAGCGCTTGTCGTGGATAAGCCACGATTTCTGTCTCTTACCATGACCGCAGCCGATCCCGCAGCCTCAATTCTACTGGAACAGCGGCTTTTGCCCCGATTCTCAAGTGATCCTGCATTCCCTGCCGAGCCAGATGACGAAACCAGTCTCTTATTAGGCTCAAAAGAGGAGATCCTCGTTCCTATCATGCTAGATCTACGCAAACTTCCACTAGAGGCTACTGGTATTGTTTGTGGCGTAGCTGGTAGGTTGGCAGACGCTACGCATGATCGAGGCGATGACATCACGGACGGTTCTTCCACAATTATGTCTCATTCTTTCAATGGCTTTTCTTCTTTTGATGAGACGATGAATCGGTTTTTCTCTTCGAGTGTCGGATCCGGCGGACCCGTGAAACCTCCAACTCCTGGGTCTGGACGCAAATCAGCCAGCAACGGCAAACCGACCCACCACCTGCAGCCTGACTTGGACAGCTCGATCGAGGCTGTTGAGATCAGCTTCCTCAGCACTGCACGAGCGGGGACCATCATTGTCGGTGAGCACGAGCTTCAACGCGCCGTGGGTGCTTTGGAAGCCGAGAGTCATGAGCCCGAGGACCTTGAAGGATTCGAGATATGATTATATTCAACTTGCTGCCTTCGATTGCCCAGCTTCTACACTCAAAACGAGCATCAGCCTTCCGCAGAAGATACCGAGGTTTACCTTTGACTTTTCTTATTTTTGAGAGCACCTGTGGCGAGTTGAACTCTCTTCTCTCCATTTATGATTTACGCCCAGTTCGCAAAATTTCGTTGAAGTCTATCATAATCAGCTATACCGGCGCCCAAAAGTTCTCATCTCATTGTTCTGGACTATAACATGATACGGATAACAGTACATTCCCCTTTAAACATTTCTTTCACCAAAACTTGTATTGATAGTTAGCGAGGTTGTCCGTCTCGGTATGAAATGCTGAGATTAATGTTCATGATTTTGATTGGAAGTTAAATATCTAAGTTTGGATTGTTATTGATATCCACGGCGCTTTGACTACTTGCCATTTATCTTGTCCTTCGTATTCTTTGTTCTTAGAATGACTATTTTCGTTCGGACTGGGCTTTATCTCCAATGACAATTCCATAGTACTTCTCAGATAAACCTATATCAGCTGAAAAAACCACAGCATTCGTAATTGCAAGCGCCTGAAAGCTTGAACCAGGCCAATTTGAAATCCAGCCTCGTCGTAGTGTAAAACCCTACGATGAACCGTCACGACTCCACAGTGGCAATCCATTAATTCCCGGGAAACCGAAGGAACTAATCAATAGATCGGGGTTTGTGACTGTGTCATGCGTTCGTGGTTGGGGAAAGTATATCCCAGTTTCTGAAGTCTTAGTGGTGGCGCAGCTGAGGACCTATGGCTATTAGCTACGAGCTGTGGAGATTGAGAGATCGCTCGAGTGGTTTGCTTTGTCTCAGGGAAGCGATCTGAGCCACGATATTTTCCTTTTAGGGACTGCGATGCGTTCGCCTCTCTTGGGGGCCTAACAAAAGCCTGTGAGCTGTAGTTGGTGAAAGCTGATATGTGCAACGTGACTAGTGCACGTGGTATGTTTGAGTTAATTATTCATCGCTGGGCGGAGCCTTAGCCGTAGATTTTGACGCTTCCTATTGTTCAAGACGTCATGTTAGCTGGCACATTCCAAGACTCAATATGTGGGGCCAGGTAGATTGAGAGATATTTTTCAGCCCTCGCGGTGTAATGGATTGAAATGAGGAACAGAGAGTGCAATAAGAGAAAATACGCACCGTCAGAGCAACCGCCGGCCCAACATCCCCCCTTCTCATTCCACGCCACGCAACTGACAACCTTGACGCCCTCGCCAGCTGGAACACTAGCGATGAGCTCCCCGCTCACAACATCCCAAGCATATACGTATGCTTGGGCCGACCGGTCTTCCTTATCCGTTTCGCTTCCACTGAGCACCATCGCATCCCCTTTGGCAAACGCAGACCTGATTCGCAGCTCGCTGTTCCGATATCCGGTCTTCCCGGAGTTTTTATCTCCGCTTCCAAACGCCTGGAGGAGTTTGCCATCGGTGCGGTCAAGCATTCGAATGCGACTGTCTAATGTTGAAGCCAGGAGGGCATTCCCGTCCGTCGAACAGCGCACGCTCGTTACTGGGTGTGCGAGAACATCGACCGTTGTACGACCCATGCGAACATCGTAGATACGGGCACGGCCGTCGTAACTTCCACTTGCGATGGAATACGTAGGGGTGTGAACATGGATGGATGAGACCGTGTCGCTGGCTTCGGTGAGGGTTTGGATTGGCTTCGTTGAGTTGGATCGTGTGTCCCAGAGATTAATCGTAGTGTCGGCGCTACCTGCAGTATAGGATAACATTAGCATCGATCGATTCAATCACCACGTAGGTTGAGGTGGTGGTTCCAATTGGTAAAACGTACCAGAAACGACCACCGAGTCGCCTTCGCCTGCAAACTGCACCGCTTCAACACGGGCTGCATGTCCACTCCATCGCTTTACAGTTATGCCCTGTTCAACATCCCAGAGGAAAACCTGTCGGTCTCCGCCAACGCTGGCAAAGCGGGAATTGTCACCCGCGACGGCAACATCCAGCACCGAATAGCCGTGCGCTTCGTACTTTTGGATCGGGGATGTCGTTTCCGTACCAGGTTTGTTGGGTATCGCGCGGGAGAGATGAACCGCGCGATCGGAGGAACCGGTCAAAACGTACGTTCCAGGATAGCTGGAGAATGTGACAGCGTTCACGGGCCCTTGGCGATGTCAGAGGGAAGAAGCTCCTGAAGGCGGGGGGAACTTACCATTATGTGTCTTGAGAGTGTGGACTAAATCTGTAGGGAATTGTTTCGTCACGGGCATTATACACAGTAATATTATGATACGCTGTGGTTTAAGTTGTTGATCCGAATCGCAAAGGAGTCGCTGTTTAAGTGGATGTGGAGAAAAGAGCTCTCGTTCTTGGCAATCAATTAAAGGGCGGCGGGAGCGCAGAGGTAACTTTATTCTAGTAGCATCCCGCGGCTCCTCCGCGGAGGTCGAGTTATTTGTATACTTCCATGCGGACAACTCAAACAAATTAAATATGTATTGGCATGCCACAGAACACAAGTAGGTTATTATCAATGATGTAGAAAAACCATCGCTAGCTACCAGCAGGTAAAGAGAATAATAACAAGAAAACCCAGCGAAACTCAGGACAGGGCGTCTATGCCCTATGCAAATTGTCTCACTCGAGTACACACAAAGCCGAAAATAGGAAAGTTAAAGAAAATTTCAAGGGGTAGTCAAATGAACATGAAATAAAATTGGCGAATGCAAAGTCTGCTTTTCCCACTGTTGATCAAAGACCACAGTTTGCAGTGGTTCAAAAGTGCCTTAGCGACGTCCATGGCTGCGGGTGGATGAGCCCTGCAAGGACTCGATTTCCTGCTCCAGCGATTTGATTCTGTTCCCTTGTTAGTTTGATTGCCATAGCGAAGCTGAAGAATGGGGGACACATACGCGGCATGCGTAGCCTCCAGGTCCTTGTTGAGGCGGTCTCTTTCGGCAATGAGCTTCTGCTCCCACTGTCGGAAACGCTGTTCCTCGACCTTGACCTGCTCGGTGAACCGCTTGCGAAGCGACTCCTCCTCTTCCTTGAACTTGGGGTTGTCCAACTTCCTGGGACGGGCTTCACCGAATTTCCGGGTCTCCATCTGTTGCGCACGGTAGGCCTCGTAGTGTTGCTCCTCGGTGGTGTGGATAAGATCCAGCATGTGGGTACGGATCAGGATCGAACGAAGCTTCTTGAAGTCGCAATGGTCCTCATTCTCTACCTCGGCAACACCCCAGGCATATTGACGACCCTTTACAACCCGATTGTCGCTGGTCTTCACATCCTTCTCGGAACCGATCACGGCGAAAGGCATGGCAGCCATCAGGCTCCGCGCGTGGGTGGCAGCATGCTCATCATCTTCTTCAATCGGGGGAGTGTAGATCTTGATGCCCTGGGCTTCAATGACAGCTTTAACCTATATGAACGCAATAGGTTAAGTAAAAACCTCACAGATGGAGAACCTAAGTCAATCTTACTCTCTGCTTGTAGCGGGCCAGATCGGCGGGGCTGAGGGTATCGGCCTTAGCAATGACGGGGATAAGGTTGACGCGAGAGCTCAAGCGCTTCATGACCTCAATATCGAGGGGCTTCAGGGTGTGGCCGGTGGGTCTGATGAAATACAGACAGGCATGCACACGCATATCGATCTTCTCTGTGCGGCGGGGCTGTTGCTCCTGCAACATGTAGGACTCATGCTGATCGTCGAGGAACTCAATGATAGGTTGCCAGGAATCGCGGTTGTTGACGTAGTCTCCGAATCCGGGGGTATCGATGACGGTCAGGCGAACTGTAAAAATATACCCAGAGCGTCAGCTGTCGGCCAGCGAACGGGAAGTGCCATGGTGTACCTTTGAAGAACTTCTCCTCCAACTCGGCTTTAGTGATCTCGATCTCAACAGTCCGGTCAATCTGCTTCTGGTGACGACGCTTGTGGTCGGCATAGTTCTTGATGGTCGTCGAGAACAAGGTGTTGATAAAAGTGGTCTTTCCCAGACCAGACTCTCCAGCAACCTGCAAGACCATCAGCACTTATCTGGCTTATCGTGTTGAGGCCCTATTAGACAAACCATAATAGTGAAAGCCGCACCCCGCTTAGCGACAATCTTGTGACTGTAAAGCTTCAGTTAGGACCCTCCACCTTTTCTCCACCATAGCTAATTCAGAAACGTACCGCTGATTGGGAAGCTATTGGAATAGTATTATTAGTGACAGGTCCATTTTGGAGAAGTTCCCGAGCGTATTCCAGCACTTACGTTGGCAATCCCAATGGGGGAGGCAGTCTCAGTAGTGGAGGCCATTGTGATAAAGGGGTCGATCAACGAGAGATGGGAATTCAATCAAGACAAACAACAAAACGATGGTGGGAGAAACGACGCCCTGCTCTCGACAAAAAATTAGCCAACGGGAAAAAGAAAAGAGCAATAGGAAGAACTTGAATGGGTAGCAATACCGGTCCGGAATCAATGGCCGTTGGGAATGTAAAGGAAGACAAGCAAACAAGACTCAGGATGCGGCAGTACCTTCTTTTGGTTTGGGTTGGGTTAAACTGCCCCTGAATCCCGTCTCGTCAGCAGTGGAGAGCAAACAGAAGCAAACAGGCAAAAAGGCATGACCAGGACCATGACCTGACCTCCAACTCTGGGGGCTCCACCATACCTCTTCCGGACTAGCCCCTCGGTGTCGGATTAACATGCGGATCAGCTCTCTTATCGCCCGTTTGGGTGGAAAAGTCATTTTTTTTGGAGGTCCAGATTTAAAGGTGATTGTTTGACTGACTGCACGCTGGGGTACACGGGCTGGCGACAATGAAGACAGATTTCAAGGTCAGTTATCTTTAGTTATAGTTCCTTCTGTTTATATATTCGGAATTCCAACTAAAAGTAAAGCCTTCTGACAATGCTTTAGTTTTCCAACCTACTGGGTACGGTCTATCGCAAAGGAAATCTTCTTTTCACTCCCGATGGCACCTGTCTGCTTTCCCCGGTAGGAAACCGGGTGACGGTCTTCGACCTTGTTCAGTATGTACTTATATGCATCTCTGCAAGTACCAATTGACAGTTATCACTAATGCGACACCGCGTGAAGCAATACATCATACACTCTCCCTTTTGCGCACCGCACGAACATCGACCGTTTAGATCTGACGCCCCAAGGCAACCTCCTACTGTCCGTTGACGAAAATGGGCGCGCAATCTTGACGAACTTCAAGCGCCGGATTGTTATTCACCACTTCTCTTTTAAGGGCCGTGTCTCCTCCCTCAAGTTCTCCCCATCCGGCCGATTCTTTGCTGTAGGAGTGGGGCGACGACTGCAGTTTTGGCATACCCCTTCAACACCAGGCGCGGACAATAATGGAGAGCTCGAGTTCGCACCTTTCGTCCTACACCGAGACCTTGCTGGTCATTTTGACGTCATTCAGCATTTGGAATGGTCTCACGATTCGCGTTTCATTCTCACTGCTTCCAAGGATTTAACAGCACGGGTATGGAGTTTGGATCCAGAGGAGGGCTTTGAACCAACCACATTGGCAGGGCACCGGCAAGGCGTGAAGGCGGCATTCTTTTCTGCTGATCAAGAATCTGTAAGTCTTCTTGATTGTGCGTCTGGATATTACTGACTTCCTTGTAGATCTATACCGTTAGTCAGGATGGAGCTTTATTCAGGTGGGAATATGTGACAAAGAAAGACCCCGATACCATGGAGGATGTTGCCGAGGCCCGCTGGAGGATTGTGAAAAAGGACTTCTTCATGCAAAATGATGCCAAGGTCAATTGCACTGCATTCCATGCCCCCACTAATCTTCTGGTGGTGGGCTTTTCGAACGGACTTTTTGGGCTCTACGACTTACCAGAGTTCAACATGATACACCTTCTGAGGTATAATAGGCTTCCCAAACTATATAAAGTGCTTATTGCTAACCGAGAGCAGCGTCTCCCAGAGCAACATCGACTATGTGACGGTAAACAAATCTGGCGAGTGGCTGGCTTTTGGCTCCTCTAAGCATGGCCAACTGCTTGTATGGGAATGGCAGTCCGAGTCGTACATTTTGAAACAACAGGGCCATCTCGAGTCTATGGGCTCCCTAGTTTACTCCCCCGACGGCCAGAAGATCGTCACTACTTCGGACGATGGAAAGGTCAAGGTCTGGGACGTCAAGTCGGGCTTCTGTATCGTGACATTTACTGAGCACAGCAGCGGAGTTACTGCTTGCCAGTTCGCCAAGAAAGGAAGTGTCTTGTTCACAGCTTCGTTGGATGGTTCAGTGAGAGCGTGGGACCTCATCCGTTATCGCAATTTCCGAACCTTCACCGCGCCGTCTCGATTGTCATTTTCTTCGCTTGCTGTCGATCCAAGTGGCGAAGTGGTTTGTGCCGGATCTCCAGATTCGTTCGATATTCATATATGGTCTGTCCAGACCGGACAACTGCTTGATCAACTCAGTGGCCATGAAGGCCCCGTTTCCGCTCTTGCTTTTGCTGCAGACGGCAACCACCTTGTCAGTGGTAGCTGGGATCGTACAGTTCGTGTATGGAGCATTTTCGGCCGAACACAGACCAGCGAGCCGTTGCAACTTGTGTCTGATGTTCTCAGCGTTGCTTTTAGGCCAGATGGCAAACAGGTGGCTGCATCATCGCTCGATGGCCAGTTGACTTTCTGGTCTGTGGCTGATGCAGTACAAGAAAGCGGAATTGATGGCCGTCGTGACGTCTCAGGAGGCCGCAAGATAACTGATCGCCAAACCGCTGCAAACGCCGCAGGAACTAAGTTCTTCAACTGTATTACATACAGCGCTGATGGAAGCTGTATCCTCGCGGGAGGCAACAGCAAGTACATTTGCCTGTATGACGTGAGGACGGGCTCGTTGGTGAAGAAGTACACAGTTTCCGTCAACACCTCGCTTGATGGTACCCAGGAGATCTTGAACAGTCGCGACTTGACAGAAGCTGGTCCCCGAGACCTGATCGATGAGACAGGCGAGGCATCGGATCGCGAAGACCGTATTGATCGCTCCCTCCCTGGCGCCAAGCGTGGAGACGCTGGAGCTCGTACCACTCGGCCGGAAGTACGTGTCACCTGCGTTAATTTCTCCCCAACTGGACGTGCATTTTGTGCGGCGTCTACGGAGGGTCTTCTCATATATAGCCTGGATACAGAATATGTTTTCGATCCCTTTGATCTTGACATTTCGATCACCCCAGCTAGCATTATGGAGACTCTTGAGAATGCCAAACAGGCATATACAACAGGCACGAGCGATAATGATGACACTTTCCTGAAGGCGATGGTTATGGCGTTCCGGCTGAATGTGTCGAAGTATATCCGCCTAGTTCATGAAGCAGTCCCGCCGCCCGAAATCTCTCATGTCGTTCGTGCCGTGCCAACAGTCTACCTTCCTCGTCTGCTGCGTTATGTTGCTCACGCTGCTGAGGAAACCCCACACCTGGAGTTCAACTTGCTGTGGATTGAATCTCTCATGAGCAGCCATGGCCGATATTTTAAGGAAAATTCCGGTACTTTTGCGCCAGAGCTTCGCGCTGTTCAGCGTGCCATTGACGACATCCGGGAGAACCTTAAGAGAATGACGGAGAAGAACCTGTACGATCTGAACTATCTACTCTCGAAACCCGTTCTTGCGGGCAAGAAGACGACCAACACTCTAACCTTGGCGGATGTTGAAACGGATGACACGACAGCAAATGATGGGAACATGGCTGGCACCGCAGGTGAGGAAGAGGAATGGATTGGGCTTGAGTGATTGCGGGTCATCTTCCTTTGGTTACACACTTGTTCTTCTGATCCAACATTCTTCTATCCTTCGCATTTGCGTCTGGCGTTCGATACTGGTATACCTGGAAGATAAAAGGGGACAGCAAAAGTTTGGGGGTCGTTTGATGCTTGTATTTGGATAGCATGATGTACATACGTCTAGACACGTCTTTATATGAATAATCGAAATCTTGCAAGACAGCAACAACCATGTTCTGCCCTGTGTAGTTTAATAACAATAGATCACTGTCTACAGACTTTTAAGAATGTAGCAAGGGTATAAGACTAATATCTATACACTGCAAGCAGGCAACGATGGAAGTTCATGGTATCAGGTGTGCTTGTGTAACAAACATCTCTACACAAATACCCATATATGGCCGTTCGTATTGATACTCACTGGAACGCAATGCTGTTGTTTTTCACAACACCGCTTCAATCGCCATGGCGCCCAACATATTGACCTGTCTGTTACTCAATTTTTCTCTCTCTTTTCTTCCAACCTTGTGTTTGACTGTGTTCATGAAAAGACAAATCTTCTCTGCGCATCTACATCCATATCTTCAGTCTCATAGCTCCTGATTCATCCCACGGCTCCTAAGTTAATCATAATGGACTACATGGAATATTTGAAAGAAATGGGACTCGTATGGCACTGCGTCTCTATCCTTGTGGGCCTCCTTGCCTTTTATTTTATCAAGGAGCGCTCTACTGCAAACGCGAGCCAGCCCAGCCTGCCTACGGTCACGCACTTCAGGCTTCTGCCTCCATTTCTCAACCGCATCCTTTATGTCGTTAAGGCGCCTTTTCTGATCTACTCTGGATACAAAAATGTATGTTTTTATCTGTGTTGAAAGGCTCATAAGTGCTGATTATATTTTAGTACAAGTCCAAGCCCTTCCGGATTCTCAAACTGGATGGAGACCTAGTCATCCTACCTCAGCGGTATCTTGAGGAACTTGGAGATGTTCATTCACGTCAGGCAAGCCTTGTCGGTGCTAAGTACAAGGTAAGCACATCCACCCGTTACTGGGCAGATAAGATGTATCCAGCTAACCAGGCGCCATCCAGAATATTCTAGGAGGATGTACCAACATACTCATAAACAGTGAGTTGCCGGTGCGCACCGTTTCGGGGAGGTTGAATCCAGTTTTAGGTATGTAGAAAGAGGGCTGAAATGCGTACAATATATGACTGCATCACCTATCTCATTAGATACCGAGCATCAGCGCTGACATCCAGATCATAGACCGTCAAATCCCTCGGCTACTCTTTGAACTCCACCATGCTTTCTCGGCTGTAGTCCCTTATTGCGAAGGCAAGTATGTGTCCGTCAACTTGTACCATATGATCCTCAAGCTCGTTACACACTCGACATCCCGCATCATCATCGGCCAAAGGCTCTGCAGAAGCGAGCAATGGATCAACACTATGACCAATTGTACATACGAGGTGTGCATTACCGTCAAGAAACTACAGCTCGTTCCAAGGTACCTCCGTCGCCTGATAGCTCCGTTCCTTCCAAGTGTCCGGAGACTAGAAATGCAACTCCGATGGATCGCAGAACAGCTTATTGTGCCTATTATCCAGCACCGCAGGGGACGTGAGCTCAATGAACCATCCTACAAGAAACAAGATGACTTCCTGCAGTGGATGATGGATCTGGCGGACAATGACTCCGACAGAGACCCCATGAACTTGGCATATGGACTGATGATCACCATGGCTTTGGCTGTCGTTCAGACCAGCACAATGCTCATCACCCATGCTATGTATGACCTGCTGGTCCATCCCGAGTACTTTGAGCCTCTGAGAGATGAAATACATGAGACCTTGAGAAACGGCTGGATTAGGGCCTCGTTGAGTAACTTTGGCGCCCAGCGTCGATTGGATAGCTTTCTTCGCGAGTCACAGCGCCTGAACCCACCTTCTGAAGGTAAGTACTAAATTTCTTATTTATGCACATTTGTTCAATCCTCCGCGCCCTGAAAGCCTTGCTCATAAACCAATGACTAACGATGCCAGTCTCCGCCCAACGCGTCCTCGAACGGCCGGTTACCCTCTCCGATGGAGTCACTCTTCGCAAAGGAACTCATATCTGCTTCCCATCCGGACCTATGTCTCGCGATTCAGCTGTCGTTCCTGACCCACTTATCTTCGACGGGTTCCGTTGGTGTAACGACCTTGATGCCCCAGATGGAAGCCTTACTGATGTCAGCCCCGCCAACCTACACTTCGGATTTGGTGGACAAGCTTGCCCTGGCCCGTTCTTTGGTGTGGTCATTGCAAAGGCCGTCATGAGTCGACTCCTGGCTGAGTATGATCTCAAATTTGAGGAGGGTCAAACCGAAAGACCAAAGAACATCGTGAACGGAGAGCAGATTATGCCGAGCATGAGTACTAAGATTCTCATCAAGAAAAAGAACGTTGATATCTGATGCGGCGGTTTTGGTATTATGTCGGAACAGGTTACTTAGGGCTCGATGCGATACAATGTATTGCTTGGACTGGAACCATACATTCACATTGATTGATATTGAGTTTTGTTATCTGTCTTTGGCTCCCACCTCGAGTTAGTCTGGAAATAGTCTTCAATGCACACACACTTGCAAAGCAAAGCCTCCACGACTCCAGCAAATGAATTCACCTTGCATATCAAAGAATAGCAACCGCATTAGGCGGACTCGCAACACCCCCCGGAACCTAAAACATCAATCAGCACCCACCTTGTAAACCCCCACCGAAGCTCACTTCACTCACCTTAAGCGGCACGCTCGACAAGAAGAAACTCCATCTTCCATTCGCCCGGCAATACTCTGCAAGCTCCTCCAAATCAAAGTACTCCCCGATTGGCATCCCCCACCCTGCAAGACACCACTGATGCAATGTCGTGTCCGCCGGTGAATCCTCCCTGACGACAGGTGATGGCTCAAAGCTCGGCGAGTCGGTGGCAATTGCGGCAAACTGGTTCTCCCACAGCCAGCGCAGCGTGGATTCACCGTTCTCGACGCCGGAGAAATCGGGGCTGGGGCGCTGGGCTAGCGCGGCTTCTTCTTCCTTTGAAAGGTTGTTGTAGGCTTCTGTGAAGCCGGTGCGGACGAAGAGGATGTCGCCGGGTCGGAATTGGATGTTGTTTTCTTGGACTATGCTTTTGATAGAGGAAAGTGGGATACTGGTTGTTTGAAAGGGGGTTAGGGGAATTGTGTTCTTTTTCGCCCAGGTTGCATAGTCGAGGAGGACTCCTCGGCCTACGATACCGCCGTTGTTTACCCATGCTTTTTATTTTTCATTGTGTTAGTATGGTATAAATCTCGGTGCTGATGAGTAGTAAATCGTCTTACAATCGATCCCGATAACTGGTGAGTTTTGCAACTCTTCTAACGTATGTCCCTTGTAGTAACGGGCCAATTCCTGGTGCCCTAAAAACATTTATTTCCCGAAGTTAACCCTAACGTCAAATATTGTGACCATCCCCAACACATTGACAACACTCCAAAGAGACACGGATACACATACCATAATGCCGGAACCCATCCCACTGACTACTTGTCTGCGTATTGAACATCAAAATATCATCATTCACAATTCTCGGCGCCTTATTCACCATCTCCCGGGTGAACGGCTTGCGTCCATAACTCGGGTGGTTGAGTCGGTCTAATGTTAGATCGAGCGAAATCCGAACCCCCGTGCGAATCTCTTCGCTCGCTGCCTGCCGGACGGTTTCTGGAGTGAGCAGGTTCAGCATGCCGATGTCATTTCTGGGGAACAAGCCCCATGCGTTTCCTACGGGACCCTTGGGGTCTAGGGTTAGGTTGTCGAAGTTGGGTATTGAGGTCATGGTTGATTCTGTTTCAGGTTAAGGGGTTTGGACGACTGTGTTGATTACTAGGCTTTGGTAGGTTACGTTGTATATGGCTCAGTATTTATTTATCAGAGGATGAACTACGACTACTCGGATATTTATCCATCTCCGCACTACTTGATCAAGCTCAATGGAGATGCGTTTATGCGGGGAAGGCCACTAGTGACTAGTCATCTTTGGGTCTAGTCTGTTGCTACCTCGGGTAAGTTCACTCCGATACTAGTAGGAGGCTATGGTACAGTATATACAGGTTCATCTTGATGCTTGTATATTCCGTAGGCTTCCATGCCTCTATTCGCATTTAAGGTGAGAAATAAACTCAATGCATATTTTTTCTTTTTTTAAATTTCGTCCAGACCACTTCAGGTTCAGATTTGTTTCAATATCAAGAGGCAACAGCTACACACAGGGAGAATCAAGCCTGATTGTTCCCTGTACTAGCACCTCTGCCGCGATGGCTCCCCCGAGGGTTTCCTCGCCCACCACGCCCACCACGGCTGTTCAAGTTCTTAGGTGGGGGAACTTGTGAGTAATTCTGTGCCCGGAAGTTCGGATTGTGCTTCACTACACCCGCATCTGGATTGGGATCCACAGGGATGTATCCTCCTCGCGTGCGGGCCATGCCGCCGCGACCTCTCCCTCTGCCTCCGCGATATGATCCATCCGTTTGCTGTTCTCCACCGTTGGGATGTGGCCGGAAGGGTAGGGTTGTCTGCGGCCCGACACCATTAGAGGCGCCCCGTCCGCCACGACCACCTCGGCCTCTTTGAGGGAAACCATTGCCGCGACCGTTGCCCATACCTGCTACTGCACCTCGGTAAGAGTGGCTGAGAGGTGGAGGGGCTGAAGCTTCTTTCAGCTGCCCCTTTCCATCAGGCCCAGAAGGAGCGCCATAGCCCGCAACTGTCAAAGGCGATGGTTGACTTTGCTGGCTGCTGGCTGCTCGGGTTGTGGCGAGTAGCTGTCGGTATGAAACATTAAGGACAGAAGATGAAAGAACCGTCTGTCCCCGGAATGGAGAGCATCGGTCACCTAGTGTGGTTCCGCTCATGAACGAAACGTCGAAAACAACATCCAGGAGAAGGGCCCGTGACGTCCGCGTCAGACCAACGACCGTTCCGCGAGTGGCTATGGGCACTTTACCGGAGTCTTGGGCATAGACAACACGGTCACCAAGTTTGAATGTCTGGTTCCCAAGTCTCTGCTCCACATCAGATGGTCTGAGAAGAGCACTTCGTGGAACCCCTCCAACTTTCTTTGCTTGCATCGCGGGCTGGCTTTGAATTAATTGGTCCGCATCCTGCTCGATCAACTTGACAATGTCGGAATCGAGCTGCTCAGCATCGAGAGGAACTCTCTCGAAATTCTTAGCCTCGATAGATTTGAGCCACTCACGAATCTCCTTGACCTTTAGAAGGGCGGTCTCTTCAGGATAGAAATCCGTTGGCTTATAACGATCACCCTGAGGGTTACGCTGGATACCAGCGATGAATTCAGGAAACTTGATCATGTATTGCTGGAGTAGTTCAACTGCTTTGGGACTAAACTCCCAGCCGGAGTCTCCACGGCGTGAATAACCCAGAACCTTCTGTTTCCTCGCCTCGAACTTCAGGTTGAGACCCAGATTAACACGCTGACCCTCCACATCCACAGAGAAGGCCGAAGTGATTTTCGCCAATACTAAGGGATTCAGCTGCAGACTGCGTGCAATCGCGTAAGAGGGCATGTAAGGACAAAACCTCTCGGCATCCCTAGCACGCTCCTTTCCAAACTCAGGTTCCCGACCCTTAACGGCAGCGATTAATCCGTTCACTTTGCCATTACTATGTCCTGTGATATGCATAGGCCTACCGTAATTGAATTCTCCTAGGAAGAATGCACGAGAGCCTTCGGGGAATTCTTCTTCGATAGGCAGAGCATCACGTTCAATGAAACGTTCATCAGGATTGATCACTTCATCAACGACGAGCTGAAGAGCGTAATCGGTTTCTTGCCCCGGGATATCCGCGAACTCTTTCACTGTAGCACCTTCATCGGTCTTGAGCAACCCCTTCAGTAGTTGCACGTGTACCATCGCCTCAACAGGGCCAATGATCGTGCCAAGCCGCCTACTGTACGTTCCTTCGATTTTGTCGGCTTTCTTCTTCCATTGTTCGATTTGAGCCTCAGTATGGGGGATATTTACAACATGCTCCTCCCCTTCAGGCTTGATGTAATCGAAAAGCTCATCGGAAACGCGGACAACGTATGCTTCTTGTAGGAATGGATAACCCACAAAAACACGCTGTCCGAGTTTCTGCTTAGCCAATACGCTACTTGACCTGCTTCCAGGATCAAGTAATGTGATGACCATGCTTTCGTTGCGGCTCTCTTGCTGGAAGACGCACACCCCATGGAAGCCTAATTGGCCAACGCGAGGTAAAGTCTTCAAACTTGGGAAACCTGCTAATGCTGATGCTCCAAGTTGAGCTCCATCAACCAGACCAATGTAGGGCTCGAGACCATCCATAGTAGGCAAGTCGAAGATATTCTCAATGCAATGGCAATTGGAAATATCTGGGAAAACACCAGGCAAAGACGATGGGTAGATAAACTGTACATCGGGCGAGTAGGTGAACTTAAGGCTAGCACCGAAGCCATTCCGTGCTTTTTCTTCCGGAGTTAATAGGTGCTCTTTCGTTTTGAGAGCATCCAGCAAGCGTTTCTCCTCGATAAATGGGATTTTGACAACTGCCTCCCACTCCATCTTCTTTCCATTCATATCCAACTCAAAATCACGAGGGTAGAAATCGACAATAGGAGATTCCGGTGAAGTCATCAAGTCCCGGTAGGCAGCAGGCACAATTTTTTTGCTTCGATCGGGTAAAACACCCATAAGCTGCTCGTAAGGCCGGAAGGGTTGACCAAGCTGGAAATTCGTATCTGCTTTCAGGCCCTTTTTAACATCTAGAGCAAGTCAGTGAAGACTATTTGAAGAGCGGTAGGAAGACAAACCAGAGATCATTGGGGCATAGTGGTACTGGAAGAACCACGGCCAGGACGCTATGCCTCTGTAATAATAGTACAAAACCCACTGGAGACCTTGCACATAGTTCTCCGTTAATTTCCTCATTTCGTCATGATTTTCCAACCCCCATTCAAACTTTCCTGTATAATACTTGTTTTTCCACTCTTGGAATTTTTCCTCATATTTCTTCTCGGCGGCTTTCTGGGCGTCTTCAGCAGAGAGCTCTTGAACCTTTGCATTCTCGTACTTTCGGATGATACGTTGAACGGCCATGGATGCCTCTTCGTCTTCCTCATCGTCACTATCGTCACCCTGCCTTGCTGGAAGCTTAAATCTGATAAACCGTTCCCCATGTTCGTCTGGTTCGGTGGTCCACGGCAGCCGAAGGTCATCTGCAAGTTGCTCCAAGAACTTGCGATCTCGAGCAGGCAGTGTGGGAGGGAAATCAAGAGGTTGAGGGTCAGCCGCCTTTTCAGGTCGGTTGAGCACATACTTCTTGACCTCTTTCAGAAGACTCTTCTGCGCTGGGGTAATTGTAAGACTTTTAGGTCTCTCCTGGGATTCGGAGTTGTCTTCTCCGCCATTTTTCTTGGCCTGGATCCATCGCTCGCCTGAGTACTCAGCTTCAAAAAAGCGGAATTCAACATCGCTCAAGCCATCAAGAAGCATACCCAAACGCTCCATGTTGATAACGCCCTGCTCGTTGATATACCCGCCCATCTTTGGCAAGATCTCCTTGTAGACTTTGAACAGGAATGCTAACGCACCCTCGTTGATATGCAGATTAGGCAAATTAGGTAAAAAGTCGTTTCCAACAAAGAACGCCATCAAAATGAAGTCGTCGATAACCCGTTCCATGTCAAAAGAAAAGCCCAAAACGTCGTTCCGCTCCAACTCCTGAAACTCCAATTCTAAGTACTCTCTGACCATGCACAGATGTAGAAGGTAGAAATTCTGATGCTCAAGTTCCTTGGGCTTTTTCTGGACTTGGCGCCCAAAGGTCACTTCCTCACGAAGAAGACAGAAGTGAGGATCATGACTGAGGAGCCCCAACATGATCAAATCGGCGTCGAGACCATAAAGGCAGTGTCGAACATTGGGATCATAGCCTGCCTGTGCTTTCGCGTGCCGGATGTATTCCATAATTTTATGTTCACCTTCTCCCGGTACTTCATGACCTGACAATACGATCTCGACTCCTTGCCAGTCTTTATCTTCCGATATCTTCTTGTTGATGAAATATTTTAATTGTTCTGTCAATTTAGCCATGAATTCCGTGCCCGGGGTAATGCAATTGCTGTCGAAAGCATCCTCCTTGGGCATCTCAATTCCTTGGCTGATGGCCTTCTCCTTCGCAACCTCAGCATCCAAAGCTGTCCGGAATCGTCGTGCACGCTGTTGATTCATCTTGGCCCGAGGGGCAACACCATCAATCGCCATGAAGAAGAGTTTCTTGGGTTTGATTTTGCCGTAGAGATGCTCGATATAATTAAATATGGCGATAAACATCTTATCTTCGGTCATCCGAAAAGTAGGGGAGTCGCTATCTTTGTGTGTACAGTTATGAATAATACCATTCATGTCAAGGTACAGGTTGTCGAACTCAGGTATCCGATTCTCTGCGATCAGCATTGAGATCGCAGGATACCGCTCGCTCAGCCAGCGGAAGAACTTAGGAACACCCATGATGAATCAATACAATGAAATCCTCTGTAGACTATATTGTAGAGATAAGAAAATGCGAAGGTATCTAGCCTGTCGTGGTGGTCGTCGTAGTCGTCAAAAAGCGAAGAAGTATTCGAATTCGGAGGCAAATCATTCAATGAATGGGAAGATGCGGTCGTACGGACAAGAATAGCCGACTGCGAATTCTCAGAGAATGTGGGACTCCAAACTAAAAAGAAACAAAACGATGTTCCAAACAGAAAGAAACATTAAACGAAGGCGAGAGCGCCTTTAGGAATCGTAAAGGTCAGCAGTGAGGTTTGGTGACTCTGCCGAGTCAACGGTCGTAAGGTCTAAGGATGGAGATGATGGCGCCAAGCCGTGATCGCCGAAAATGGCTTAGCTCTCACTGGCGCCCATTAACGCGGTGTCAACGGGAAGGTCGCGTTTCTCCAAGCGGGAGCTCAGTCCGCAAGCTCTGTCAACCTTGGCCTTACACAGCTCTTATTCGCATAACATCGTCTTTTCTCACTCTTGTGGTGTACTTTGTACAGTTACTTAATCAATATTCCCTGTCACACTGTTCTTGTTCTCTATCTTACAGTGATCTCCTAAGCTCATCATGGAGCCCTACGACGACGGTGCGATTTCTGTTCCACTTCTATTTGCGCAAACGAATCTAACACCTCGTCGCTTTAGGATTTATTGAGGAGCAGGAAGAACAGGAGGAAGAGCGCACCGAGGAGAAAGTCATTAATGAAGGTGACTAAGCTTCGTTCTCCGAATTCGGTTATGAGGCTAAAGGCTTAAATCAGAATACAAAACCTGGAAGAAGAATGCGCCTTTCTTATATGACATGATTCTTAGTACGGCATTAGAATGGCCTACTCTTACAACACAATGGCTACCTGACAAGCAAGAGTATGCGCCTATTCTGCTGTTGGCTGTTCTACATGAAATCTAACCTTTCTAGGGTTCCCGACAAGCCGTATTCAACTCATCGATTGCTGCTTGGTACACACACCTCAAGTGACGCGCAAAACTATCTACAGATTGCTCATGTGCAACTTCCCAACCCTTCGGCTCCTAACCCGGACGACTACGATGAGGAGCGTGGGGAAATTGGTGGCTATGGCGGTAGCTCTAAAAAGGCCCCGATGGAAATTAAGTTCAATATTGTTCAAAAGATTGATCACAAAGGCGAAGTAAATAAGGCGCGGTATCAACCTCAAAACCCCAACGTGATTGCCACCATGTGTACAGATGGAAGGGTGATGATTTGGGATCGCTCGAAACACCCCAGTCTACCTACGGGCACAGTGAACCCTCAAATGGAGCTTCTAGGTCACACGAAGGAAGGATTTGGTCTTAGTTGGAGCCCACACACCGCAGGTCACCTCGTCACTGGTAGTGAAGATAAGACTGTTCGACTCTGGTAATTGCACGGTTCTCCAGTCACTGTGTCTACTGTCTGATAACTAACTCTCTTTGCAGGGATTTAACCACGTACACGAAAGGCAATAAGGCGTTGAAGCCAACTCGCACATACACCCATCATTCGTCGATTGTCAACGACGTTCAGTATCACCCACTTCATTCTTCTCTCATTGGCACAGTGTCCGACGATATTACCCTTCAAATCCTTGACATACGAGAAGCGGAAACAAGCCGTGCGGCAGCTTCTGCGGAAGGCCAACATCGTGACGCAATCAACGCAATTGCGTTCAACCCTGCTGCAGAAACCGTTCTCGCGACAGGTTCAGCTGATAAATCCATTGGCCTCTGGGATCTGCGTAATCTCAAGACTAAACTGCACACACTCGAGTGCCATACCGACTCCGTAACCTCCTTGTCTTGGCACCCATTCGAGGAAGCTGTCTTGGCGAGTGCAAGCTATGATCGTAAAATTATGTTCTGGGATCTTAGCCGGAGTGGCGAGGAGCAAACTCCTGATGATGCACAAGATGGACCCCCTGAGCTGTATGTTACTCTAGTTGTGCTTTTCATTTTACTAACATTGTTTTGCTAATTTACCCTTCTTTCAGCCTCTTCATGCACGGCGGCCATACCAACCGTATCTCCGATTTCAGCTGGAACCTTAACGATCCATGGGTTCTGTGTTCTGCCGCTGAAGACAATTTGTTACAGGTATGGAAGGTTGCTGATGCCATTGTTGGTAAGGACTTGGAGGATGTGCCAACTGAGGAATTGGAGGCCTGATTAATTTCATCTTAATATCCAATATCTCGAGGGTTTTATTACCTGATGCGACAGTATCCCGGAATCTTGTACAAGTGCTGCAGATAGGACGAAGATATCAATGAGAAAGAGTCATGTGAGCTTGAAGATCCGCTGTATTGATAGTCATTACCAGAAGAACAGTATTACAGCCTGACCACACTTCCTGAACACTCGCGTAACCAATGCATTTTATCACCACTGCGGAGTACTGCTTCGCGCGATATTACGTCTACACTGGGGATGCTACTACTTACCATTTCCGATAATGCCCGGTTTCTCCCGCCGCTATTTCTCTGCGCCCATATACGCACCAGAAGAAGGGTCATCCATTAAGCATGAATGTGGTGTATGGCCTGATCGACTTTAGGTACCGCCCGCTAGTTAACTGAGCAGATTGTTATGTTGGGTTGCAGGACTAGTGTAACTATATGGCGTCCTTACTAATACTAAGACTTATGAGTAGTAGGCCCTTATACACCATTTCCCTACTATAGTACTGAATGATCACACAGATCATAGTGCGCTTTAGACAATGAGGATAGATTATTATAGAGGAAAAGACCACCCAACTACAGTTACCTGTTCAAGCTGAGTGATAGATAGCATCAATACCTCAATGCTATTTACTAGATTCAATTGTGCACATACTATGCATTTCCGAGCTTGAATAGCTTTTCCAGGACGCTAAGTATCGGATATTTCAGGGTGCTACTTTAACAGAGCTAGCGGGGGTGGATATTCCTTCCAACCTTGTCACTGTGTCTATTATATGAGTTCCTAGAGAAAGAGCAGTTCTTTGTTTCGTCTAGAACAACATCTTAAGGCCATTAGACTTAACTATCAATATAGAGAAGATATTCCCGGCTCATACGGATAAGGGAATATGTGACTACTAGGGATGAAGCGCAACTCGAGTTGGCTCCACAGCGTTGGATCCGCGGGGTTTCCAGGAACGAATCAGCTCCATATTTTCCCGATCATCTTAAAGAAAACCTAGTCTGGAGGGTGGATGGTACAGCCTGTAAGAGTATAAGTTTCCCGAGTCGGAGATGTCTGGTACAGCTCGTATAAGGTATAGTAAGATCAGAGACCGATCCTAGGGCGATTGGTACCCCGATAGTCAGAGCTTCAAGGGACGATGGGAAGAAACGTCCCGAGTCATAGCGCCGTTGGACAAGCTTAAGTTCCGCTGCACCCCGTACAATGATGTATGCAAGTACATCCAGCATACATGCTTAATTACGGTACCAGTAGTACTAGCAGTATGGACTGAGTACTAAAAGTCATGAATGAAGAAAGTCTTAAGTCTACGAGGTGTGGATGAAATTAAATAGACAATTTTGGAAGAAATGTATATTTTGCTAGTCATGGCAGTACATCTACGGGAAGTAAATACTAGTTAGTAGTCATGTTAACTTATATCATTGCTGTTGATATCCCTAGTTATAGTAAATGGTATTGATAATACCATACAGGGACCGAGGAGTCAGCAGATTGCAACAACATGACTGGCCGTCACTGGCCGATCCCGCAGGCGGTGAGCATATGAAATCAGATCGGCGCCGGAGAAGGTCCAATCGTTCAATCGGCCCCGTCAAGAATGTCGCCATTGAAAAACGGCGTCCCCTCTTTAGCTCTTTTTTTTTTTTCTGCCCCTCCTCGAAATTATCATAAATATGTTTCATTATTGCATGCCTGAATAATTTTTTATAATTACCGCAACTGTTATGAACCCAAGATTTTGAATTGTCGCCTGCTCCTCCATCATCTGTATACTAAAAAGCCCTGGCCGGCACAATTCCATCGGCGGACTAATTCCCCCCTCCACATAACTACCTAACTAATTACTCATTTGTTTCTACCATCCTCCACCTCCACCATGAGTTCTGGATCTCCTCCCCAAGGCTCAAAGCCCAAATCCGCTGTTCCACCTCGTCTGTTGAACGGGAGCTCTTCTCTTAATTCCCCCATGAACTCTCGTGGTGCTCGCGAAAGGGAGAGTCTCAACTCATCTATTCGCTCCTCATTTGCCCCCCGCGTCCCGGCAGAGTTCAATTTGCCAGAGACAGCTGTACACCCTGTCGATGAATCTACGCCTGTCACGAAAGAATCGAATACTGACTCACGCGCGGTGAAGTACGTTGCTTGTACACCCTGACATTCAAATCGTGACTAATCGAGTTTCTAGGCCATCTTTGAATGACGTGCCCGGTGATTCAAGAGATGACACCCGGGCTTTGAGCCCACCATCGACAGCTAGCCGCCCAGCAAGTCCATACACTCTATATCCTCCAATCGATTTTGATGGGCTGAGCTGGCCTTGTAAGTGACATGGCTAACGTTCCAATGAACATATCGTTTAACTATTTTTGCCCAATAGGTCCTGGCACAAGGGCGCGGCTGGAATCTTCGCCCGAGGAAACGGAAGAACGAGTTCAAAAATTGGCAGGAGCAGTGAGAACCATTCTAGAGTGTATTGGAGAGGATCCGGAAAGAGAAGGTTTGCGGGAAACCCCAGAGAGATATGCGAAAGCCATGCTCTACTTCACCAAAGGCTACGAGGAGAATGTCAGGGATCTGGTCAATGGAGCTGTTTTCCATGAGGACCACGATGAGCTAGTTATTGTCAAGGATATCGAGGTCTTCTCTCTGTGTGAACACCACATGGTTCCCTTTATGGGAAAGGTATGGACAACGTCTTAGATTTGGACCATGCAACATTGCTGACCAGTTGTCTTCACCACAGATGCATATCGGCTATATCCCCGATCGCCGTGTTCTTGGGCTTTCTAAATTGGCGCGCCTGGCGGAAATGTTCTCCAGGAGGCTACAAGTGCAGGAGCGCCTTACCAAACAAGTCGCACTCGCCATATCGGACGTCTTGAAGCCATTAGGCGTTGGTGTCGTCATGGAATCCTCGCACCTCTGTATGGTGATGCGCGGGGTGCAAAAAACAAGCAGCACCACCACAACAAGCTGCATGTTGGGATGCATGCGATCTAGCGCAAAGACCAGGGAGGAATTCTTGACTCTTTTGCACCGGAGATAATGTCTTCTATGTCTATGACACATACTTGTTACCTTCTTTTTAACAGTGGATGGTATTCATGATTTCAACGGAGTTAGGGGCGGTTTACCTCTCAACAGGTTATTTTGGTTCTGATTGTTCTGATTTTCTACCGAGCCACACGGTTGGCAGATCTCTTATTCTTTTATTCTATATTCTTCTTGTTCCTATAAACACTACTTGGATACACCCTGAATTTCTTCATTTCGCTGCAGCAGACCATGCACGATACTTGTCATATTACTCGGGTTGCTTTTGTGGAAATACATACAGAACCAATAGAGGGCACACGGAATGAGGAAGGGTGAGGGAGAACATTCCTCCTGATAGGGTTCGGCTCGGCTCAGCTCAGCTCAGCTATTGGCATATGAACTCATTACGTTATGAGACGATATTCAATGTCGGTTCAACACTATCTTTGTTTCACGCTAGCAATTACATTTTCTCAATACATTTGTTGTTAGTGGACATTTAGCATCTATAGCAACCGGAATATACCGCAGTGGAGACTGTCGACGCAGCCCAACTTCTGAAATTCACTCCTTAGTATGAGCAAGGACTGGTTGGCATAGTGATTCACTCTTTGAAATAGCTACTGGGGCTTTATTGCTCTCTGCATTTGCATCATCATAGCGGTGTGTATTCTGTGAATTTGAGTGCTAGGTCCGTGCTCACTGTCTTAAGACTGATATATTTTGGATTCACTGGATGCCATGCTTTGAGCTATCTTACAGGAAATACATATTCACTCCAGGGTTTTAATGTCAAAATTAATTTATCTTCTGTCTTAGACGAGAGTTGGACCTGCCTTTAAATATTTGAATCCGGGGTGATAACTTCATACTTCCAGTTGCTCAGCAAGTATCAATAGTAACCGTCCTTCATCAAGCTTCAAAGGTTGGTGTTCCAAATCATACTAACACTTGCGAAGTTGTACCCCCACCAGATCACTGACCATACTATCTCCTCCAAAGCTCCTTATTGATGCAAGTCGTGACGAAGTGACCGAGGATGGAGGCGCTAGATGATAAAGATATTGAAGCTGCTCAGACTTTGGTTATGCTCTCTACCCCTTCGAGGGGACAAGGCTCGATGCAAAGCAGCACTCCACATGCTAGGCAGAGCATTGATCCAACCACCAATATCTCCATGTATTCGTCTATTTCGAACCCAGCTCAGCCAGTCAGACGATCCAGCTCTAGCTCAAGACCCGTTCCAGCTCAGATTTCGACAGACACAATGACAGCCTCAGATAAGGCCCTGCAGGCATACCTACTCCGGCAGCAGCTGCTAGCAGGAATTGCGCCTGAGAATTTGATACCAATGAGGCCACCCACAACTGGCCAGACCCAGGGCGGTAATCAGGGTATCGTGAACAGGCCAAGCAATCCTTCTTTGGTGCAGATCACGAACAACGGTATTTCAATCCCTCATATCCCACCTGCAAGGTTCACTGGCGTACTTCACCCACTTCCTGCTCAGCCAACTCAGGGTTCCCGCAGTCCTATATCTCTTAAGAGGCAGCCAATCTCCAGGTGCGGCAGCAATCCTGGCGCGGGTTTGAGAACGCAACCGGTAGCCCGGGTTCGATCCGAAAATTCTCAAGGCAGGAATACCGTATCTCACGAGGGATCAAGTGCTTCGGGTGGACGTCAATCTGAGCCTCATGCTAGTGAAAGACCCCGTCAACCCTCTGAAGGGGATCGGATTCGAAGGGTAGAGGCTCGACGGCCCACGCAGCGAAATAGCCATCTTGCCGTGCCTCATCAGCAGGATAGATCACAGCCTCGGCTTCAGCTTTTCCCTACCTTAGCTCGTGGCTCGATCAGCCCTCTGCCATTAAATAGTAATACTATTTCTCCGGATACCAGTAACAAGAGCTCGAATACCACAGGCCTCCCACACAACGGCTTTGATATTCTTCTAGCCTTCACTTATCATCAAGGTCTATCTCTGGAGCTCACAATGTATCTCAACGTTGAAGAATTGATCAATTTACTCTCGATCTCCAAGCCGTTTAATCGCTTCGTGAAGAAGAATTGTTTTGATATCATAAAACGCCAGGCGACGAGGGACGCTCCCGAATCCTCGCAAATATTTCCGTTCAGATGCTATTCGAGGCTGTGCATCGATAACACAAATGCCAGGCGACAGTCTATTCCTGCTCGCGACATTGTAGGCGAAAACAACCTTGCACCGTCCTTTTGCTGGTTGCAAATGATCATCTACCGCGAGAAAACGGTCAAGAAAATCATGGAAAATATGCTCGCTGCGGGCTATTGGTTGCCAAAGCCATGTGAGCCAGTAATCAAGAAGCTCTGGTTCATCATGGATATCCCCGACAACCGGCGTCGTGAATGGACGATGATGAACCGCAATTTGTGGCAAGATATCGAACTTTTCTTCGCAATGATCTTCATTGCCCAGCTCGATATGCTGTTGAGGAAGAAACGTGAGAGTATCACGGGCCGTTTATACCATTTATTGATGGCTCAGCCTACTATGACCGTGCTTTGGGACGTCTTGAGGGATGCTGCTCTTCGAAGCGAGTTCGAGACTCTCAAGTATTTTGTCCGTTGGAAGTATACTCCTTTGCCACATGAGACTGACCTGTACGTTTATGGAGTTCCTCCTCAGGAGGTTGGAGCACTTCAGTATGAAGGATATGGCCGACACGAAAGAGTCACAAAATTCATCCAGCCCGATGAGCTCATTTTGAGAGAAATGGCCAGGAGGCAGCTTAATCTTGGTGATATGTACCAGGATATCTTCTTGACTGGTGATAGGGCCCGTTACTATTCGCGGTTCACTCAAGCTGCTACTTCGTGGGATGAAGAAATGAAACGTGAGGCGGGTGCGCAAGGTATAGACTGGCAAAATGTTGTCAGATTGAACTAGCCGGGTCTTGACTAGAACATCAACGACATTTAGCCAAGACCCGTGCGTCGGCCTTTTTTTCTGATGTGAGATTGTGGGATGGTGGTTTGTATAGGGAGATTGTAATGGGACCTTGTTCTTTTTTTTTTTTTTTTTTTTTTTTTTTTTTTTTTTTTTTTTTTTTTTTTTTTTTTTTTTTTTTTTTTTTTTCCTCTCGAACATACGTGGGGAAATATTTTGATTCACTGCCCTGATGACATGAATTCTTTTTAGCCCAGTTTTACCAAATATGGTAAACGATTGCACTAGCAGCATGATGATCTGGTATTTCATGTACACTAAAACACTCGGCGCTTAGAAAATTCAATCTCAGCTTTGTTAAAAACTAATACAAATCGATATCTTGTTTAAATGGGTACAGGCTACCTGAAAAGATGCAATAATTTATAGATTTACCAAGAATTAGGCAAATGAGTTCGTTATTATGTTTGTTGTAATATCGAACAATGAGATACTGGGCTTTACCTAACATGTTAATTTATATGTAATCCTAACTCAAGTTGCCTACAAAAAGATCAGAGGAATCTATTGCCAATAACCATCAACTATACTGTCAGGATAATTCTAGTAGTGCCCCTTGTACCAGGGGTTATATATGCCAGATTGAGAGGATTTACAGCTAGAGGAATAAGTGATAGGATTTTGAGCTAGGCTAAATTTTGCACATCCACTTCTCAAAAATGTTATAACTACAATCAAACTATATGAGTTATGGTTACACATTTCATTGATAACATACACCAAGGAATATGTTTATGCCTGAGGCATTATCATTCAGTGGATCCAATTCCTCCGCGGCCCGCCGGATCACGTGGATCGCACTCAGTACTCCAAGTCCAAGCCTACAGTAACCTCGACCTCCCACCAAATTCGCCTAAACATCGTATGCGATGAGCTTGCATGCCCTGGGCCCCCACCCTGAGATGTGGTAATCGATCAGGCTTCGTGATCGACCGGATAGGATTGTATGGCCTGCCTAGTGATGCCTGACCCTACCAGAGCTGCTCGATACCGCGATGCTCGGTTTGTTGGGTTGGTCCCGACCTACTCACTAAATCCGCATCCCCACCGCCCATTTACACGTCATGAGCCAACAACACTTCGCGCCCATATACGTCTCGATTAGGCAATAAATCTAGACATTTCCAGGGGCAAGAGACCTTAAAAGATATTTTCTTCTACAATACGCCTTTACTTGTTTCTCTTCTTTCTTTCGATACAACTACTAACAGGTGCTCTGCGGGATTCCCGGTGACCATTCCGGTCTTTTTCGCAAGCTCCGCCAAGTTCCTTCGTCAGGTATGCATCCCCACGGGTTCTTGATTCTAAATCGCTCTAGGTCGAGGATGAGCGTGAATTGTCCGCAAATAAAGCCTGGCTATTCCTCAGTTCGACCAGGCGTACCTCGCCATATTGGTAGATCTTACAAGTGTTTTCGCCCTACTGCAAGCCTGGCTGCTACCCATTGAAGTGGAGCATGACTGGGAGTGCCTCATATTTGTGATTATTTTCAAGTAAAAACACAGATGACATTGTTGTTGTCTTTCTTTTGGGCGAGACAGATTTATATCTTGGTTGACTGAAGCACCGAAAGAAAGTTCTGCAGTGCCCTTGCAACATCTACATGCTACGCATCATTGTTGGGGATCTGTTGTATCTCTTTATTTCTCGCCCGTTTGACCTTAATGTGCGACGCAGTGAGGGACTATTAGATGTCTTGAATGGCATCCGGCAATCACTCCATCACTGCATACTAACAAGATCAGGATACCACCTTGTGGATTTTGCAACCAACAATGACGAAATCCTGCTGTGGCAGATTCATCTGCCTATTTGTCATTTCTTCATTGTTGGCTTATTGCATCCCGTAGATAGGCCTGTGTGTTACGAAGCGAAGAGATATTCACTTCTATCCACGGTTGGAGACAACCTTACGAAGGCGAGAAGCTCAGAGATTTGGGGTGGGAGGGATGGCCAGAGAGAAAACAAGCCAAGAACTCATATGTCAACCAAGACTAACATATCCAGACTTGTCGAAAGGAGGAAGAAGAAGAAGAAGAAGAAGAAGAATTAAGCAAAGGGAAGAACAGGATTATTCGAGTGAGATCCTGAGGGCAAAGAATAGCTTCCTTTGATCGACACGTCGACATTAGTCTTGAAGCCAAGACCACAACGCTCTGAAGGAAGCCCAGACTGTGTTAAGTGGCTATTCTGTGCTTTTTACTTTGCCTCGGGCTCAAGGCATCCGAGCGTTTCTGATCCATGACTGCAGCTCTTGCCTGTCAGTTGCGTTGCGCGACCGTTGGCCACTATCGTAGTAAACCCGCACTGCAGGCAAAAGAACCGGAGAATGAGGAGACCAGCATGGGAATGACCGATTGACGAGCCGCCCGTCAGTCGCCCACCTGATTTCCCTCCCGCCAGGACCACCACTTAAAATATGCCTGTCAAGAAAGTAGATTGCCGTCACCACAACCTTGATTTTATTCGTATGCACTCAATAAAAAAGAGGAAAAGAGAAGAAAGGAGAAGGGAAGAGAACCCAAGCCCACACCCAAACAGCGAGGTGCGTCTTCCCCTTATAGAAAAGAAGAAAGGAAAACAAGCCAACCCCTCTTATCTACTAAACGTTTTTGATTTTGAAAGTTCTTGAGGTTTGACGTTCTGTTCTTTCTCAGATACAGGGCTATTCTCTTTCCACCCCGGAAAAACCAGGCCTCCGCACTACCCGACAGGAAAGCATTCAGTGAACGCGGTCAACACGACCGGCAGACTAGACGAACGATAGGCTCCACCGTAATCTCCTGCGCTTATTATCTATATGCGAATCCTTCTATCTCTCAGTGGTCCATACCATCTGATTCCGACTGCTTCCCTACCTTCATTTATTTAAACCAGATGCAGTTGAAGAAGTTTACATGGCTGGGTCCCGTAGGAGTCCGGTGTTGAGAGACCAGTGGAGAGCCTCCACCAACACTACAGACCAACGAGATCGGGAAAGGCACAGATCTCGAGGATCGCACCGCGATAGGGGGAGGGAGAGATACCGTGAACGACAACGTCGTCGCCGACCCAAAGGGGGTAGACCCGATCACCCAGGACGGTCGCCACCACCGCGTTCTTTCGCGCAAGCGGATAACGAAGAACACCGTTCACACCGTGAATTTTCCCCTGGTACTGTGTCGGCTCGTGCCTCCCCTGGTCCTCCAACGTCAGACTTCCAACCAAGCCAGAACTTTGGTCGTCACTCTTCGCCCAAACCGACTGAGCATCCCGATCTAGATTCGCACCATTCTCTGGAGGTTGACAGGCCGATCGAGCGGGACTACCGCAGAGATCAATCTCCCTCTGCACCCCCTCCATCAAAACGCAAAAGAACACGAAGTCCTTCACCTGGGCTGCATCCCCGCCACTCTACTCAAGAACCTCCTCGCCACCCGTATAGTCGGCCGGGTGACGACTCTGAGCGAAGTTTTCCACATAAACGGGGCCGAGGACGTTTCCCAGGTCGCGGTAGGTCGGGTCGAAGGTCACCACGACGAGGGAGAGACCGCCGGAAGGACGAGGCTGGTCGACGAAGTTCTTCCCGCCCAAGACACTCGAAGTCTCCCACTCGTGGTGCGAAATCTTACAACTACCCTCGTCGTCGGTTGCACAGCCCTCGCCCTGAAGACGATACTGAACGCGACCCGCGGCATCGATCTGTATCTCGCCATTCAGCAGAGTCGGTGGGCTCAAGGTTATCTATTGCCTCCCGGCGGGAATCTATAGCTATGCATTCGGCTAGACCAATTCGGTCTGCAGATAACCCTCTCAGATCCCCGTCCCCCCCTGGCCCAATTCCAAGCTTTGATGTTGAGAATACTGGTGCTTTGGTAGATGGAGATGCCCCACGTGAGTCCGTTTCGATGCATGGGATGCGGGCATCTGATGCACGGGACACCAAGAGCTCAAACCCCCGTCCGCATCTTGATTCCAGACAATATTCGACCTCGCCGCAATACGTGACCCCGTCTAATTCCTACCATGGTTCCCCACAATCTACCTCTCCGTATTCGGGTGGACGGGGCGGTTGGAATGGGCAGCAGCCTCCTCACCCCGGGTAGGTGTTTCTTCTTTCTTCTAATTCTCCTTCCCTTTTCTTCTTCTTCTTCCTGTCTTATAGAGAAACTCTTCCAAAAGTGCTGACCTGGGTGCAATGTCTAGTCGTTCTCCTCCGTACAGACAGCCGCCGACTGGTCCACAGAGCCACTTTTATCAAGGCCAAAGCCAATTTCATCCGTCTGCGAACCATATTCCCACAGGTCCTCGTGGAGGCCATTCAGGCTATCGCGGAAACTATCAGAACCAAGGAGGCGGCCGTAGATTCTCTGCTTCAGGCTCCCAAAATTACAGCAATGCACCTTCCCCGCGTGGCCGGGGTAATTTTACCAGTTATCAGTGGAGTGGTCCCGGATCCCGGGGTCGGGGGCCTCATAGCCCACATACATCACATGGGCAGACGTCACAAACCCCTCCGCCTCCAACGGCTTCGGAAAATGAGACATCTATTGGTCCTGTTCAGAGTAATATTGCTTTCAGGCTTGGTGGCCAAGATCGCCCGGTAGGCGAGGAAAAGCCAGAGTCAGAGGTCGACGATGCCCAGAAAATGCTACCTACGAACATAGGACAGTCTGATACCTCTACGAACCCAAATAAGGGAGGCAAAATCAGTTTTGCTTTCAAGGCGAAGACAACTCCAGCCCCTGCTCCGAAACCCGTTCCGGATCTGGCACAAAGGATGCTGGCCCGAGAGCCACCTGCCCGGGTGGCCGAGCCTCCGCGTAATCGGATGGCGAGTGGTCCGCCTCCCAAATTCAAGCCTGAGCCACGTTTTGATCGTCGTGAGCGGGACCGTGAGAGAGAAAGAGACCGACATCGTGAAAGAGATCGCGACAGGGGGCGTAATGACCGGCGCGATTTCCGGGATCCGCGCGGGTTCCGTGATCCTAGGGATAGGCGCGACGGTCGGAAGGATGATCATCGTTTTGATCATCGCCATGACAGGAGAAGAGGTGACCGACGACAGGATTTCCGTCCTGAACGCCGCCGGGATCGTTCTCCGGAACCCAAGAAACAACCTAAAATTCTGACACGGCCGAAACCACGTCCCATACTTCCTGAAGAATTCGCTAAATCGGATTCTGTTTATTACCGGAAACCTGGAAATGAATCTGTTATTGGAGCTGGTACGTATGGAAAGGTCTTCAAGGCAATTCATGTGTATACCCAGAGAAAGGTGGCATTGAAGAAGATACGAATGGAGGGCGAGAAAGATGGTTTCCCTGTCACGGCTGTGCGCGAGATCAAGTTGCTGCAACACCTCCGCAACGACAATGTTGTGAGCTTGCTGGAAGTCATGGTAGAGAGGAATGAGTGCTTTATGGTGTTTGAGTATCTCTCCCATGACCTTACTGGTCTCATTAATCACCCGACTTTCACACTTACGGCAGCTCATAAAAAGGACCTGGCAAAGCAAATGTTCGAAGGATTGAGCTACCTTCATCATCGTGGAGTGCTGCATCGCGACATCAAGGCCGCCAATATTCTTATCAGCAACCGTGGACAACTAAAATACGCCGACTTCGGTTTGGCCAGATTCTTCTCAAAAAGTCGACAACTTGATTACACAAATCGTGTTATCACTATATGGTACCGACCGCCAGAGCTTCTCCTGGGTGAAACCAGGTACGGACCGGCAGTTGACGTTTGGAGTGCGGCTTGCGTATACGTCGAAATGTTCACAAAGAAAGCCGTTTTCCCCGGCGAGGGGGGCGAGATCAGCCAAATGGAGAAGCTCTATAATTGTCTCGGGACTCCGACACGAGCAGAATGGCCAGACATTGTTGAGATGCCTTGGTTCGAGCTGATGCGCCCGACTGAACGAAAGAGAAGGGTTTTTGAGGAGGTGTATGGGCGGATCCTAACCCCAGCGGCTCTGGACTTGGTTTCTCAAATTTTCCGTTATGACCCGACTGCACGGCCAACTGCTGAGGAGATACTTGCACATCCGTACTTTGCTTCGGAGGAGCCTAGGCCCCAACAAGCCATTGAGTAAGTGTTCAAGTGGTATGGTACTTTCTAAGTGTGTTATCTAACAGAATACTAGACTGGAGAACATTGAGGGCGATTGGCATGAATTTGAATCCAAAGCACTCCGCAAAGAGAAGGACAGGGAAGCTCGCCGCGCTGAGTATCAGAGAGACAAAGAGAAACGGAAGGCTGGTACTTCAGCTCCACCCAGCGAGAGAGAAACGAAACGTGCCAAGCAAGACGCCGAGGACTCGCAATCTTCAGCACAGCCTACGGAACAATAGGTCAAAAACGGCTACATGCGTCGCATCACTGGGATGCAATATTTGCGTGGGGACTTGATTTCAAAAAATTTCCACGATAAGAATTATGGTCACGCGTTCTGACAGCATATATCCAATGCTTATTGTGATTATCACAGGAGCTATTATAGTGTAGCGAATGTATAGAATTTCTCCTATTCGAGATGCACTGGTTTTTATATTTTCGTACACATCGGTTATGTTTCTACAATTTAGACGTCCCAAAGAGGGAGCAATACAATCAATCTACTATTTGCTGGTCAGTATTTAATGACCAAAGCCAATCGGAACAGCTCGGCATATGCCATTGAAACCAAGTGCAACAGATCAGACTTTGCCTTTGAAACCTCACACTCAACCAGCTTAGCCAAGAAGGCAGTGTAGAAAAGCGGTTGAGCACCTCGGCTTACCAGAGAATGATTTTTTCCTCATGGACTGGTGTTTTCAAGCACGGCGGCGGCCGAGAATTGGCAGAAAAGAAGTGAACGCACCAGAGTGATAGCTACCAACCATGTACGGCAGTAACCATGGTGGTGGATTGTCGTTCTTGCTTTTATGCAAAAGGTAAATATCAAACATTCTCTAATTAGGAAAAGGTATGTCCCGTCATACAGGTCATCACCGCATCATGGAAGCCGAGAAGCCCTCGTGATGATGGTTTTAGAAGCGGGTTTGAATAGTTGTTCTCGACACACTCATCGGAGTCGCCAGTGCAGTGGAGTAGAAAAAACGTTGCAGCTGGCGATGATTTGAGTTGGTGGTCTTGGGTTTTGTGAAGAAGAAGAAAAGAAAGGGAAGGATGAAGGGAATTTAAAGGAAAAAAAGAAGGAAAAACGACGGTGCGGGAGGCCGAGAGCGGGGCTCGACGGTGATTGGACAAGGGCGGAGGAGCTCGAAGAAATGGACGAAACGCGAAGGGCAATAATTATCCATTTCTTCCAATCGAGCGGACAGTGACTTGAGTTCTTCCAGTTCAATCTTGCAATCCGCATTCTTCCCCCCCACCTCTGCTTAACGTTCACGATCACGATCACGATTTCTACTCCCTTTCTTTAGCTTCCGTTGTTCTTGCTCAACATCTTGTTTTAATTACTATATTAGTCGCTTTTATTCTTCCGCCTTTTTCTCTCGAACTGCCACCATCTGCCTTTCGTCTGCATTGAACATTTTAGCGCTTTCCAGATATACGGTATCATTCGGTTTTTACCCTACGCAGTTAAGCCGCCAGTTTCTCCGTTCTATTGCCTGATGACCGCTCGTTTTCTGAGCCGTCTCATTAGGTAGCTATCATGGATAACGCAAATCTTTGGACTCGCCGATCCAAGTACGTATACGTCGTCGTCTTCTTTTTTTTTGTTTTTTTTTTTTTTCTTTTTTAAACATTCTTCATCCTTTTTCCATTTTTGTACATTGGTGATTTTTCGAGGGGTCATTGCTGATCGTTTCACCGCGTTCCAGCTCCTCTAAGTTGTCTCTGTCTATGACGGGAACAGACGGCAAAGACGGTGCCAAAGTCGAACTTCCCCGCACAAAGCGTTTTGGTCCTGATAGCTCCCACGGTCGATCGAATCCCTTCAACGCTCTATCTCCTCTTTCGGGCGGTGTGTCCTCCCCGTCGACGAACGCCTCGTCTGCATTCGGCCTGGGATCCGGCGCCTTTGCGTCTTTCGGTGCCCCCAAAACTCCCGGCGGCTCCGACCTCAAGACGCCCCTCGAGAAACGAGACAACCCGACGGAACACGACTCGGTGGAGGGCACGAAGACGAAGGCCGCTAGTTCTATCATCAGAGAACACCCTCTGAAATCCACCTGGATCATTTGGTACCGTCCACCCACGCCTAAATACTCCGATTACGAAAAGTCAACCGTCCCCCTTGCATCTATATCCTCGGTCGAAAGTTTCTGGTCGATATATTCGCACTTGAAGCGGCCTTCTCTTCTACCCACTGTTTCCGACTATCATATCTTTAAAAAGGGCATTCGCCCTGTATGGGAAGATGATGCCAACAAGAAGGGTGGGAAGTGGGTGGTGAGATTGAAGAAGGGTGTTGCTGATCGGTACTGGGAGGATCTTCTCTTAGCTATGGTTGGTGACCAGTTCGCGGAGGCTGGTGATGAAGTTTGCGGTGCTGTCCTCAGCGTACGGAGTGGCGAGGACGTGTTGAGTGTCTGGACCAGGATTGACGGTGGGCGCAATATCAAGATCCGGTAAGCTTTATTGTTGGATTTTCTTTTTCAGGGCTCGCCTTGAAAACTTTTCGTTCTGTTTTCTAATGCAGCGCAGGGAAACGATCAAGCGTCTGCTGGGCTTCCCGATCGATACCAACATTGTCTGGAAGAGCCACGACGACAGCATTGCTCAGCGCTCTGCCATTGATCAAGCTCGTCAGGAGAAGGCCGCCGGAAACAACGGCCACCACCATCATCACCACCATCACCATCACCACAACAATAACAACAACAACAACCCACATCACAATCTAGGTACAGATCGACGAAGAGTTACGGCTAATGATGACTCTACGGGAGATAAAGGAAAGGGAGCGGCGTCGTGACATGATTATCTGAGCCTGGTTTATGGTCCTGTATAGTAAAGAAAACAAAAAATAATTGGGACGATTTGGGATCGGGGCATTGGGCGAATAGTGCGTCTGTTTTGACTTGGGCTTGATTTCATTTCTCGTCATTGTTCTATTTTACGCCAGATGATATGCAAGTTCACAGGAACTTTTAGGGGATGCCTGGTGCATGCAGCGCAATCACTGCCAGATGATTTACATTCGGACTGAAATGTATCTATTGTAAAGCTTTGGTTTTTTTTTTTTTTTTTTTTATCTTAGTGTGGAGTGTAAAGTAGTAGTATATTAAAGGATCATTCCCTGAGACAATGATTGAGTTACTTCCGTTTGTAGTGTTTGTCGATACCTTAGTACAGTTATTGGTTGTTTTTTGCTTTTTCTGAACTCTACCTCATTGATGGCTGCAAATTAATTTTCCCGCATGAACAGACAGTGGGCAGAAAGAGTTCCCACCGCCTTTTTTTCTTCCGTCATGATGCTTTCTTTCTTGTCAATCACGTTTCCCCTCTATGTGTACGGGAATCGAATATCTGCTGAACTTGTCCCTGTGATGCAATGATCTTTGGTGTGATTACATGTTTGGGAGGATTTCAGATTTCTTGTCCAACTGGATCCCCAGTGAACCGACGGAATCCCAACCAACCACAGTCAACCATTTCCCATTTGATGCGACCTCCGACCAAGTGCGACGGACACAGACGTCCGGTAAGAGGACTGGATCTCTTTCTGTAGGGTCTGCTGTGGACATACCTATCCACTCCCCAGATGTATGTGGCCTTTTCTGTATATTTCTCCCAAGGTTTTCTCTAGTATGGCTGATCTACATGGTCGACTTCGGACATTCATATCCAACTCCGTCGGGGGGGGGGGGGTGGGACTATACCTATGCACGGGCTAAATTTCTTTGCTTTTTTTAGATTCAATCAACCCATAGCTATGCCGAAAGACCCCAACGCTCTGAATCTGTACGTTTACAACTACGCCAGACCATTCCTCGACCGGGTGTAGGGATGCGGCGTCTGTAAATATGACCTCGCAGCGCAAAAGCGATTCCGAGTATGCTGATACGTTGGGCGGTAGGCTTGGAGAGGGTAAGTCGACGCGGAGCCAGACACGTCTACCTACTCAAAACGACGAAGAGAGATTATTGCCCGGCAATACCATACGGTAGGTCTTGCGATTGTCATATCGGATTCTGATGGCCTAGCGAACGCGGAGCTTACAGGTGGTTACTTTTCCAGGTCCGACCCTGCTGCGGTAAAGATTGTACCTGGAAGTGCGGGGCAAAAGTATGGTCGCAAGAGTAAATTGGTATGCGATTGGATTCCGGGCTATTGTTCGTCCTTCTGACTATATATGTCCATAGAACATCCAAGCGTTCAAACCTTACGATACAATTTCACGGCGTGTTCGAGAGAGTGGACCAGTTCGCGCGCGAGGGAAAGCAGATCAGAGCAGCAGCAGTCAAAGAATTACTAGAGGTATCGTCACCCGTCCAGAAAATGGTGCCGTACACGACGATCAGGAGCGGCCGTCCAAACGTCGGCGCCGAGAGAGCCAGGACACTTTTCGAGGGGTCATAAGCATTCCCGACGATGATATCATGGAGCAAATTCCCCCAGACAACTCATATCTCGGTGGACACTCAACCCGTTTATCGCCTGCACTTAGTCAACATTCAGATAGAACAAAACTACGGGATCCGAGTTCTAAACGCAATAGAGTTGATGAGTATCGTGACGTGGAGAGGGGCATTAAACCCCCTCGAACTCCCAAGCGAGGCTCTATAAAATACACTCAATTATTTTCGGATGAATACTATGAAGAGCGATTTACTGAAGATGCAGCCAGGGAAAGACGTGCAATGGCGTCAGACGTGGAACCGGAGTCAGCCAAATTGGCGTGGCCAGATCGAGCGGGAAAACATGAAGCCATCAAGAGTGTTGAAGTATATTCGCCTCCGTTGAAAGAACAACAAGATGGTCCGAATCTCGATTGTCCTTCCGTTGCGATAGATCAGAATCATCCGGACAGTTCGAGGGACAGCCCTGATGAACTGCAAGGAGGCGCAACCGTCCAACCAGCACCCATGTTACTGAAAAGAGGCCGTGAAAAGGAAGCCAGCAATGCTATGTCTGAACCCAAAGAACATCCGGGTGTAGTCGGTCGGCTGGCTTCTCCATCCGATATACAGCCTACAATATTCACGGGCTCCTCTCAAAACCATCGGAAATCCGACAAGCGGAGAAAGGCCCCGACCTCACCAGTCAAATTAGCCGTCAAATGCTTCTATGCCACCTTCGTTCGATTTGGGTCGGATGAACACCGGTCAAGTGAAGCATTTGAAATAAATGTGGAGACTACAGAGTCTACAGCGACTACAGAGACTACAATAACACATCCTTGGAACGGTGAAAGAATTTCTCTGGGGAGGCTTGACAAGGTCGTACAAGGGAAGTCACCTAGTCGGAGAGTTCGGCTACTGTTTTCCAGAAAAGGGGGGCTTGATAACGAGATGGACATGGAATTTTCCACGTCCGAGGAGCAGGAAACTTTATGTAACCTCTTACAGAGATTGCTGCACGGGCAACATGTTCAGCTGTTGTACAGACGCGAGTATGTCTTCTCTATCATCCCATGTTTTTGACTCTTTCGCACAGAAGCTTATACGATCACAGCGATTGGTTGGAAGATTCATTCATGAGACGATCCGAAGATCTCGCGGAAAAGAAAGCGAATGAAGCCAAGCATCTTGATGAAGACAAGCCAAAATCAATATCGTACAGGGCGCCGGAAGTCGCTAAGCGGGTGAAACTGTCGGACTCTTTGCAAGACACTAATGAGAATACTGCCGGACAAATACAGCCTTTGGATACCGCTTCGGTGGAATGTTCCAAATCGGCAACAGAAACTCCAGGAAACTTGATCGCCCCAAGCACACGAGAACTACCCTCAAATGAGCAGGGAGCGGACAAAGTTCCTGTGAAGAAATTTTCCCCCGGATCATCATTCTCTAATCGGGCAACACGGTCAATGTCGCGTCGGGCACCAGCAACAACAGTCGTTTGGTGAGTGGCCCCTTGCTATGAACAAGGTTCTCAACTAACTTGAACCGTAGTGATGATGAGGTTGAGGACGATGGCTCTCAGCCAAAGGCTGAAGAGAAAGATAAGAAGTGGCATAAGTATGTGCCCCTCTCTTGCTAATGTACGTCCTTGTATTAATCAAATGCTAGACCGCTTGTGTATCCCCGCTTTGGCAAGAAAAAAGCTGAAGTCGATGCCCAAGACCGTGAACGGCTGCGTGATAACGAGTTCTTGAATGATAACCTCATAGGCTTCTATATACGTTTTCTCGAGGATCATTTAGAGCGGACTAACAAGGAGGTAGCGAAGAGAGTCTATTTCTTCAACTCGTACTTCTTCGCAACCCTGACAAACGCCAAGGGCAGAAGAAATATTAATTATGAAGGTGTCCAAAAGTGGACTCGCGCCGTTGACATTTTCGGATTCGATTACATCGTGGTTCCTATCAATGAAAACGCTCACTGGTACGTCGCTATCATTTGCAACTTGCCGAACTTACCTGGTATTGCCGACAAAAACACGGAGAACCGACAACCTTCTGAATGTGATAAAGACAGTTCGGCTGCACCGGAGAGTGAAGGCCGCGAAATCCCCGAAACGCCTGAACCCATTGAGGAGCTACCTGCTGGTAAACCAGTGACGGCCAATGACAACCGAAATTCGCAACCTGCGAAAGACGAAGCAACCCGCCAGTCATTTGAGACGATGAGCTTGTCGGACAAAGAAGAACTTGAAGACCGTGCACCGGACTTGCCCCCTACAGAGTGGCCAGAGCAAGAAGAGAACCTTATCTTTTCTCCCGCCAAGTTCTCTAGCCCTGCAGCCAAAGCAGAGTCCACCGAAAAGGCTAGCGTGGTGGGAACTTCTGAACTAGCAGCGTCTCTCAATAAGGGCTCGAAGAAGAAGAAGGCAAAGCCCAGCGGAAAACCTGGAGGTGCTAAATTCGATATCCGTCAAGCAACTATAATTACCTTTGACTCATTAGATCTGTCTCGCTCGCCCACCATCAGTAATCTCCGCGATTATCTTTACGAAGAGGCCAAATCTAAACGTGGCATTGAGATCGACAGAAGCCTAATCAGAGGCATGAGGGCTCGTGCGATCCCTTTGCAGTCTAACTATTCAGACTGTGGTCTATACCTTCTAGCATACATAGAGAAGTTTGTTCAGGACCCAGACTTGTTTGTCAGGAAGCTTCTCAGAAAAGAAATGAAGACGCAAGATGATTGGCCGCTTCTAAAGTCCGGCATCCTTCGACGTCGACTGCGTGACTTCCTGGACGATCTCTATGATGAACAGGCGCCAGCAAGCTCTGGAAAAGCAAGTGAAAAGGGGATTCTAGCGGATAGATATCCGATATCGTACCTTCTAGGGTCCTCTACATCGACATCCGCCCAAAACGAAGAATGCAATGACCCACAGAAGCTGCAACTCAAGGTCTCCTCGAGTACTGAAATAGATGCGCAAAAGCACCCGCTTAGGAAACGGAGACCAGCCTCGAACCAGTCAAGTCCCGCGACTTCCGACGGTAACCAAGATCTCAAAATGGAGAAGGATGGTGCACATCAAATAGCGCCCAGTCTTAAGAACCCCGTCGTGGAAATTACTGTTCCAAATGTATCAGACAAAATAGACGATAAAGTTGTCGAGGTCCAGGTCCCTAACAGTCAGGAGCAAGCTCAGGAAGCCAGCTCTTGTTCATCGAAGATATTTGAGAAAGACAAGTCTCCAAGCGATCAAGCAGCGATGAAGCCGGTAGATCACGAAGTGTGTCCGGTCGAAAATAAAGAAACGAAAAAGCCTAAGCAGCCAGCGAAGCTTCCGACAGTCGAAGTGCAGATTATACCGCCGTCTTATCAAGACAACATAAAGAATCAGCACTCTGCCAAGCAGAAACCCAAATAGTTTTCGGTGAATTCAAGCCTTTACTACGGTTCAATCGCGTCGATAACCGAAACACACACTCTCTTTTTTTCTGTTTTCTTTTCCTTTATTTTTCTTCCTTTCTTATTTTCTCCTTTTTGTGCTTTTGTCTTTTCTGATAACCCCATAGGAGTTGGTACTCGATTAGGCGTTCGGGCATATGAGCAGGAGAACTTACTCTGGGTGCACGAGATACCACGCATTATTTATGGACATATGGATTTACGTTCATGGGACTTCTCGGCGATGCCCACATGTTTGATGTTTCAGCTGTTGGCGTGCTTAAAAGATTGTACATAATTGCTCTAGACCTGCTTTCGATGGGAGAGATTATGCTGATTTGGGCCATCTAAAGAACAAAATACATTTGGCCTTCTATGGAAATCTTCTAATGTCTAAAGAAGATATTACCACTCACTTTCATCTGCCCCCACCCACCAGGCCATTTTATCCCTCTTGAATGCCCCGAAATCCCACTCTCCATCCTCCAGCTTACTTTCCCCAGCAACCCAAACATATGTAACAGCCTCTACCTCCTCCCCTTCATCCGCAAACTCCGCCCCGGCAGCATCCAGAACATCCATCAAATGCCTATCCGTATCCTTCCCATCCAGCCCCCCATCCTTGCCACCCAGCGATTCCCGCAAAATCCTAACCTTTACCTTCCTCTTCTCATACTCCGCACCCTCAAAGATATCTAATCGATGAACATCACCGTCTGTCAATCCCGAAACAACCGTCCCAAGCACGGCCGCCAAGCCATTAGCATTCAAATCCGTGTCTGGCTCCGTGGTAGTTGCCTTGGCCGGCACGATGCCTGGGTAGTCGGCTCCCCGCACTCGATGCCGTCCGTACCCGTGCAGAATGGCTGGCCTGAATGTGAGGAGGGCTTTTTGCCAGGGCTCTGGGTCTGGTGAACCGTGAATTACCCTGTGGAGAATTTGAGGGGCCATTAAGGTTCCTTTTTGCAAGTTGTTAGTTTGGATATATTTACATCCGTGGTTTCGTTGGTGGGGTAGATTGGGGGTTTGAGAGTATTGGAGACAGGGGGATTAAGTATGGTGGGTTGTATGAGGAGTGCATGGCTGAGAGTGAGGATTGAGGTATATCTATCGGAAAAATTGAGAGGGCTTACCGTAGAAAAAGAGGACATGGTCGCCCATTGTGATCAACTTCACCGGAGCTGCCTGGTATCACGGTCTAGTTGTACTGTGGGGTTGTAGTTCAGAGGAGAAATGATGTAAAGACAGTGGGCTGGGGATTCTTGCTTCCCAGGAGGCTCAACCCTCGGATAACTAGGGAACTAACAAGCCAAAAGACACAGAGAAAGAAAGAATAGAAAAGCAAGGCAGCTATAATGGCTAGCCAGCTAGTTGCTCTTTATATATCTACCTTGTAGATAGCAAACGGCCCTTATCGATAAGCCTCGTGCTCCACTCACCGCCTGCGCGAAAAGGTCCATGTGGCTTCAACAAACATCATCTCGGAACTCCCTTGTCGCAACACTATTCCATAGGGAGCTCGCCTCCCTTTTGCTTCATAAAACATCAGAGATTGTCTGGCTTGCTTCGTTGATCTGCCAATACCTATCCCCGGCCATAGTACTGTCAATTGTCTCAAAGGGACAAAGAAATCACCCCATCATGCACTCGTCTCTGAACCGAGCGCAGGCCGTCTTCGGCTTCTTTACAACCGTGGCCTTGTTCGTCGCTGGTTTTGCGGCGTTGTCTGTTCTGTTATATCCAACCGATGAGGCGAAAGCAGCGGTATCATTGAAGGATGTCAAAGTGTACGTGGCAATTCTCTGTGACTATGTCCATGCCGGTCCACTAACAAGGTCAACACACAGAGTCAAAGGACGCCCACACTACTATTCAAATAAGAAAGAAGAATACGCACAAATGCGCTTCGATCTGGACGCTGGTATGTACCTTTGAATTGCATCAATCAAGACCCCTGCTCAAGCAAGCAACCAACTAACACCGATCTAGATCTCTCCTCCCTCTTCAACTGGAACACAAAGCAACTCTTCGTCTACGTTTACGCCTCCTACTCGTCCTCCGACAAGGAATCTACCCTCCTCCCCCAATCCGAGTCCATCATCTGGGACACCATCATCTCGGCCCCGGAATCGCCGTACTCCTTCAACGCTCTCCGTGAGCGCTTCTTCCCGGCCAAGTCTTCTTCGAAACGGACCACCGGCGCCAAGAAGTCGACTAAGAAGGATAAGGCCGCACCTGGTGTCCTTCGCCTGAGGAACCAGCGGGCTAAGTATCAGATCTCGGATATCACGGGGAAGATGGCGGAGCGGAGTAATGTGACACTTTCTGTTGGGTGGAACGTGCAGCCTTGGGTTGGAGCTCTGTGGTGGAGTCCTGGGTCTGGAGCCGTGCCGAGGACGGGTGGTGATTCTGGGAGGAGTAAGCCATTTCAGTTTCCGGCGTTGAAGACGAAGGCGAGTGCCAAGACGGCAGAAGGCCAGGGTCAGGCAAAGAAGGTGGAGGTCTAGGCTCTTCTTGTGTATTAATTGATCCAGTTAATCATATGTTTTGGGTTCAATGGTTGCTACGTGTAAGTTGCGGTTCGCGGACTAAATATGGAATTGCAATTTAGGCTGCGAATAATAGAAAACAAAGTATTATGAGTAGCACTCGCAGTCATTGATATCTAACCGAAACTAGGCGTGCTTTTTACGCAAAGAATAACGAAAGAATAAGTAGGCCAGGATTATCAGGCATAGGCTTAATGAAACAAGTGTACCGCATCCCTCGTAAGTCGTAACTGCAGCTCCAACTGATTAATTGTGAATGGTGCCATAGGTTGTTCCATGGTGACCACCACGCTGGATTCGCTCGGAGTATACGCCAGGTGCGCGTCCTGTTGCCCCATCGCGTTGCCTGTAATATACATATTCAAGATAGAAGGCGTGGATATGGCCCGGGAGATACCTATTCTGAGTTAGTTGTGCTGTTGAAATGGAGTTGTAATGTAATTGTGCATATAGGTGGTGAATCATGCTAGTCAACGTGTATTCGGCAGAGAAGACCAGGGATTGGATGAACAGGTAAGCGCACCCAAGGATCGTCAACAGAATATTAATGAAGAAATCAGCGCTGCAGCCGGAGATGAGGAAAACGCCAAGTGGAGGGACTAACACCACGTCAGTAAACCAGTACTCTTTCTGTTGGAAGATCAGAGAACGCTAGATATGCACACGGAGACGAATACGAGAAAAGAGTCTCGGGCCATTGGACAGGGGCAAATAGGTACATCTAGGCGGATAAACTTACTGAACAGTGTGACGAGGATCAGGCAAAGCATCGAGCACGTTCCAGCCATTTTGATTGACCCAGATGGTGTCCGGTCGTTATTGAGTTTCGGCTGTCGACTTCACGGTGCGTGATTTGCTGGTGTCGAGATATGTGCCCAGGAAACTGAGAAAGAGAATGGTGAAGAGGAGACCGAATATGTAGATTGGGACGTTGTCGTCTCTGGGGGAATTGAGATGCTTCATGTTGACTATATACTTGATTATGATTTGTATTATTATGTAGGGGTGGGAAGATCGACGTCACGTCACACCAGGGCAAGACCTTTTTTTTTTGGGAGAGAGCGATCGAATAAGGCTGAGTTTCCGGGTTTTTGTTTGCATTCTTCTTACTAACACGTAGGCAACCTCTTTTCTCCTCTGGCCCTGCAAGTTCTTTTGATTGGGAAAAAAGTACATTTCAGCTGACGTCATTCCGGTAGGAGCCGGATGTCGATTTCCCTGCGTTTCCTATTCGGGATTGGTTAGGCGTGAAACCTGGGGAAGTGGGTCTGTGGCTAATTTTAAGCCCTTGGCTAGTACTAGCCACTAACAGGATATCTGGTTATTTAAAAATATTTCTCTATTGTATAGCTAGTATGGCTATAGGTATAGGTACCATGTATATAACAGAAAGAATGTCCAAAGAAGCCACGTATTACATCACACAGCATCAATCGATGCCCTCGTGGTGACTTGCTCGTTCTTGTTGCCAAGCTTGGATATCTGCAGGAATGCATCCACCCCATATCCTTCCAAGCTGTGCAATTCGAGGCTGCCTGCCCAATATTCCGCATAAACTCGGCTCATAGGAAGTCCCATGCCCAGGCGAAGGTTTGGCGGCCGTGAGGTAAGTGTGTCAAGCGAGCTCTCTCGGAATGTTTCCTTGTCAGCCCGCTTCGTTTCCTTCGGCACTGTCAGCTCTTGCATCGTGGCTGCCATTGCCGGAACCTGCTCCAAATTTTGAAGCCGTGCTTTACTGTGAGGGCCTTTATTAAATGACCACAGGTACGGTAGAACCTCGCGAGGTATGCCTCCTCCCTGGTCAGAAATTCGCATGATAACATGCTGTGGTGCTTCGCATACGAGTACTTCAATAGGTGGTGGCTTCTCAGGCAAGCCATTATACTTTTCACTGACAGCCTGGATAGAGTTTCGTAGAAGCTCCCCAATTATATATTCCAGGTGGCTTAGCATGTAGGGAAACGTGGCGTCTAGGTGCCCCTGCACGGAAATCTCGGGGATTTTCTCGGTTCCTGATGCCTGGCGCATCATATCTTGCGCAAGTTTACCACAGCGCTCAATAACCTCCTTTGCGTTGCACTTCAGGAAGACTTCGCCAACGTAGTCCGCATTAGCATCCGTGCGATCCTGGGAGCCAGGAAAGTGCCACGGGGAGTTGAACGTTTCCGTTAACGCCAGGTGTTGTTCCGCTATGACTCGGCGGGAGATTCTCTGTTCGGCAACAGTTAGCCACTTCGAAGGCACGCTGCGCAACTACCGGAAACTGGCATACCGCGCGAAGCAACGTATTCATAAATTGATCCAGCACGTCCGCCGGTAGCAGAGCACGGCACTCCAGCACACCCATTGCTAATCTTGGGATCACCACAAGGTGTTCCTTCAGCGTTTTTCGTAGGACATCACAAAACTTATCGTTGTCCTCGAGTGTTTTAATCTCCGGAATCGTTCGAAATCGTTCAAAGGCTTTATAGTAGAGCTCATATACGAGAGACAGGTGAGGATTAGCTACGACAACATATGGCAGCCTTTGAATATCTCGTAGGCGATGTGCAAGCCTATCCGCCGAATGACACCAAACCTGTTAGAAGGATGCGCAAGTAGCCATTAGAAGCGCACTAACCTAGTTGGAAGCTCCGTTCGCACATAGTTAGCCGAGCTAATAAGTCGAGATTCTGTCAAAGTCCGCCCAAAAAAGGTTAATTGTCGTAAACTTATCGGTCGGATGTCGCGTTCGACCCACCTAGAAGACATCACGTCAGCTGCATGTGGTGGTTAGAGTGTATGTTTCTGGATTCCATACTCATCCAAAGCCGAGACAGGTCTCCATGGTGGTGGACTATGGGGTTGAAGCTGATGGAGGCCCGAATAAGGGCGAAGTGTTGGAGCACACGCTTGTCGGAAGGCCTGCCAGCGCCAAGCTGGATGACTCCGCAGCATATTGCTTCGCTGTGAACTGGATCAAAGACGTCTCATGGATTGTAAGAATCGCGACACGATGATGTGGTCCTCGACCAGCAAAGTTCACCCAAGATCAGGCCTGGATAAACCTTTCCATACATGGCTCACCGGGTTGTGAAATGTGGTGTCTTTACCAGTGGCATGACATGGTGGTTTTATTTCATGACTTGATGCGGGCGCAATCGAAACGGCACTCCGCAGGCGGTGAGAGCTTTCTGTCCCGGCATGTGACGTCCCTTCCTTTTAAACTCTCTTGTGGGCAGGTTCACGTAGTTTTCCGCCTGGGCATCTGATGTGAGTATCCAGATTTAAATTCGAGATTTTCTACTAGAACTCAATTATCATTGGTATCCTTCTCGAATACTATTTTGGTACCTGATTCATACTGGATCGCTGGTTGCAACAAAGTTCGATGTGAAATAAAGCTGAAGCTTACCTATCTATCGAACTATATAAATGTGACATGTATATCAGACCTGCAATCCCGATGTTCAATGAGCTTTTTCCTCCTATGTTTGTTATATCGGGAGGGAAAAGCAACTTGTCGCTCTACAGTGGAACTTGATTACATCGAATATATCCAATTTTATTCAATTTGCCCGTACTAGACATTCTCTAAACACTTCACGTCCAGTCCTTGGTTAGTTCGAACTCGATCAGGGGCAGAATCAAGCCAGAAGCGAGATGATATCATCGTAGATGATCGTTTGTCCAAGGTCGTCACTCATTGTCTGCAATTATCATACCATATCCAGAAAGAATGGGTATTGAAGGCGGCCGTGAAAATCAATTGAACGGGCATCCAGTCTGCTGCCTGAGACTCTATATTCAATGTAGTCCAATTAGAAATCGCGTGAATAATTTTTCAAAAGACTCTTCATTCGATATAAATTTCAATAGTACATACATATATTAAGTACTTTCTGCGCTGGATGTCAAAAAGGTAGCCTATTTGTTTTCGCTTTCCATGCAGCAACTGAAAGAATCTTAATAATATTGTCCCGCCGAGGCATAGCCGTTATTATTGGGTTCTGCGCACTCCGCCACTACCTTAGCTTCAACTCCTTCGGACTGGAACCTCTTCCTGAACCATCTGTGTCTCTGACCACTCGGCGTCCCTACACGCTGTCAGGTTGACCTCACCCTCTAAATATTTTTCTTGCCCCCTTCACTCTTTCCTGTACATTTGTCCCCCATTCTCAAACCCAGTATCGAAACGAGTGTGTCTCTAGATTTAAGTGCGTGGGCGCACTTTTTTTTCCTCTATGGATAACGTAAGTCTTTGTCTCCAACGCTTCATCGCCGCCTTCCTTTGTACCGAAGAGCAACGAAAAATGCTTTCGCCTCATTTCAATACTAGACACACCTAGCTGATTGTGGGGATCACCTCCATAGGTCCCAGATAATGAAATGCTCGTCGACGAATATGAGCAGTATCACAATGACAAAACGGACGATGTTGTTGTCTCCCGGTCCGGATCGGAGGAGCCGGAGCCGGAGCCTCTTGCAGACGATTGTAAGGACTACTTCTATATGATACCTCTCTATTGAATTTGCTTCCTATAAGTTGGCCATGAAAGGTTATGCGTACCCCCGTCGCGGGGTCGGAGATTCCACTCGAGAATATATGATGACAGCATTTCCTCGCCTATTTGGGACGTCTTCTAACGCAAACTTCCGGTATAGATGCAGCGATGATGGCACGAATCCTTCCTAAAGACCCGGAGTTGGAAACCGAAGACGAGGCGTACCATACATGGCATATTAAGGACTGGCGCAAGTTGAAGAAGAAGGAACATGGCCCGACATTCCAATGCGCAGGATTTCCATGGTGGGTGCACAACTTGGTCGCGATTTGACGCTCTGTCGTATGGTTTTAATAATGGCGCATAGGCGGATTCTATTCTTCCCATATGGAAACCACGTTGAGCACGCATCATTCTACTTGGAACATGCATGGGAAAATGAGCCACCTGAGAATTGGTACGCTTGCGTTCAATTCGGCCTTATCCTGTGGAACGTAAACGACCCATCCATCAAAATCTCCCATGGTACGCATGAAATCTATGTGTGAGATATGCTGCTTGCTGATTTTGATTAGTTGCGACGCATCGGTTCAATGCGGATGAGGGAGACTGGGGATTTACCCGATTTTGTGAACTACGGAGGCTGTTCAACGTACCATGGGAAGGCCGTGGAGTATCTCTCGTGCAAAATGACGAAGCTATGGTTACTGCCTACGTTCGTGTCGTTAAGGATCCGACGGGTGTCTTGTGGCACACCTTCCAAAAGTATGTTATTCAGAAGAGCTTTCGTCGAGAATGAAACTAATCCCTTTTTAGCTATGACTCGAAGAAGGAGACTGGCATGGTTGGATTAAAAAACCAGGGTGCCACCTGTTACCTCAACTCACTACTACAATCGCTATACTTCACCAATGCATTCCGAAAGGTACGTGACTGAGTACTTTAAGCGTATTGAGTGTCTACCAATTAACTTTCTCGCAGGCCACATATCAAATTCCGACCGAGGCGGAAGCCTCCCGGGATAACAGTGCTTGGACATTGCAGAGGTTGTTCTATAATCTCCAAACGAGCGAAAACCCTGTTTCAACAGCTGAGCTTACTGCATCTTTTGGCTGGGAGTCTAGACAGATCTTTGAACAACAGGATGTCCAGGAACTGTCGCGCAAGCTGATGGAGAGACTTGAAGAGAAAATGAAAGGCACGCCAGCGGAGAAAGCATTGCCGGAGTTATTTGTCGGAAAGACGAAGACTTACATTTCCTGCATCAATGTCGATTATGAATCCTCGCGAGTGGAAGACTTCTGGGATATTCAACTTAATGTAAGGAACAACAAGACCCTGGATGACAGCTTCAAGGATTACATTCAAGTGGAAACGCTCGAGGGCGAAAACAAGTACGACGCTGGGCCACCGTACGGTTTACAAGATGCCAAGAAAGGTGTTATCTTTGAAAGCTTCCCCCCTGTCCTACATCTTCATTTGAAACGATTCGAGTATGACATCAACCGCGACGCTATGATGAAAATTAATGATCGACATGCATTCCCTATGGAATTTGATGCCACGCCTTACCTCTCCAATGATGCCGATAAGTCAGAGCCGTGGATCTACCAGTTACATGGCGTGCTGGTGCACAGTGGTGATTTGAACGCAGGTCATTACTACGCTTTCCTAAAACCTACGAAGGATGGATATTGGTATCGGTTTGACGATGATAGAGTTACCCGAGCTACCGACAAGGAAGTCCTTGAAGAGAATTATGGTGGTGAATATGAGCTGGCCAACGGTGCCGCTGGCGTCAAGCAACCTTACACACGTGGTCTATCGACGAAGCGCTCCATGAACGCTTATATGTTGGTTTACATTCGGAAGTCAAGGTTGGATGATGTCCTTCTTCCCATAATGAAAGAAGACATCCCGTCTCACATTGAGTCGCGTCTGATTGAAGAACGCGTGGAGCTCGCACGCAGGAAAAAGGAAAGAGAGGAAGCCCATTTGTATATCAACGTTGGAGTCCTGAATGAGGAGTCTTTCAAGTCTCACCACGGATTTGATCTGACGAGCCTTGACCTACCGGCTGGAGACCCAGCACTTCCGAAGCAGTATCGGATACTCAGGGCTCAAAAGGTTGGAGAGTTTGCTGAGCAACTTGCACAAGAAAAGGGCATTAATGCCAATCGAGTCCGATTCTGGGTCATGGTAAACCGTCAGAACAAGACAACTCGACCAGATCAGGTTATTAAGGATCCAGATATGACAGTGGAAGAGGCCTACAGCAGATTCGGCACGAAAGGGAACCCGTTCAGAGTGTGGATGGAGGTCGGACAGCCCTCCGCGGATGGAACGGTTTCTTGGCCAGACAGCAACAATTCGGTGCTAGTCTTCCTGAAACACTTTGATGCCCCGTCGCAGACATTGTCAGGTGTTGGTCCCGTATATGTTCGCAAAAATCAGAAGGTAGCTGAGCTTGCCCCACCAATCCTTGAGAAGATGGATTGGCCTGCCGGTACAGAGTTCATGCTGTTTGAGGAAATCAAACATAATATGATCGACGTTATGAAGCCAAAGCAGACCTTCCAACAATCCGAGATCCAAGACGGTGATATTATTACATTCCAGAGATCGACCAAGGAAGCAGACTTACCTGCCACTGCTCTCTATCAGGATGCGAGACAGTACTATGACTACCTTTTGAATCGGATTGGTGTTACTTTTGCCCCGATAAAGGCTGGCGAAAACGATGAGTTTACCTTGACTTTGAGCCGTAAGATGACTTATGACCAGTTCTCTAAGAAAGTTGGTGAGCATTTGAATGTCGAGTCTACGCACTTGCGCTTCGCTCCTGTCATGGCAAGCACGGGGAAACCCAAGCAATTCATCAAACGCAACCCCAACCAAGCGAACCAGACCCTGTATCAAATCCTCAGTGGAACAATGACCGGATACGGATATAGCATGCACCGTTCTGATGCACTGTATTATGAGGTTCTGGAGACAAGCTTGAGCGACTACGAGTCCAAGACTTCCTTAAAAGTGACCTGGCTTCCGGAAGGCATTACGAAAGAGGTAAATCAAAGATATCTTTGCCATACTGTATATCTATGCTAACATTATACCAGCAAGTTGTGGAAGTATTGGTACCCCGGGATGGCACCATCTCAGATCTTCTCAGCGGACTGCAAAAGAAGGCAAATATTGATGAAGATACGATCCGTGAAGTTAGGATCTATGAGACGCACGCCGGCAAAATTTATAGAGACTTCGTGGGTGATACCAAAATTGCCGGTATCAACGAGTTTGTAACACTATATGCCGAAAGAATGCCCGAGGAGGAGATCAATATGGGAGAGGGCGAGCGCACAATTAACGCCTATAACTTTGATCGCGATTTGAACAGGCCACATGGTGTGCCGTTCAAGTTCGTACTCAAACCGGTTAGAGGACCTTTTTATGCGTTCGATTCGTGCTGCATGCTAACGTTCAATAGGGTGAGGTTTTCAAAGAAACAAAAGAGAGGCTTTCCAAACGGACTGGCATCAAGGGTAAACAATTTGAAAAGATCAAGTTTGCCGTGGTTCCTCGTTCACTATACTCAAACCCGCGATATCTTGAAGACGGTGAGTCTATCGACCTAGCGTAGTATACAGATGTGAGCTAACATTATTATCCGTCTAGATGATATCCTTTCCGACATTGTCGGCGATTCTGACGACCTCCTTGGCCTCGACCATGTAAATAAGAGCCGCAGCTTTTGGAACAGAAGTGAGTCGTTTTTCATCCGATAGACGGGCAGTTCTGTGCTTGTGAGTGTATGAGATTAGTGCACAATTACCTTGCAATTAGCGGGAAATGCGTATGAAAATTCGGCATGCTGGCACACACAAACATGTTTATGAAGAGCTTTATACAATTGAATGAACCTGTGGACACCCTGCTTATCTGTCTTCTACATTTGTCTTTTCCTTTGCTCTCTGTAGACGGGCAGATCTCGATGTTGTCATGATCATAGTCTTTTTAAGAGCTCCTTCGAGGACACTAATCTGATGCATGACATGAAAGCAAAAGCAATAAATAAGGATACAAAGTAACAAGGCAACCTAACATCAATGCTCTTTGTAGGCCACCAGTAGTTTGATACTGTAAATGTGAAGTCACCTCCATAGTTCTCCAGACTGCCGATATAGAAGCTAACTACTACGGGCTTAGACCAGAACTGTAATTTGCCAGAGGCACCTGCGCTGGCTTGGCACCTACTATGCAAACATAGCAAACATAGCGGAACACACAGCTGGCCAGAAGTTGGACTCGCACCGCGCCTTGTGCTAAATCAAGAACACCCCTGGAGAGAATCCCAGCTTGAGCTCCTGGCTCTCCAATACTTTTCACAATGCGTTTCGCTCTGATCATCGGCCTTCTTGCCACTATCGTGTCGACAGTGACAGCAACCGCCCTCACTTACAAACTCGAAGCCAACGAGAAAGCTTGTTTCTACAACTATGTTGACCAGAGGAACGCGAAGGTCGCCTTCTACTTCGCTGTGAGTGCCTCCCCACCATGCTGGTCTTAACCCTGAGGTGGGCAGCGTGGATATTAATCCACTATGTTTCTCTAGGTCCAATCTGGCGGCTCTTTCGATGTGGATTACCAGGTGGTCGGCCCCGGTGAGAAGGTGGTCTTAGATGGAACCAAAGAAAGACAAGGCGACTTCGTTTTCACGGCACAGAGCATCGGAGAATACAGATTCTGCTTCAACAATGAGATGTCGACCTTCGCCGAGAAGCTGGTGGATTTTGAGATTGCGGTATGCTGGGGTTCTTGATTGCATCATGGGGTTTTTTTTCCCTACGTCATTGGAACAATATTGACTGGTACTTAAACCAGGTCGAAAACGAAGAACGTGCGCAACTCCCTTCCCGACAGGGTGCCAGCCCCGAGCAAGCCTCCGCTCTCGAGGAGTCCGTCTACAAGCTTTCCGCCCAGCTTTCGACCATTTCTCGAAACCAGAAATACTTCCGGACCCGTGAGAACCGTAACTTCAGCACTGTTCGTAGCACTGAACGTCGGATTTTCAACTTTAGCGTCATTGAGGGCTTGATGATGGTGTCGATGGCTGGATTGCAGGTCTTTGTTGTCCGGTTCTTCTTCCAGGGTGCTAGGAAGGGTATGTATTAGGGTGCTTCTCAGTGGCTCTGCTCCCCAGCCCCACATCCATGTTCCCTTAATTCAGGTTGGTGATTCAATGCTAACGGGCAAGCAGGTTATGTGTGATGAGCATGAAATGTGTCTATGTTCTTTGATTGAGGCGTCCCCTATTGTATCTACATCTGATTATAGGGTCTAGAATCTTTGCATATCTGTATAACTTGTTTTATTTTCCGTTGAAAACGGTGGATTCAAACATCAATGTACTATGGTCTGATTGTAGTTAGTTTGTGTTGATTGATGAACCGATTCGCTTACTAGACGCTTGTAGTCGCGGTGGAGATAGCCCAGCCTAGGAACCGGTTGGTTACTCACTCATAATACGGTATGAGAGACTTAATTGCTCTTGATAGACCAACTTTTGACTTCAGGGTCCACGCAACAGAGAGACTGGTCAATGCTCTTGGGCTTGAGCTCTTGGTCTGGTGTCTTCATGGAGTGGGTAGTTTGGACAGCATCTTCTGAAAAATAACTTGCATATCTAGACGAAAATGTGCCTTTCGGTAGTTACGTAAATGTCGCTTTTGAATTGATTACATTTCTATGCTCTACGGGTTAGAGGAAAACAAGGACGTAGGTATGACAAGGGGAGTGTGAATACTCCAACGAAATATCGACCGACGTCACAGTAAATATATGATGCCTGTTTCCATTCTGAGATCAATCATGATTACCATGATTATCCTCCAGTGAGCATGAAGTCAATCCCTTCTTCCTTGGCATACAAGAGCCAACACAGAAAATCGCAACGCGCCGAGGGAGGCAGGGTAGGGCCACATAAGCGAATGGAGCCCTAGTCTGTGTACATCATCCACCAGATGTTTAGTAATATTCCGCAGGTTAGTTGGGGGCTAGGCGCAACCATAAGGGTGTGTGAGCAGCGCCGTAGATGTGAAGGAAGAATCATCCCCGGCCTCTGTATGACGTTAGAATCCAGGTCGTATAATGACAGTTGTTGGATGTCCAGAAAGCGCATGGCTTCTGAAGCCTCGCATTTTTGTTCATAGATAGATCCACCGGGTGGCAACATGTATGCTGATCGGAGAGCTTAGTCCGTCACCATTGGTTGGTGTGCAGGGGAAGGGCTAGTCTCTGATGCATTCGGGATGATAGACGATGCTATGAAAGACTGAAGTATGCTTAGAGTTCACAATCCCTGCACTATGCGCTGAGTCTTCTCGCGAATGTGTCAGCCGAATTACTTAGGCGCTTTCCCGACAGACACGCCCCGTATGCAGCCTCGAAGGGACGCTGTGGAGTATCCCAGATCATCGGAATAGGTTTCCATATGACTTGGCGATGGGTCTGAGAAGGTCTGACTTCTGAGTGAAGGGGGTTGTGGATCATGATAGAGCTCGCATTGCTTATCCCAATAACAGTAGACCTTTGTCCAGTTGCATACCCATCGTGCATATGGAAGAGCCCTGACGATTGGAGGTTGTAGCCCGCAGTATAGTATCCAAGACCAACCAGGTATTGCTTTTTTGATTTTTCAAGAACCGTCGACGCCCCTGACGTCACGGGCCCAACCTCAGGCACACGTTGTCCGCCATAACCACTTCCTGCTCCTGGCATTATCACACGAAAGCATTCTTTTCTGGTGGAGTCTTTTTCATGGCTAGAGCCCACTGGCCTCCTCCTACTGGCCCTTGTCTTCCAGTGTCCAGAGACATGCATCATAAGCTCGGGCCTCTTGAGAAAAATTAAATCGTTTCACATACCATCTCGGTGACCACACTCCCAGTTCGGTACTCCGTATACCCACAGGTTTGGGAACCTGTGCCGGGGCTTTTACATAGTAGTGGTAGCCTTGTTTCCATTTTTACTTCTCCACTCCTCAGTTCTGAGCAAATGGGTGTCGTCCTTTCATCCCCTGTGCCGATGATTACTTTGATGGGCATGGGAGGCACCTCGACATTTGCAGATGGCTGATATCACACATGCTATAGTAGGAAATTCTAGACTCGGTCAATGACATGCTCGAAGTGCACGGTCATCCTGCTACCGGCAGGATATTTCGTTGTCAAGGTAGCTGTTTCTATCGTTTTGCGCTGTCGTCGTTCACACGGCGCACATAGGCACACACCTACCTCCTTACGCTACTATTCCGGAGCAGGCAAGAGACTCCCACGGAGACCGACTGGGCTACCCGTCACTGTCAGCACGGATCTACAGGGGACCTTTTAGTAGTATTGAGTTGGATCGGCAGAGCCCATTGGGTTTCCTGACCCAGTGATATTGTTCGGTGACTTCATTTTGCTTTGAAGAGGATGGTGGACGGGCTGACCATCTGGAGCTGCACCGGCCCATGAGTTTCTGGAGCACGGTTAATTCCGATCGATTTCTGAAGTGCCAGGTGAGATAACAATTAATCGAATCACTGGGGCGTCATGAAAGCGGGGGGAAGTTTTACAATACTTCCAGAGTATTAAGAAGAAGGTCTTTGGAAGAGCTCCTCGGACCAATGACATCATGGCGCAAGTGGAAGTAAAATGGAGAAGTGCCCATGTCGCCGTTGTGGATCAGTGCCATACGCCTGACTGACCAATGTGGCTTCGACTCTGATCTTCTGCTTGTTCGCTTGTGATCTCATGTCGCACTTGCTGTCCATACTCATCCCTATTAATTTGCGCCGGTTGAACGGATTCAGAAGGTTGGTCTTCTATATTGGATCTTCAACCCTTCTTTGTGGCGCCTTTGCATCGAGACTATTCACACATTCACACATCTCTTTATTCGACTTGCAGATACCGTCTTTTACTATCATCCTCGTGGTGAAGGTAAGTGGGAGACTGTTGTTTGAGCTCTTATCTCGCATGAAAGCCAGCCGTAACGAACGCCTCTTCCGACCCGGATCTGCGATGTCGTTGGTGCCGCCTCCGAGACGACGATATCTCCGCCATGGATGCTCGCTGCTATCCCACATTGTGATGATGTTGTGAACTAACTGTTCATTCTGAGCTAGCAATCATGACGACTTCCATGCAGCATCCCGAAACCGTGCAGCCTATAGTTCACCCCGATGGAGGAGGGACAAGCCCTTCCAGGGACAGTCATCTTCAAATGAATCGCACGGTCAACCCTCATATGTCTGTTGAGGATTATAGCCGCGTTATGCTGGAGTACACACACAACCGGATGGCATCCTTCGCAGATTTGGACGCCGACAACGGTTCCCCCGTCAGTCGCAGCAGCAGAAGCAGCGCAGGTAGCGGCAAGAGCGACGACTCGGCGGGCGATATGCTTCGTCGAGGCCCTGCACCCACCTCTGCAGGTGTCTCCCACCATGACTTCGGCGAGCGAGGTGGACGTAAAACCACCAGAGATGATGAGAAAAAACGATCCATCTAAATGGACCACTCCCCGAGGTGCAAGAGGGGGGTGTCTGAACGTGACACTGGTGTCTCGTTACCTTGACAAAAAGGCACTGCGTGTCTTGCCGACGAGTTGACGATATGATATACAAGATTTTGGCGATTTGGGGGAGACACTTCGGTGTCTCCCGGCGTTTGATTGTAGCGAAAGCATTTCTGCTTCAAGCGATATATACAGAGCTATGACGTGCTCAAACCGAGTTTGGTGCCTGTCCTTCCTTTATGTTCGGCCCAATTGGATATGCGTACTCCTTTTGGAGCTTACCCTCATCAACTGATAGATATTTGCAACGACATCAATTGGTTCCGCAGTCGGCATGGACAGGTTCCCGTCCAGTGCTATTCGCCTGATGCACTGGCACAAATGCCCACTGAGGACCCGTCTTTGTTTTGGTTTTTTGACTTCAACGTCGTTCGCTTTTCAGTGCTCGTCATTGTTTGTGGCCTAGAATTCTGCCAGTTTTGCTTGTCTTCTTGGCTATACCTGTTCATTGTGTCAGGCTACAGACAGCTAGGAATCAACATATTCCCGTCTTTCCTTCTCACACCCACATAATCCTCTTCATCCAGCAGCTTCAGCGGGTTCATGTCCTGTACATTATGGTTTCAAAAGTTCCTGTACACTACTTGGTTTGGGAATTAAGTGACGGCAGGTTTCCCGTTCAACATACTCCGGTCTATCTATCTACTATCAGCTGTAGTAGTGGTAATACAGTCTATAGTAGTCCTTCCACAGCATCCCCTTCTACCTTTTTATTCTGCTCATCGGAATGGTTAATTGAGATTCATTTTATGCAGGCACAAGCTAGAATACTCACATATGTGCTTAATTCCTCGGAAATTATATACTCATCACCCCTTGCATAATCCTACTCCCCGTCTGAATCTGAATCTTGGTCACAACGCGAATCCCTTGACGTCTACTGCCAACGGTACACGAGCATCAAGCAATACTTAAGGGCCATTGCATCTTCATCTGAAATGCTTTACGGCGCAGGTTATCATCCGAATAGAAATATCCCAACCACTATGTTGACAAGCCTAGCATTCCTTGTCAGTCTTAATTTGACATGCTATTACATTCCATGCAGGTCTAGGCTACCTAATTTGCCTATAGACAACCCGACACGCGGATACCAAACGTGTCGCGCCTATTATCCCTTGTTCCTAGCCTCAAAACGTAGGGGATATCTTGGCTGCGAATCTCAACTTGTCACATAAACACAGGGATGAGCTTCCCCTTGCCCTCGTTGTTTACCATACTTGATCGTTTACAGCTCTACTTCTCTTTACGAACCAGGCACTCGCATCCAGCATCTCTCGATCCTCCTCGACCACAAAGCTAAAGGCAACGACAAGCGCCCACTCAATCACAATGAATCCCAAAAGCATATTGCTTCTTTTAACCACAGTAACCCTCGCAACTGCTGTCCCTTTCTCCCAGCAGCAGACCCCAGTCTCAGCCCCGACTAAACAATCCACACACCCAGCGCTGAGCGCCGCCTCTGCCTCTGCCTCACCAGAAGCACACACCGGCATCTGTCCAGACGCCCACCGGTCCAAACAATGCTGTCAAAGCATCGACGGAGTCGGAGATACCATCACCAAATCATTGGGCCAGGCTATTCCATGGTTTAACGGGGTTAAGTTGTCAAGTATCTTGTCGCTTGATTGTATTTACTTCTCTTTTTTCTTTATGTGACCTCCCTTCATCTTCTTTTTATAGCTTGCCGCGCAGCTGCTGATATCAGGCAATGGCAGGTCAAGCAATGGCCGATACAGATCCGAACGAAGATTGTCAAAAGGATGTCATGTGTTGTAATGGATCGCCAAATGAGAAGGTATGGCTTTTGTATTTTTCTTTTCCTTTTGTTTCGAAGAAAAAGAGCAAAAGCTGACACAGATGAACAGGGAGATAGCCTAGCCAAAGAATGTGAACCTTACGAGAAAGCAATGAAGGATATGCAGGAAGCTCTGGAGAAGAATAAGCAGCGGCCTCTTGAGAAGGCGATGAGTTGGGCGGCTATGACTAGTTCGATGCTGGCGGCTTCTTCGTCATCTGCGGCGGCGGCGGCTTCTTCGTCTCCTAGACTGGCTTCAAGCAGTGTGCATGCTGTGCCCACGGGTCACTAGGGAATGCTCTTGGGCCTTATAGGGGGGTAGTTCAGGGCTTGATTTACGTGAGGTGGATTTCAACTCTTATCCCAATTCTAGTAAATCTGGTGTTACTAGATGGGTTGGTGTTGTTCGTATATTGCAGATTAGATTTTTTTTTCTCATGAACTATTATCGTGCTAGCTTATTGTACATTTAAAATTACCTCCATCCACGACCAGATGGGTAGCCATGCTGATTCCAGCCTCTCCCGGAGTGAGGCGGAGGGAAATGATAGGACCCGGGTGGCATTTGCTGTCCCTGTGGTACATGTACTGGGGGGAACTGCTGAGGAAACTGTCCACCTTGTGGTTGGAACGTCGGCGGAAAGTTCGAAGGGCCGTAGTTTGGCAAAGGTGGAGGTGGTGGTGGCCATGGACCCTGATAATTGGGTGGAGGCGGGGGTGCTCCTGGCATTCCTTGGGGGAATACTGGTGGGCCTTGTTGAAAATGCATCGGCGGCGGTTGCGGAGGAAAGCTTGGGGGCGCAGCACTGTTAAATTGATTGTGGTGTTGCGTGGGCATGGGCCGTGGTGGTGATGGTGGTCGAGGAGAATATGATTTCTCCCGTGAACGCGAGCGCCGGGGACCACTTCGTGATCGAGATACAGAGCGTGAACGAGAATCATACCGGCCAAACCTGCGAGGTGGAGTACGACTCCGTGACCTCGATCTGCTCCGTCCGCTGTCGTCGCTATAGCTATCACTGTATCGCCTTCTCTTGCGAGGGCTTGCGCTGCGACTTCGAGAGCTGGATTTCGCATTCCTCTTCTTCATTTGCTGGCAAAACCCTCGAGACCACCCGTAGTACGTGTCACCGCTGAGGATGTCGCCTGTAATCTTGTCACGTATGACTGTCTGGCCCAGCTCATCAATATCAACTACTTCATCTTCCTCGGGCTCTGGTTTCTCGATTCCGTATATTTGATCAACGTCTTTCAGAAACGCTTTCAAAGCGATCACCAACTTTTCATCCGCTGGTCCAGCCAGGAATTGCAGTGGTTTGATCGAATCAGGACGAAGTGGAACAGTCGAGTTAGGGATGATGTGAGGGACAAGGTTGCCTGCGGGAAGATCATAGTAAGGAGTAGACTGGTCCCCATGGGTCGATGGCATGATGAATGGTGCATCCTTGCTCGGAAGCCGGTGGGCGGCGTCCGTGTTACTCTCTTCGACGTCAATAGAGGTCTTGACAGGGCCCGACAACGCTGAGTTCTTGACCACCTCCCGCAACTTGTTAACATAGTCGCTGCCGTAGTAGCCATGCTGCACCCATATATCCAACAGGGTGTCCAGTCGTCCGTGGTGCTTGGGGTGCTTCTCTCGGTCGTAGGAAGCAGCATAGCCCAGTAACTCCACAATGTACGGCTGCAATGAACCAGTCAAGGTGGAAAAGGCGGCAGTCGAGTCCAGATGATACTTGGTATGATGAAACAGGTCATTCAGCAGGTAGAGTATGTGTAGCCTTTTCCTCTTCGCAGAAATGGGCCGGGTTTGTTGTGGCTTGGCTTGCGGTTGCTGCGCGTCTTCATTGAACGAACCAGAGAGCGCAACCAGGTATTTGGCCCAAACATTCACCCGATTTGACGAGGAGACAACGTACTCGAGAAGCCAATCTTTGCAGGTCTAACGGCCGCGCCGAGTCACAGATTTAGTATTGCAGTGTATATCGGTGCTAAGGACTCGCAATCAAACCTGGATGTTTGCTGGGGAGCAATGCGATAGCGCCCTGTCCAGTGAGGTATGGAACGTTGTAATCTCGTCGCGTGGGACAGACGTGGGGTCTGGGCGTAAAAGCCCCGCGGAGAATGAGGCCTTCGCAATGGCAAGTTGATGAGAGGCCATTGCAGGCAGTAGGATCTCTTTTGAGGGTGTTGTTGGGTTCTTTATGTCAAGTTGGCTACGGAGTTGATTGCGGTTTGGGTTCCGCTTATCGCACGTGATCACTTCTCTTTCCGTCCTATTCCCTTTCCATCTCCAACACATTAAGGATACGAACAGCATAAGGCATCACAGAGGCTACATATGTAGTTCCTGCGTCTACTTCTTCTCAAGATGCCTTTAGACTTATGGGAAGCACACTTCTTGAGATGAATCGCCCTTCAGTAGGCCGCAGTGCAGATTTGACATTGTTGCATTGCGGTTACCTCTCGCGCAGGTCTACAACAATAGCTTGACACGGTCCAGCAGAAGAGGTTTCCGCTTTAATCTGCGCGTTCAAGAGAAGACTTCAGTATATCCCAGTGAGAGGGCCAAACGCTCGGCAGCTTATACAAAGTCCACCTGTACGCAGCTGCGAAATGTACTGAGTTGCAGGGGCTCGGTCTTTCAGCAAAATGTCCAAAGTAACGTATATAGGGAGACCTGTGTGAATATTGCGCTTGCGACCAACCATTTCAGTAGGGTAAAACAATACAACTGCGGTAATCCGATTATGAAAATGATCAGAGTGAGGATGGCCGAAGAACAACTCTTCCTTTAGGATTTTATACGCTACGTGGTCTTGGAAGTGGATACTCCTTGCAACCCTCATCTTCGCCATGTGGCTTCCTCCCTGTGAAACTCGCAAGGCTACGTTTAAGTGTGCCCACAGTAAACCATCGTTGGCACTGTCTCACTCGAACTAGACAGAGTATCCAGCTGTTATATCTACATGACTATGCTGGGCGACATCAGCCTATTCAGGTCTCCAATTCTACTCCCGCTAGAATCCTGTGCTAATATTTTTTACGTACAGAGACATTGGATTGATTGAAGGTGACCCTAGGCCGAAACAGGTGAAGATCATGCATAGCCCTATATCTCCCCTTTTCCCCTTGGAGGCTCCAACGGCTGGCCTCAGCTCTAATCTGAAATGAGCGGATTATATAGGGGTTCATGGGCCGATGAACATGGCTGTGCAAAAGATTTCAGCTAAAAAGACCCTGATGAGTGATGGGACAGGAGATACACGTCGCACAGTCTAATGGCCCTATTGAACTAGTAACGTCTCACTCATAACGGCAAAAGCTTGGCACTTAATCACTCCGCTGGACCCTGGCCATTGGGATTGCCCTCTTTGTAAAGGCGCGAATCCTACAATGCATGTCTCGCATGCACATTTCTTGGCACACTCCTACCCATCCTGCTTTAATTATAAAGAAATTCCTTCTTTTCAGCGAAAACAAACTGAGGAGGTGATGGTACTCCTACCAATCCGTTGATCAATTTGGCTGCTCAAACAGGCACGCGTTCACATATTACTCGTTGTACCTCCAACTCAATGAATGCTACGAACTGCTACTGCGTAGGGAGTTCGAAATGAGGTCGATCTCATCGGAGACTTCTCTCAAAAAAAAGGCAAGAACGCACTGGGATCGACAGGAACACTACTATTTTGGCTACTTTAGCGTTGCCGCTTAGTCTCTGAACCATGTATGTATGTACGTAGTATGAACGGCTGAAGCGTCCGTTGTCCTGAATCAAAAACATGCCAAGGACAAGTCCACCACGCTATCGGAGAGAACCACTAAACAGTCATAACACCCTGTGAACTATGGATAGGGGATTTGAGAGCAGAGATGCATGACAGGGGAAGACTTCAGTTCTGGGAAACTAGACGACCCTTGGCTCCTCTTATAGCTACGGACGCCTCTCGGACATCATGTCTAGCACGCAAAGATTCATCTTCACAGCTGGTCCCAGCTATACTGATGGTCTTTCTGTTTGCTTGAGCGTTGTAGTCATAACCGCTGCTGCGACACTGATTTCAGGCCCCCAGGATGGCCAACTTTGTTCGTTTTTGGCTCTCTTTCAGCCTCTTGATCACTCTATCGCTTCAGCAAAACGCACCCCTCGTATTCCGCGATGCCAAATCACCTGAACTAGCTGGGAAACAGCTCCTAGTGAGAGGTACACGATATCACAATGAGTCGCACCATTCTCATCTTGAACCTCAAAGGAAGGATTCCTTCTATTGGACTGGTATGTGTACTTGTTCAATGACCAAAATTCAAATACCTCGGGGGTCTCTCAACTTCTAACTTCCAACAATAGCTTCTCAAGACGGACAGCCGACTTTCGCCGAGTTTGCCGTTGAAACCGACGATGACACAAGCGTGGTGTCAATGGAGCGATTCAGGTATTTGCTGAAGTCAGTCCGTTGTACCAATACTAGTTTGGCCGTCAATTTCAAAAGCCAGAAGTCGTTCGACTACATCAAGCATTCATGGAAATGGGTTAATGCGATTGAACGAAACACTCTTATTGTGGTCGCCGGCACTGGTCAGTGTGGATGGAATACGCATAGAGTGCCATTCGCTGCTTCGAAAATTGAGTTTGACGACCACACCAAGACTGCGAAATTGCAGGTTCGACGATCAGAATGGAAGGATATTTTCCACTCCTTTGAGCTTTCTGTGGGTAGAGTGGCTAAAGAAGAAGCGCACGATACATGTGTCGCGCCACAACACACAAAAAGAAAAGAGCACGAGAAAACCTTGACTATGAGTTTTGATCATCCGTGGAATCTTCCTCAGAAGGACTTCTCTACCCCCGAAGATCCCTTCTCTTTAACACTGTCGTGCGATCAATGTGGCACAAAAGGAAGCTTCGAACTCGGTTTCTACCTTAGGACCAAGAAACATATACCCAAGGCCGCAACGTTCACGCTTACACCCCACGGCGTGTCTGCAAGACTGGGGCCCAAGTTAACATTAAGTGGAGACTTCACCGAAGAGTACTCTCAACAGCTCGACCTTGCGGAGATACCAATTTACGGGTATTCAATCCCTGGCATCTTAGATCTAGGCCCGCAAATTGTCTTTAGCCTTGGTTTCAGCGTGGGTCCGGTGTCTGGCTCTGCTTCTGTTTCCTCGGGGATAGACATCAGCCTTCTGGACTCTGCAGAGCTCAAGATTGACCTTCTCTCACCTCATGTAGTGCACTCAGGGTGGACTCCCCAGGTTCGTGCAGAACCGGTACAGGTAGATGCTCGAATCGAAGCCGGCGTTAATATTCATGCCAAAGCTGCAATCCAATTGGCTGCAGAGACTCTTGGTATGTATAACTGATATCATTCATAAAGATAGATACTCACCTGGATAGGCCATGGATTTGCAGCAGGAGTCAACTTGAAGCCTGTCCTCGGGGCCACGTTATCTCTCTCCGAGTGTGAGTCATCTCCAGGTTTAATTATCTTTATCTTGGCTGATGGATATAGCAACCGCTGGGGTCTGCGAGGATGATGAGAAACATCATGTTTTCGGGGTCAGTGTGGCTCCCTCGGCTGGAGTTAGTCTCAACGCGGAGATAACGAGAGCCAGTGGCAAGGGGAACCCTTTGGCAAAGCTCACAATTGCTGTAAGTTGTATACATGTACGAGGCATTGATAAGACTGCTAACAACTAGGAGGATCTCAATGAGGCCTTACCAGAGACGTGTATTGGCTTCGGTCCAGTTGTTGCAAATAGCAGCCTACCAGCCAAACGAGATTCAAGCGGAATGGCGAGCAGCCAGTCCGATGCTGATTCTTTATCTACTGCCTCTTCCTCCGATGCTCATCACAGACATCACAGGAGACATCATCATCATCATCACGGTAGAAGGCATTAGATGCTAGCTTCGCATTGTGCCAGTTGTACCTGTGGAGGCCAGATTCTTCCAAGTTCATCTCCCTTTCTTTTCACCTGTTCTTATATTTCGACTCTCGCTTTTAATCATAATATCTTTTCGTATACATATACATATACCTTTCCTTTCTTTTCCTTTTCTTTTTTTTTGGGGGGGGGAATTAGAATCACCACAAAGGTCAAAAAGAATCTCCTTTCATGCCACCGTGTCTATTGCGGAATGGTACTAGTTGTGACATCTGATCGTCTCAGGCAATAAGGCCCTTAACCTTCCCTGTTTGGGGGAGTGGAGAGTCCTCAGGCTGCCAGGTGCAGTGGCACTGGAGCTTAATTCAGTAGTGGTCTGATCGAATCTCGTGCAGCCGTGAGTGGAGCATCATTTCTCCAGATCACAACAGCTCCCGGTATTATAGACATCATTCTGAGCAAGCAATATGATAGTGTCTGCTTTCTTGGTCCCTGGTTCGGACCTATAATTTCTCTCGTCCACGGCGTTCTTAAGCAATGTAACTCTAGTACCTATTGAACCTTTCATGACAGGATTATATATATATATATATACATAGTTTCACGAAAAATGTATACTCAAAAATAGTAAGCCTTCAAGATGAGTTCTCCTGAAGGAGGCAATTAGGGTAGTGGTCAAAGTGGTGCCCTACTTTGCATGAGAAGCTTGTGAATTAAGTGGGTGGAGCGGTACATTACTGTGCCCTACATTTCCCCAGGCCTTCGAGGTCCACGATGTAAAGTACTAGTGACTTTTTCTTCTGGCTAGAAAACAAGAAAGTGATGAAAGACATCTATGCGCAAGCTTGTTGACGGAATATTACAAGCATTATACTAGCGATGCAACGTACTGTGCACCTAGAGAAACAACTACTGAACTAGGAAGTTTTTCTCCTAAGGTTGCCCAGATTGATTACTGCACGTGGAGAGTAAGATGCCTTAGGGCTGCTTAGCATTCGGAATAGATCCACTAGCTTAAGTTTGTACTTAGGTCTCGAATCGAGCGGTTCGTTATCGGGTATCGTTGGTAAGCTCGGGGGTAAAAAGAAGTTACCCTTAGTGCTTTCCAGCATTGTTGGGGTCAAGGAGGACCCTTTGGAAGAGTTGAACAATCTGAACTATTAATCAGCTGGCTAACGAGTCATCCGATGTGTATAGCACGTCAGAACGAGGGCTTGAACTAGCTTCTCAGAATAGGGGTATGTTGGGCAGGAGATACTAGGCTTAGCTTGATTGGAGCTTAGGAAACAATTTTGAGATTGGTTTGGCTTTAGGGTTGACTCATTTTTGTGGAGTCATCAGGCAGACAAAAGGCCTTCGGCATCCGTACTCCTGCGGCCTTCGGATGGGCAACTGCCGCCATCAGAGCACTTGATGATGAAACGATCCGATGTCAGGTTTAACCGTTCAATATTGTTTTAACTCGATTAGGCGCTGCAAGTATGGAATGATGATACGGAAACGCAACTACCGCGATCAGCGCCCGTGTTCTTGGACTCCATCGCCCCGCAGTTGGATCGTCTCTCTTCGGCCGGAAGTCGCGACCATTTTGCCCCTCGATGGCGTGAGTCTGCACACCACACGGAGTTTACTCACCGTTAGTTGACGTAGGTTGTCCAGCCCGGCTCGTTGAAGTACTCCTGTCTTATTTGGTGTGGGGTATGTATCAACCCTTTGAGTGCCGTCGTTCTTTCCATAGCACATGTATGTACATATGTTTGTATGTATGTACATACTTAGTACTAATATGAAGTTGTTGAACTACTTCAAATAATACTCGGTATTTACTGTAAGTTGGCTCTCGGGTTGCTCTTCCGACCCCCGAGGTCATGGGGAACGATAGGGTGGTATGGTATTGTCCGTACCGTTCCCGCGATCTGTTTCTTTCTTTACCCACCTCATGGCATCATTTCTCGAGGACTAACGACGCAGCCAAAGACCCCGCAGAAGGAATTCATTCCCCACTGGGTCGCAACAAATCGGCCCACTCGGCTCAGGTGCTCGTCTCTACACAGTATAGCTGCTACCTTGCTCAACCTACAGGTCGTTGGTACATCGATCATTATATCACTCACCCTATTATATAAGTAGTGGAAGAACCCCTGGTCCTCTCTGGTCCTAATTCCAGTTACATTTTAAACACTTGTGACCACTACCATCGAACATATCGGCGCTTGCCACTAGATCTAGAACTTTACAACTTCGTTACATTATAACATACTACTACTAGTATACTAGCACACTACACTACAAGATGGCTATCGCTGTTCGGTTCGTCCGCCCAACTATCCGCCATTTCTCTGTCCGTCGCCCACAACCAGACACTCGCACCTCTCGATTTGTCACCACTTCGTGTCTCTTCTCCGCGGTGGTGCTGCCATTTGTTCCTCCAGCCCTTGAGAGTTCTCGCGCTAAGAATACGGACGGTCCCAATTGTAATAAGTATGTTCTTGACTGGTCCATACTCTGGTACACAGGGATTCGGTTGCTGATTGGCTGACCTCTTCTCCAGGCCGCACCCACCGCTCTGTTTTCATGCCCGTTAAGATGTCGTCTCGGTTACCATGCCCGAAGGAGGAATCTGTCACGGTACCTGACATGCATCGGGACATTTCCCGTACTTCCACCAATCTTTGATGCTACGGCCTTTATTTTCCTTGATTTCGATATCACCATCCCTGGTGGACTTGCAAATGGTGGGCGTACGGACGTTGATACTTATTACACATACCACAACCTGGATTCCGTGGTGTGAAGCGCATAATTGTCGGACGGAGTTTGCTGGCGTCGTGCTCTTTTTATCTATATTACGCATTTCTAATTTTGTTCTCTTGGCGAGTCTGCATGATTGCGAGCATCGGGGTCCTGCATACTGTCTCGACCAGAGAAAAGATTCTTACACGCATGTTCACCGCAGCGATCATGCAAACTCGAGCGCAAACGAATAACCCATGCTTCCCTCTGGTAGGGCAGTTGGGTGACAGTGTTGCTGCAGTGCAGAAATGAACCATGACAGATTTGTGTACCTTACACAAGGTGCAATATTGTCGAGTCTAATTCACTGGATGAATACTCAAATGAAAACAACATTTTTGATTCCCTAACACAGCCTGTAAAATATATACCACGAATCCCGGCAAACTTCGCGAGATTTAAGAAGTCGGCTAGCTCGCAAAGCATATAATCGCATGATATCATACAAAGCCATAGCACACTCAGCACACTCTCGACATGTGCATATGACGTTTTGCCATCTCTATTGTTTAGGGGAAGATGAACTCCTCCGCATGCCCTCACGCGTAAGAGTTAACGCGCTCAGCTGAATCGATTACCTCGAGGAGGTCGGAACGGTTGAGCAGCCTCGTATTTTCCTTTCTCTAGCACTCGGTCTGCTTCGGATTCGGGTTCGTGACGGGTTGGAGCGGGATCATGACTGGCCTCCGCGCTTGGTGACGCTACATCGTCCGCTGCGCTCTGGAACTGCGCCATGTTGGCCCGTTTCAAGCTAGGGGATTCGGACGGGGTCGGGACTTTCTCGTTGAAAGTCGACTGGCGTCGGTAATCGGCTTCCATCTGTGCGAGTTTCGATTTGCGCTTGTTCTCTGCTTCATATCGGGCGGCTCGGTCCGCATTGATCGATTTCTTAGCGAAATAATAGGCTCCGCCGCCAGCTGTTTTACCGAAGTCAGCCGTGGAGCACTTGAGTGCAATTACTTGTCGTGAGACATGGGGCGCTTGAGAGTCCCTTACCGACGCAGAGAGTACCCCAGCCTACCCTGTTGATGCATGTCGACAGCATGTCAGTAATCTAGGTTCCATGTCGCCTAGGAATATGAAGCTTTGCAGGTTGTCTCCCGCTCACCAGGTAGATCGGATCTATAGATTTCCCAAAACACGGTCAGCAAGGCTTCACGTCTCGTCTGTTTGCAGTCCTCATATACGTACCGTATTCATTTTTTTTTTTCCTTTAAAAAGAATGTGCGGATACCAAGATTGAGCAAAACAATCCTCAATTGAAGGAAAAATGGAGACGGAGTAGAAACTACGTCAGCATTCGGCCGAAGGTCGGAACGCCGTTTCGCTCTACTGGTTGCTGTGCCACCGCCAACTTAGCCTCTTCTGCCTCTTTCGCCACACTTTGATGCCTCAGGCCTTAACATCATCGGAGTAAAGTCATCGATCTCATCGGATTACATCTGATTTATCTCCTTCAACTTTCTCTTTCTCTACATCCCCTTCAACCCGCTTATCGCTTCCGGATTCCTTCAACTCTACACCAGTTTGACGGTACTACTCGTATCTTAGAAAAAACGGAACGTTTAGATTTGCTTGGAGCCCTGCTGAGGCGCTGGTAGCCTCAGAGTATGCACATTCGTTTTGGCATAACATCAACACAATAGACAATAGACATCAGTTTCAGGGGATTCTAACACAATACAACAATATGCCTGTTAAGCGCAAGGCAACCGACAGTACGATTCCCATCCAGGGATCAGGTAGACGACAGGGCTGACCATCGTTAGGCGGTCGGTCAAGTAGAGCTTCGAAGCGTGCGACCCCGGTGCCTGACATCCAGGATGTCGATAGTAGCGATGAATTTTCCGAATATGATCCAAAGGAAGATAGCCTGAAAGGTATTACAAGTGGGCCTCTTGAAAAGTAACCACCCAAGTGCTGACTTTCTTCAAGAGGTCGTCGACAAGTTCTCCCTCGAATCGTTCAGTAACAAGAAGAGCTCCGCCGTACAGAAGCAAGATCCGAACTTCGGCTACAAAGACTTTTCGTCGCTTTCTCTGAAACCAGATCACGCGAACCGTCCTCTATGGATCGACCCCTTGAAAGGAACCATTACGTTGGAGAGTTTCTCGCCCTTGGCCCCCCAAGCGCAGGATTTCCTGACCACCATCGCCGAACCGCTGTCACGTCCGACCCATCTGCACGAATACAGGTTGACGGGAAACAGTTTGTATGCGGCTGTCTCGGTTGGTCTCCAGCCTCAGGATATCATCAACTTCCTTGACCGGTTGTCGAAGACGCCCCTCCCGGATACAATTAAATCCTTCATCATCGATTTTACGAAGTCATACGGAAAGATCAAGGTCGTGCTGAAACATAATCGCTTCTTCGTGGAAAGTACCGACCCAGCCATGTTACAGATGCTCCTGCAAGATGAAGTCATCGGAGCTCAGAGGGTCCAGGGCGGGTCGGCCGGTATCATTCAGCAGGCTGCTCCAAAAATGGGTGGACTTGTTATCCCTGGCACCAAGGATGCAGCAGGAGTGAAGCAGAGCACGGACCAGCAACAGCCGCCAGAGGAAAACCAAGGAGAGAAGCGGCAGGAGGATGATCTACTTTTGGCCATTCGCGATGAAGATGACGATGAAGAGCAGGCTCAGGTTCACAGCTTTGAAATTCCGAATGAAGCTGTCGAACCTGTTAAGGCTCGCTGCCAGGCAATGGGCTGCCCGGCATTAGAGGAGTATGACTTCCGGAACGACGAAATCAATCCTACATTGGATATCGACTTGAAGCCACAAGCTCGAATCCGAAGTTATCAGGAGAAGAGTTTAAGTAAGATGTTCGGCAACGGACGTGCTAAAAGTGGTATCATCGTCCTTCCTTGTGGTGCCGGAAAGACCCTAGTTGGCATTACGGCTGCTTGCACGATCAAGAAGGGTACGATTATTCTTTGTACCAGCTCCATGTCTGTGGTTCAATGGAGAAACGAGTTCTTACGGTGGTCGAATATTGACCCGGGCGACATCGCCGTTTTCACCTCAGACAACAAGGAAAAGTTTCGCAGATCGACAGGTATCATTGTTTCGACATATTCCATGGTTTCCCAAACAAGGGCCCGGTCTCATGATGCACAGAAAATGATGGACTGGATTCAATCGCGTGAATGGGGTCTAATGATTCTTGATGAGGTGCACGTGGTGCCTGCATCTATGTTCCGTAAAGTTACATCGGCTATCGCGACCCAAAGCAAGCTCGGATTGACTGCGACCCTCTTGCGTGAAGACGACAAAATCAAGGATTTGAACTTCTTGATTGGCCCGAAGTTGTACGAAGCTAACTGGATGGAACTTGCGGAGCAAGGGCACATTGCCAAAGTCCAATGCGCTGAGGTGTGGTGTCCTATGACTACAGAGTTTTATTCGGAGTACATGAGAGAGAAGTCAAGAAAGGCAGCCTTGCTCTACATCATGAATCCCCGGAAGTTTCAGGCTTGCCAATTTCTCATCGACTACCACGAAAAGCGTGGAGACAAGGTTATCGTGTTCTCTGATAACGTCTATGCTCTTGAGCGTTATGCCCTTAAGTTGAACAAGGCCTACATTTATGGCGGCACTCCTCAAAATGAGCGTATGCGGATTCTGGAGAACTTCCAGCATAACGAGCAAGTCAACACCATATTTCTATCGAAGATCGGAGACACATCCTTGGATTTACCTGAGGCAACCTGTCTGATTCAGATATCATCACATTACGGTTCCCGTCGTCAAGAAGCCCAACGGCTGGGCCGAATTCTGCGAGCTAAGCGTCGTAACGATGAGGGCTTCAATGCATTCTTCTACTCTCTCGTCTCCAAGGATACGGACGAGATGTTCTATTCTTCTAAAAGACAAGCTTTCCTTGTCGACCAAGGCTACGCGTTCAAAGTTATCACCCATCTTCAAGGTATTGAAAATCTGGAGGGGCTCGCTTATGCAACCCCCGGTGAGCGACGCGAGCTTTTACAGGAGGTCATGCTGCAGAATGAAACGTCTGCGGATGTGGAAGCCGTCACCGATGACTTGTTCTCTGAACGTTCTGGTGGACCAAGGGCTAAGAAGGGAGCTGTCAAACGCAGTGCCGCCACTCTCAGCGGCTTGGCAGGAGGAGAGGACATGGCATATATCGAGTACAACAAGAGCCGGAACAAGCAGCTGAAGGACAAAGTGGGACACCACCCGTTGTTCCGCAAGATAGAACGGGAGCGCCAGAAGAGGAAGAAGGAGATGGAAGATTTTGGCATGCATTGATTGAGATGCTACCACAATTCAGATGGAAATCAGTTTCGTTCATCAGATTGGTACTTTTTCTCCTGGTAAAAGGGTTGCACTGGTCATATATCTGTTTGGAAAAGCAGTTTGCATCAAACCACAAAGTATACCTAATAAATTTACTATAATATGACAATTCGCTTTCAGATCCATGTATATACATTCTTACAAATTGTACTCAGCTGGACAGTTGGCATCGAACAATATCGGACTCACAAGGTCCACCTCAATGACAGGCCCAACAAGACTACGAGTAGTTTTAACCGCCCGCAGCACTCATGAGCAAATATATACAACCTGAGAGCCCTATTCAGAATGGAACAAATACAAATACTTCGGAGACTACCGAGACTTTTGCGCCTGTCCTCCGCTCTCTGCATTCTTCAACTCATTCGTATCCCGCGCAACAACCAACAATAGTGATGATACCCTTGCACGCAGCCTGATTTCTATAGCCGTTAGTCGCCCTAGCTAGAAAATGTCTCAAAGCAGGTAGTATACCGACAAGGTTACAGCGGGACAATGGTGCCGACAGTGGGACTGGGAGTAGGACCCAAAGCGACACTGGAACTGGCAGGGCTAGCACTAGCTTCAGCGCTGACCTTGCCATGGGGTCTGTTGAGGATGTTCAGAATGCCTCCCATCCAGTCCGGGTTGATGGCGGCTGGGGCCGGGGCCGCGAGGGTGCTGGTTGCGAAGATAGCGATGGCGAGGGTGAAGAAGTGCATTGTTGCAGTCAGTATATTGAGGTTGAATGAGTGGATATCGTTAAAAGTGATGGTGAGTGAGTGACTGTAGGATTTTGGTATGAAATATTGGAAAGAGAGAATGACTGGCTTGGATAGCTTGTTGTCTATCTTCTTGCGGTAGAGCTTTCGTCCTTATATGTTCTATCTTGGTATATTACTGGAAGTATTGAATGGGGTTAATCAATACCGAAGTAAGCAAAAGCGCTCGCTATCTTTTGGGTCTATAAACGGTAATTTAATCACGACAGTAGATCCTAGTCTTAGTCTATGCGTGCTAAGGCATGCATCTGCATCTTAGTCTTTCCCAGGTAGAATGCTCTCATCGTACTACGTGCGTCCTCCTTATTTCCTAGGAGAAATAGTAGAAGTGTTAACGAGCTTCTCGATCGAAAGCATATAAACCGGGGCCCTTGGACCCATAGATCGTCGATAGATGAACCCTCCGATGTTTTAGACAGCCTGCCGACAAGATCCTTGCTCCGCCACCATCTTTATTATCTACCTGATACACTCGACCGTAGTAGTTTTCTCACGGTCCATTCGTGACGTTTCAGTCGGAATCTCCCGAGGTTATTCAAGATATACACCGGTTCGAGCACCGGCATGCCCCTCACATCGGGTGGTTTGGGGGTAAACTTCGGTGGAATTATATCGCTGGGTCGTGATCATCATCCTGGGCCGTTGAAATGGATCAAGGGTCCCACATTCTATCTCAGGGCATGTCCAAGCTTTTTACCCCTGGACCCTGGTCTAGTGTTCCTGAATATTTAGCCGAATTAATGTGAGCTCTCCTATTATTGACTCAGCTCTGGTTATCGAGCGGGAGACTCCAGGATTTATTTGTCTTGGAAACGGGGCAGTGTACTGGATTCTGTGCACCTTTTTTCTGAAGGATGAATGAGCTCTGTGACTGAAGGATTGTATCACTTGTCTATTATGATTCTCTCGATCCAAGAAAATAGCCGCTATGAAGGGTGTCATGTTGCGAAGGATTCGTTGGTTGCTTGCGTTATTCTGACAGCTTGAAGCCCACTCTATGGTGCACCATAAAAAGCCATGTGTAAGCAGCCAGATCGAAACGCGATCCAGATGCGATCCAGACTCCAGGCGAATGAACCCCAGATTCTTCTGTTCAATTAGAGCAGCCAGACCTACAAGTTCAAATACGAGAGATTGGTCAACCCTAATTGTATGATTGGCGCGGGGGGCTCATATGACGTCGCTCGGGCGTCGCGAAGCCCCGAAGCCCGACTCTGATTTGTACTCACTTAGCGACTGCTCTCCCCGCATATCGAACCTATACGAGATGGAGATAAATAAGCTTGCGATAAGACATGAACTTCTCGGCCATCCACTCTGCCCAGCTTGTATGCATCGGAAGACTGTTCACAGTACATTGGCAAACTGCTGTCGCCAATCCACTGGTATTACACAACGATCGTCGCTATTGCCGAGGAGGCTTCAGACCATTCGCCCTCGGTGCTTTAGTGCTCAACGCTTTACTAGTTGCTGTACTCCGGCTGTTCAATATTCCCGGTGGATCTCGTTCTCGTCACCACCCAGCACCATCACTGTTGAATCTACCTATCGTGTCAACGCTCGAAGAAGTCCAATGGCCACGGCACGGAAAATTGAGCTGTCCACCTCTAACTCCGGTATCTACTCCACCGGAGTTAGAGAGGATGCTGCTCGAGCTGCTAGCCAAGTCTTGCAGGAGAATCTAGAGAAGCACCACATCTACTTCAACGATTCCGGGTTCCATAGTAAGTTCGATTGGATACCTCGTATTTATCGCTCGAGAAAACAAATCAAATGCTAATATAATAGACCATATCGTCCACCATATTCTAACCATCTTTGCCCTGGGGGCTTCCCCGGACGAGATTAGGGCTGCGTATGAGAGAAATAAGAGTTACCAGCGGCCTGCTTTGCCGCCCAATGACAGTGTGGTTCAGTCCTTGTATGACCAGGCTCGGTTCAAAGAATGCCTGGGGAAACGAAACAATTACCCCAATTTCTTGGAATTTTTCCAACGTGAGATCGAAACAAAAGGAGTTGAAAGCGTGATTAAACAATACGTTTTCGCCGGGGATGATATCGCGGAAGATATGCTGGTAAGATTGTTTGGAGGTGAGTACATGCATCTCTCAGTCCAGTTGGTAATATTTCGCAAGTATAGAGCTGACTTTTGTTGGAATGCTCAAGGTCTCATTCATCCGCTTATCCACTTGGGGTTCGGGATTGAGTTCAACCAGCCTGCCATCGTAGCAGAAGCCCTGGCCCAAGCTGCTACCCATGAGAACTGGACTGGTCCAATGTTCCTCCTACCCGCTGAAAAAGCAGCAGGGGGTATTGGCAAACCCGGAAAGAAATCATTGCTGCAAATTCTAGAGGAAGTACGCAGCGACGATAAATTGGCGAATTCCGCACATTGGGAAGATGAGAATAGGATGAGGGACGGCGTCCTTGTACGGGCACCAGATGAAATGATCAAACATGCTGCAGAATTCACCGTGTCTGAGGATCAAATGGAAGAAAAGCTTGTTGAAATAGTCGACACCGTTGGTAGGTGCCCAGGAAACTAGGGTCTGCATGAGTGGGTACTGACTGTAGCGACATTTTAGCCTACTTCACCGCTACTGCTCAACGACCGTCCAAGCAGGTTAAATTTGACTTCTTCTATATACATGGCTTGAATGCGTCGATATTCCTCGCCAAGTTCATCTCGCTGCCGTGGCTAGATGTGCGCTCCAAGCTACGTCTCCTCGAATGGAAAGGACGATTGAACCTGTTGCTATATGTATCCCGCAATACACCCGAGCTATACCTCAATGATGTTATCGAGTATCAAGCTTCGAGGACTTGGGCGGATATTTTCGCATATGTCAATGCACACCCAAGAGAGGATGGACACATTAGCAAATTGGCAAGAGCCCTCGCGAGCGGAGAGAGAGTCTGCCGTCCTTACGAGGCCCAAGCCAAAGACTTGGGATTGATGATCACCGGCGATATGTGGCTGAAGATCGGGAATATGGGTGAGTTGAAGCTGAAACCTCTGTCTTGCAACGGTGGCTGATGACGGATATAGTTATGGATTCAACTTCCGATGAGCATTCCGTGTGGGTCCGTTCCACCGGATTCGATGGAGCATGGGAGGAATTTGAAGACCGCCCTCGTCTGTGACCGGATGTGGCTCTGTATGCTTGGATGCCCTTTTGTAATGTAGTCGGCTAGGCAATTAATGTATATCCCGATGAGCGAATGTAAATCGATGCAAAATATGTTGTTCTGGCTGGAATAGTCCTAGTCCGAGAGAAAAAGCATTTGCCATGTTTGCAGACATCACGTGGTGATTGTGGATTTAATTTAATGAGAGGTGGGGCGATCAATCCCCAACAGCTTCAATCGATCACCACGCTAACGCTTATTTGAGTCTCATACATCCATCCCCCATCCTCTTTTTCTTTTCCATCTCAAATTTCATCTGGATCGACATCCACTTGACCAATTTGACCTGTCTCTTGTTCGGATTTGACCTATCCCTTTCCGAGACCCTTCTGGGGAGGAACCAGCCATGGCAGGTGACGACAATTCAAACCGCGACAGAGACCCTTCCGCGCAGAGCTCCCAACTGTGGCCCGATGACGACAATCCGTTTGTTGCTTTCCGTCGCTTTGCCGACGAACAGATTTCCTCCATGTTACAGTCAGTAACGGGGCTGCCATCGATGGTCACTGCCCCGCCACCCGACCATTGGTCGATTTTCGCAGACGACAGATACTACAAAGACGCGCATACCCGCCAAAGACAAAGCGGTGACGGTAAAGAAGGAGACCATTATGCGGAGTCGGAAACCGGCGCATCTTCCAAGTCGACTGATAATTCACCATCGCGGTCGTACTGGCCAGGATCAGATGAACATTGGCAGTCCCATCGTACCAGAAGACAGAGTCCACCTCACGATCCTTTCGATATCGACTTCTTTTTCGATTCCTTCTTCGACAAGTTCTGGTTTGACGATCGCGTTTCTTCCCGCTTCTTCCACCCGTACAATAGGCCCCTGTTCTCAGGCATGATAAATGATGAATCTCCGACCTGGCCTGTCACCTACCTCATGTTCAGTCCTTACTCCCCTCTGCATTTAGAACGTCAGGCACAATATCGGTCTAGTCGCGAACACGGAGTGTTCTCGTCTCTCATGTCTACTCTGAACCTTTCTACTGAACATGATCCTGCAGAGCCCCAGTGGCGGGAGGCTTTTGAGGATCTTTTGCGACTCGAAAACGGAAAGCCGATGCTCGACAGGGACCCTGCAGACGTCAGTAAGAGGGAATCGGGGAAGGACTGGTTGCAGGGGCTGGTCAAACGTGGTAGTCTTGGGGATCGTTTCAAGTATATCTCTGGAACAGAAAGCCGACCCTGGTCGACTATCACGTTCGATAATTCGAAGAACACGGAAGATGACCGCAGTCTGGCCGAAGAGAAAGCTTTGAGCAATAGTGCAAAGGCAGAAATTAGTTGGGATGATGCTGAGCCTGACTCAGTCACAGAGCTAGATATGTACGAACGTTTCCTTGCGGACATTGAAGCTCGTGAGCGGGAGTTCTTCAAGGATACACACGAAAGCCCTCTCTTACGCCTTCTCTTTGAAGACAGATACAGAGCCGCAGATAACAGAGCATCATTAAAGAAAGCAAACCGGATTGAAGATACCGAAAGCAGCCTAGGCCAGGTGCCTAGCGAAACCCAAAAGACTGTCTCAAAGACAGACTCTCAACCGGCCACGGATGCATCTCCTGCGGAGACCGACAAGTCAGTGGCCGAGAAAAGTCCATACGTCATATCCACCAAAACTTCAACAGAGCGTATCCGACTACCTGATGGATCAATTCAGACAAAGACTGTAAAAACTCAGCGGTTCGCAGATGGCCGCGAAGAGAGCAATGAATCTGTCGAGGTGGTCAATCCTTCGCAGGTCAGTCGGGAACCCACTAGTCCAGAGGGAGCCCGGTCTGATGAGAAACCGAGCGGCTGGTTCTGGAAGCGCGAATAGATCGAGAGATCTTAGCTTTTTGTCGTTTCATTCCTCTGATCATACTTTTTTTTTTTTCACACTACTCTCCTTTACCTACTCGTTTTTCACCCCTTTCCTATGTCTTGTCTGCTTAGCGCTGCGTCTTCCCAATTGGCGTCTTGTGAATTATTGTTATCCCCTTTCTCATTAACTCACTAGCAAACACTATGCTAGTCACATTCATATACTCGAGTCCTATGCCGTGTACTGGTTACCTGGCTACGCTAAGTCGTCTCTTCAAGGTGCAATATCTTCCACATTTAACATATCTAAACTGATGTCTCATGGCGTGTATCTCTCTTAGTATATTTCTCAAAACAAATATGATCGCATTTATCTAATCCACCTAGTCTGCCTTGACGTTCTTCTTCTGTGCTTTCCCAGCAGTCCATCCCTTTGATTCCCAGAATTTGACGCTGTCTTCCATCTTTTTGTATGCCCAAGTAAATGAGGGGTCTGGTGGCACATTAGCAAACGCTAGAAATCAACAAGTCAACTGCGGGATCTACTTACACAAGAACTGCCGGAGGTCATGCCTATTATCATCGGGAGAGTACTGTTCCGCATGATAACTAGGGGTAAGTACGGTCATCTTATGGCGGTTAATGGCATAATTGTAGAAGAAATGGCGGGTTTTCTCATATATCTCGCGAGGGCTGTACTCATTACCCCACACATGGAGCAATCTTTCGTACATGGACCAAGGTCCTAGCTTCGCAACCTTACGCAGGTAGCCGAAAGTGGACAACTCAGCGTACGTTACGCCCATGTCCGCTTCGTCTGACTGGACGTACGTGGATGTTATCGGTTCCAGCTCGGCGGTTGGAGTGGCGTTCAGGAATTCGTGAAGAATAGGTATTTCAAACGAATCCCGAGACCAGGCGATGAATTTCTTCAGGTCGACTTTGCTGATGGAGCCAATTGGGTTCAACTAGTTTTAAATCTTACTGTTAGCATCTCGTCTCTTCTATGAAGGAGAGTGCCAGGAAAGGGGCTGAGACATACATCTGCGCTACTGGCATCGTATTTCGTCAAATAGCCACGCAAACTGTGCATATCGGTTAGAATTGAACAAATTAGAAAAGGAGTTAAGCTTTATATACCATTCTGCGGACAGTTAGCGAAATCCAGTATGTGTAGGAGATATCACTTACCATCTACATTTGATGATGCCAGAACGAGCAGTCCACCTCCACCTGGCCGCTGTCGGACTGTAGGAAGCAACGATGCAAACAGGTACGAAAGCACCATTCTTAGGCGGGCTTGAACGTTCTGTAGCGCTTGGTTCTCTGCCCGACTACCACCATGAACCTTGAACTTAGGCTGGAAGTTGGTAACCATCGTGAACAAATTCGTCAAGGAAGTTATAACTGTATCAAAATTAAAGTCGATATGATAAGATCCAATGTCGGTTGAGAGCCTCTTTGCCCGGTCCCTTGTCTCCTTGCTGGAATTTTGGGTGCCCATATAGCTAGTGTGGAAGATGCGACTGAAAGTGAATTAGCATCCTTGAGTAGAGGTTAGAAAGTTGGAAAGATCAGTCTTACTTGCACACTTCTTGACTCGTAGTAGGAAGCCAGGTAGAATCCGCTGGTTCAGCGCATAGCCTGCGGACATCTTTGATCACCTGCTCATTTCCTTCTGACACTGCCTTGATGACTTCCCTGCACATCGAGTGTACAATAATGGCAGTAGCACAGCTGTCAATACCACCACTCAGCGGAAGGAAGAACCCAGCGGCACCACTCCTTCGGAGATAATCCCAAAGCCAACAAGCTGGACCGAGTGCGACTTCTTCTTCAGGGGCGTGGTATCGGGGCGCAATAGTCTCAGATGGGGCAAGGCCGGGCTCAGCCTCTTCGTTTTGACGAGAAAGTCTCATATCGAGGTCAAGACGAACGAATGGTGTTTGTTTGCTGGCTTGCATACCACGACTAGCACTAGAACGATACGTCCGGACCTATCCCAGGTTAGATTTTCGCTGCAGGAACCAGAATTTATGGAAACCAGACCTCTTCTATATCAACGGTAGCTGTAACAACCTCGACATCGTTCAAGGAAAATTGAGAGCCCTGGGCCACGATATTGCCATTGACGACAATCATTGCACAGCCATCGTAATACAGCCGGTCACCATCGCAGCCTTGCTGGTTTGCATATAGATAGATGCCTCCACTCTAAAAAGCCGTCAGCCTGCGAGTTAATGCTATCTTTGCAGGCAACTTCACCAGTTTCGTAGCTTGTGTAACCAAGTTGATACGGGTGTCAAGCTTCCTTAACTCGTGATGACTTCCTGAAGAATTGGAGATGATCTCCACGCCTATCGAAGAGGTCAGCGATCTCTACCAGAACAGGGCTGCAGGGTGCAATGATGACCATACCGGCAAGACCGTAAGGGATATGAGGCCTATATAGAATTAGCACGATAGCCACAATCATGTAGTCAAAGTGAGTACCCATTAGGAGTGAATAGCTCTTCGCAGGTCTCTAGACCTAGACAAGTATCTCTTGTACTGATGACTGCATCTCCGAAAGGAACCTTATACTGGCCTGTTATTTTACCAACGATTGATTCAAGATAATAATCTTCAATCTCTTGAGGGCGCTGCCAGGGGGTAAAGTACCGCATCTCTCTATAGTTCCCATCTGATTGAACCACAAACATTAGCGAAGGATAGCTCAAGATAGACACAAGAATAAGACGAAGTGTTGGGATAAAAAAGGCATAGACAAACCATTGGCAAGCCACATCTTCGGGCGAATCAGAATGATCTTGCGGTTGTAAAAGATAACGCTTAAGAATATTAGCGAGGCCGGTTTACTGACTTGCAAACCACCCACCGGCAATTGTATCGCACGTTCCTATGCCGAACAGGCATACCTACGTCCACCACAATGTCTTGACAGTCAGCGTGGTCAATGATACGTGCCAACATTTCCCACGAATGGAGGAACGTATCGCCCTCGAGGAATCCATCAAGAACACCATATCCTAGAAAAGCGTATCAATGCAGCGAACTTTGTAGTCATAGCCAATGCTCAAGTTACCGGTGATCTCGAGTTCAGGTCCGACGCGTAGAGTAGCTCCGGCTTTCTTAGCCTGACGGATACTCTCAATAATCCGTTCGCAGTTGCCTTCAAAATCAAGGGCCCATTGATTAAGGGAACTGGTAGGGAATACAAATCAGCGCGACCTTACAAGTTAGATGGCGCATGTAACTGCTCGAAAGTAGTACCTACCATGTTGCAAGAGTGACAAGGTGGCCCATGTTGGATGAACGGGGACAGTTTCAATTAGTGGCCAATCTTCAATCTCTAGATCCTGAAACTGGATCTTGCTATCAAATTATTTAAAGAAGCGCACACAAGAACCCTGTCATTCCAGCTTTCCCGGCGATAAGAATTGAATTGGAGATGGCCGACAATGACGCCTGTCACGTGTGTGGGGAGCTTCCCCTCGTACCCCGCTGTGGTTTTGGTATTACCAGAACATTCATAGTAACGACCCCTGAGATGCATGCAGTGATGGTATCCGGGATACGTCATTTGCTGCCGTGTTACTATGCACGTTGATCCTCGGATAAGTTGTAAGAAGCAGCTGATTAATCATTCGTTATCAGGGCGTCTACATTTGCGCTTGCGATTTCTACTCTGCTTCCCCCCTCTTTTTCTACATTCTATAGTGTTTCTAGTATAGATTTTTCACCCCAATTCACTCACTGGCCTGTGTCATACCTAAATCTCATTATGAGCAGTCAACCTCAGATTCCCACTCCTGCCCATACGCAAGCTGAGTCAATGCTGTCTCGACAGTTTGGGAAAGAAACCGTAAACTACTTCTCCAGTAGGCTCCCCGGTTTTGATTGAACGGTCTTTTACGATACTGATATTACTAGGCTCGCCTTTAAATCGGCTCTCGTTTCTACGGACCGAGCATGCGTTTCTTTCAGCAGCTATCAGACATCCTTCCACCCGCTTTGTACTTCTGAAGGATCTTGCACCCCTTACGAAGTCTCCGTCAGAATTATATTATGCTCACTATAATGAAATTCAAAAGCTTGTTCCCGAGACGATTTATGATAAGACAGAGGAGGAGACAATCAAGGAATATGACTCACGGAAGACCACCGCGCAGCTAATCTTCCTTGGACTAGACGAGAGCCGTAAACAAGATGGGCTCGCTTGGAAGATTTATACCGGCACTCCTTTCTTTGCTCTCGATGTAACCCCTAAGGGGGATGAAGAGCAACAGACCAATTCCAAAGCTGTGATTAGTGCCATGGAGGAAAAGGGATTGAGCTTCTTCCAGTCGAGAGTGGTCATGACCTTTTCGGCTGACGAAGGTAAGCTTTGCTGAGATCTAGAGAGCAAACTTTGTTTACTGACCGCATCCCAGCTGCCATTTACGCCCAAGCCCGCGCTCTCATGGATTGGAATAACCGTAATAGCTTCTGTGGCACCTGCGGTAACCCCACGCTCTCTGTAAATTCTGGTACCAAGCGTGCTTGTCCACCTACAGACGTTGCCCGTGTCGCAGAGGGGAAACCGGCCGAACGGCCAGCCTGCAACACGCGCACTACCCTTTCTAACCTGTCCTTCCCACGTACCGATCCAACAATCATTGTGGCCGTTCTTTCAACCGACGCCAAGCGGGTCCTGCTTGGTCGCTCAAAACGCTATCCGCCCAACTGGTATTCAACCCTTGCCGGGTTCATCGAACCAGCAGAGTCGGTTGAGGACGCTGTCCGAAGGGAGGTGTGGGAAGAAGCGGGCGTTACTCTTTCCCGTGTCATTATTCACTCATCCCAGCCTTGGCCCTACCCAGCAAATCTCATGATTGGAGCAATCGCACAAGTTAGCGATCCTGCCCATGAAACGATCAATCTAAGCCATGACCCTGAGCTGGAAGATGCGAAATGGTTTGGCGTCGAGGAAGTCGAGGAGGCTTTGAGAATAGGCGTAAGTGCGCTGGGTGATAAGGCTGGTCCGGAGTACAAAGAGGGAGGGTTGAGACTTCCGCCGCCAACTGCTATCGCGAATCAATTGATCAGAGCAGCTGTCAACATGGATCTCTTGGCAGGAGATAAGACATCAAAAATGTAGGCGTCAAGTTCTTGAAGTTTGTGCATCCTGTCTGTTTGCCTTTGCCATCTCTGTATCCAAGTTTTGAATATCATAGACTACAGCATAGAGTGACTTACTTTGAATGTGATGATTGGGCGAGTACCATCTTCTTGTGCCATTAAAAGGCCGTAGACAAAAATTGTGTCGTTCATTTCTCAGTCCAAGCAAAACCTAGACCGGTAAACTCATCATGAAGGTTTATATACAAAAATTTAAAAGTAAGGCTCAACAACCGGTCGAGCGTGAAAAGATGTGTCCAATACGATACACAAGTCTTCCTCACAAATTGGCATAGACGGTTCCGTCTCGCAGTTCATGTATACTCTCTTTTCCAGACGGCGAGCCAACCTCAGTGTATCTCCTTCCATCCCTTAACTCATGGATGGTTATTCTCCGATGAGACCTTTTGCCCCGCCGTGAACCCCGGCTCGAGAAAGATGATTCACCGCGCATGTCGCGCGGTGTCGAGTCGATGCTCCCTGAATCGCTAAGTGCAGCGCTGCTAGTGGGTGTCCCTTCTCTACTTTCCCTGTTAATAGAGGCTTGTAGTTGGTTATCTGCCACCATGGCCATGCCAGCTTCTTGGTACCATTGGCGCAGATCAGTGGCACAGGCCTGCTCTTCGCTCCCGTATTCAACTGGAGGATCATGAGCCAGTGCTTTATCATCCAAGCCCTTGAGAACAGCCCAAGCACTAGTATCAACGCTGGCAATTATTATCGAGCGGCTGAATCTCTTGACTCTGAAGTTGCGTAACAAGACAACGTTCCCCTCTTCCACTAAGGGAAGTGCTACTTTGGAAGGCCGGGAAATTTGGGCATAGAGCGTGGCTCCAGCCATAGATTGATCAGTAAGTTGAAGGGTTAGGATAAAATCCTTCTTTCCTGATGCAGCCCGAAACACGGGCTGGACTTCCGACACAACGGAGATGGTATCTACTAATGCATTATAGTGGTCGACAAGCGTTGCTAACGGAGCAAAATAGGAAAGCCTGCTGTGCAGGCCGGGATAATGGCGGTCTACTCCAATGAGTTGGACCTCATCTGGATCTCCAACGGATTCATCATCTGAATAAAGCTCATCTTCTTGGCCATGGCCTCCACTGAAAGATGCTGGTGTTCCCACATCCCCATTCCCGGAAAAGTCTTCGAGTTCATCCTGTCCCTCCTGCGGGGTAGAGACAAGACGTGCTTCGTTTTCAACATCTTCCGCGAGATTGCCATGTCGTTCCGCTGGCGCAGATGTTGTAGTTTGAATGGCGGGTGGCATTTGGCCTTGGACTTGCGCGGTCATACTTCCCTGTGTATGTTCAGATGTAGGAAGTATCCCAATTGCAGTGAAATCCATAGAAGGTGGACCAGGTTCTACCAGTTGAGTATCCATTGGTACCAAATGCTGCAATTGCGGAGGCCTCTCCGAAACTGCCTCATGGGAATCGTGCAATGCTTGTGAAAATGAAGTACCGTCAAGAAACGAGCTTTGGGCAGTATTTTGGGCCGCCTCAGATATCTTTGCGAAAACCCCAGTCCTAGGCTCAGCATGAACAGAATCTGAATGAGGCTCTTCTTTCGCCTCTTTCTTTACTTGTTCTTTACCAAGCCCAGTGTTTTGCAACTCCGGATCGATCACTGTTTCCAGCTCGTGTGAAGCATTTCTCGAGTCGTGATGAGGTTCTTGAACGAATGACATGATAAATGAGTGATGATCAAGATTCCCCGAGTCGGAAACATGAGATGGTGTCTCGATTGTATGTTCCTCTTGATGATGCTGAGGCGATGGTTGCTCATGAGTATCGGGGCTCGCACCCCCAATATCCGTGGGCTGTGATACTGACACCTGCCCCCTTTTGAGCTCAGGTTCTTCAATTGCTTTGTTTTCCGCTTGGTATTCCTCATCCACCTTCTCGTCCCTCGTCCTTCCGCTGTCAGATACCTCGTATACAGCATGCCCAGCTCCTTGCTGTTCACCATTCGCTTGCTCACACTCATCCACCACCATCTCTTCATTCTTATCCATCAGCTGCTCACTTTCCGAATTTCCGTCGGACCAATCTTCGCCCTCTTCATCCTCTGAGCTTTCTGAGTTGTGCGAACGTCTGGACCTTAGGCAACCCTCTTCGGAAGCAGATGCTTCAGGTTCGGATGACTCGATCTCCTGTGTGCTGGCTTCTTTTCTTGATGAGGTCATTGGGTAAGCCCGAGAAGCAGTCGCAACTTCATCTTCACTGTCACTGTCTAGTACGATGACCTCCGGATGTATTTTCTTGGTGGCAGGCGGCTGGGTGGGCGTATCAACGCTCATTTGATCTGATATGATCTCAGAATCAGCACCATCGTCGTATTCATCCTCGTACATATCCTCGGCTTCCTCTTCTTCTTCTTCCTCTTCTCCTTCTTCCTCTTCTTCTTCCTCTTCTTCTTCCTCTTCTTCTTCCTCTTCTTCTTCCTCTTCTTCTTCCTCTTCTTCTTCCTCTTCTTCTTCCTCTTCTTCTTCTTCCTCCTCCTCCTCTTCTAACTCTTCTTCGTACCATCCCTCTTCATCATCCCATTCACCTTCCAAGCCGTTCCTTTCTATTTCCTTGTTGTCTGCATATTCTTCCCTGTCTGTCTTTTTGATCTCTTGAGCTTGTTCCCCCTCCGATTCTTCTTCCTCTCCAAGCTCTTCTTCAGATTCATCTTCACTTCCTTCCCTTTCCCATTCATTCACTCCTGCATGAACAGCTTCCGTTTGATCCCCACGATCCATTTCTGGTGGGTTGGTCTCGCTTTTAGTAGCCAAGTCATGATAGCTCCTCAATGTCTCCAGTGTCTCTGTATCCTCCTCTCCGCTTCCAGTAGGACCATATTCAACCATCCTGGATACACCGCTTGCCTGAGTGTCCCCAGAAACAAGACTTCTATTGGTACGTTTTATTTGTTGGCCATCATCTTCAAGCTTGTCCTCATTGACCATTTCTTCCCCCTGATGCGTTTCTTCTTTGTCTTTTTCGGATTCAGCTTCTACTTGAGCGTCAATGCAGTTCTCGTCGACCTCAACCTCTTTTCCTTCTCTCTTTGGGCTTCTCAATTGATCAGTGTCTCCTATATGTCCATCAAGTCTCCCCGTATCCTTCTCAGATATGCGTGGGGTAAATTGGTCGACTTTGACAGGTTCAGCTGCTACTTTTGAGTCCTCGTCTGGTGATAGCTCTTCTGACCCAGTATTGGCCATCGTATGTGGCTGGCTTGTAGCTTTAAGGGTAATCTTCGTAGCATTTGACTCTGCTCCGAATTCGGAAATATCAATTGCGCGATCCTCTGTTTCTGAAGTAATGGGTGTCCCTTTACACTTCGCTCTCTGCGAAGTATCCGGCTGCGCACCAGGTAATTCATTCTCTGAATCTGTCACCTCTTGAGATAATGTTGTGGGTATCTGGCTGGTATGAGAATGCGGCGTGGCTGTGACTGGTGTAAAATAGCCCTGCGGACTGTTTGACATAGTAACGAGCGGCGAAGGAATAGGGAGTCCGGGAGAGGGAATAGGGTGTAGACGAGGAGTTTCTATCGGAAGATGGGCCGAGTAATTTAGAACACCCCTCTTGCGCGAGAATCTGGCTATTCCAGAAACACCAGGTGGAGGAAGCCTTATCCCGTCTGCGGCCTGAGCGATATGTCGTTCCGGACTTGTCCTAGAAGATGCCGGCGAAACGTCTTCCATGGCAACATCAGCCTCTGAGACTGGAACAGTAAGAGATACCCCCTTCGAGTCTGTTTCAGGGCTTGTCATTTTAGTCGCATCCGATGGCCTCTCCTCTTTTTCGGCAGCGTCCTCGGGGCCATGCTCTGATTCGCTTTCCCAATCTTCATCGAAAATATGTGTCCAGTCCGGAACTTCGCCCCTTTCACCCGGGCTTTCGGGTTCATCGATTACTCGCCACTCGTTGCTGCGCATACTGAACCTAGGGCGTTTTCTTCCTTTCCCGGGAACAAACCCATCCTCCTCGGCGAATGGGTCCAATGCTGAATCAGCTAGGCCCCCCAAAGATGTGCGCGATCGCCCTAGAAAAGCCGGAGACTGCCATGAGCTCAACCCATCAATCGAGAAGTTTTGATCAGAGCGATCGTAGCCCTTGGAAATGGGGGTAGCCGGTGGCGCATTTGTAGTATCATTGTTTGGTGAGGGGGTAGGAGGGTCGACTTTCACAGTTGACAAATGATTCGATGAGCGCCAAATCTGTACGCTTTGTCAGTGAGATCCTCACATTTTCTTGAGGACTTCCACTCGCAGTACCTCGAGAAACACACGATCATCGAAATGTATATCCCATGCCACGCTTTTGCCAGGGGTTCCAGGTGCTGTCACATTATCCGACAATCTCGCTCCATTCAGACTTAAATAAACTATATCGCCGATTCCAATTTGAGATTTAGCCACACTTTCTGCGATATGCCCGTGGAAAACTGTCTTTACTTGTCCATTTGAGTGACGCAAGCGAAAGTCGGGCTCTGCTAACAAGAGGCTGAGGGATTTTGTCGATGATGAATAGGGCCACAAAAGAGTAACGGATGCATGGATCGAGCTCTTGGGGAAGCGCTCAAGCGTTGGGGAAAGCTGCGCGATAGGGATGCGATTCGCATGTAAGGGTTCAGAGGTCGGAAATTGCTCGTTAGCATCCATCACTGCAGCTGCTAATGGATTTACACCTTTGGTATAGCATCACTGATGGCTACTGCATTGCCCCGAAACCCCTGCTATGTAACCTGACGGATTATTATTCACAATAAAGATAGAAGTGGTTTTGTTTAGCGATAGCTTGTGTTCAAAAGGCGGCGAGAGCAAAAGTACGGGTGACATCACCTGACAAACAATCTAGAGCTTGCGGAACAGCGTTGGTCAGTATCGGAGCTGTAAAATTACGTATGGCGTCCCCGGCCTCGGGAATCAGAAGAAGGAAACTTGTGTATTTCATGTAACCGCATAAACATGGTTACATAGCGTAATACGTTAACGGAGCTTTTTCTCAAGTAAGTCGATAAAGTTTATAATCAATTAAGAAGAAAAGAAAACAAGTTTATCTCATTTAATTCCAAACCCTGGTTTATCCCAAGGTTTGCGATGTTATCCGAGCCCCATGCTAGACAGTAACCTAAAGTGGTATCTAGTACGGAGTACGGAGTACTAGGAGTAGATCACGACATTGCCCGGCGGGGTGATTTAATTTCAAAACAAATAACCAATTGTCTGATCATCAACCAAGCTACTTCGAGGAATTGGAAACCTGACGCCAAATTTTCTTGCTGTTACTTGACGCCCGGCATGACAATCTCAAAGCAAATCCGCCGGGTAGCTGTTATCGGTGCAGGGCCATCGGGCCTCTCAGCTGTGAAGTATGAAGCAAATCTGGAGTACCACGCTCATCTTGAAATTGTCTCACTCACGATTCATCAGGTATCTTCTTGCAGAGAAATACTTCACCAAGATTGATGTTTTCGAGAAGAGAAGTTCTGCAGGTGGGGTGTGGAATTACACCCCACCGGCTCTCAAACAGAGCACATCAACGCTTGTACCGCAACTTGACCCGAATGAACCTGGCGATGAGCCGATATGGCATCACACAGGAGGAACCGAGGGGCCGCTAGAGCCAGCTTTTATATCCCCAATTTATAGTACGTTGGATACCAACATTCCAAAGGAGTTAATGGCCTATGGGGACAAGCCATTTCCCCCCGATGTCCAAGTGTTGCCGAAGTACTCTACAGTGAAGAAGTATTTGGACGAATACGCAGAAGATGTGAAAAATTATATTCGTCTTGATACCCAAGTTGTGAGTGTCAAATCTAGTGGCTATAGAGCAAATGCTTGGGCTGTAACAACGAAGAATTTGCGAACTGGGGTCGACACGACCGATACATATGATGCTGTGGTTGTGGCTAGTGGACATTATGATGTCCCATACACTCCAGATATACCGGGTATTAAGATCTGGAATGAGGCTTACCCGGGCATTATCTCCCATTCCAAGTTGTATGACTCGCCCGAGCCTTTCCGCGGGAAGAAGGTGATCGTTGTGGGAAGTTCTGCATCAGGAGTCGATATTGGCAATCAAATAAACAGATTGAGCAAGGGCAAAGTGATCGCGTCACAGCGAACAGAGTCATATCTGATGCCGTCCAACGCCACAGACAAGGATTACGTCCCAGAAATTGTGGAATTCTTACCACCAACCGAATACAATAGGGCGGTTCGCTTCACTAACGGTAGAATTGAGGATGATGTCGATGCAATCGTGTTTTGCACTGGCTACTTGTACTCTTTCCCCTTTCTATCGTCATTGGACCCTCCTGTTATTGCGGATGGACGGAGGGTGTTGAACACCTACCAACATCTGTTCTATATCCACAACCCCACACTCGTTTTTCCTGTTCTCCCCCAGAGGGTAATACCTTTTCCCGTGTCTGAGAACCAGGCTGCTGTTTTCGCTCGTGTCTGGTCTGGACGACTCACTCTCCCAGATGCAGCCGAAATGAAGGCTTGGGAGGATGGCACTGTCATTAAAAAGGGGGGTGGAACGGCATTTCACCTTCTGCATTTCCCATTGGACGCAGACTACATGAATCTACTATACGAATGGGCAGGCAGGGCTGAACCGCGCCAAGGGTTGACCGACAACGGAAATGGTAAACAGGGCAACTACTGGGGGGAGAGGGAGAGATGGATGCGACAGTTGTTTCCTGAGATTAGGAGAACGTTCGTTGGAAAGGGGGATGAGCGGTACAAATTCAAAAGCATCGAGCAGCTGGGCTATGATTTTGAGACATTTAGAAAAGAGCAGGCACATCTTTGATTGACGTATATGTAGATACTAAATTAGCTACTAGATTATTAGATACTAGATATTACACATAGAATCTGGGGACATTCAGCTGGTCCGCTGCTGCTCTGACATACCTGGACCGTTATTTGAACTGTGGCTGTGGAGGCAGGCGCATACATCTTATACTAGTTCTGGTCATGTTTCTTGAGCTATTTCTGTCGCCGCAGCCGCTGGTGGCGCCAAACTTTTCCCGCAAATCCAAGAAGTTCTTCGTCAGGACAATGTCGCCTTCTGAGCCTCCATTAGGTGAGTGACCAATAAACATATCCAAGTTGAGGCGGATTTCATCTGTTAGCGTCTCCGCCTGTGTGAATGGTTCCTTCAAAACCATAACTGTACGTATGATGGTGTCGAACAGCCGGGCTATACTCCAATAGCCAACCCATAACGGGGTCGCGCACCTGGCGCAAAAAAACTTGTTTCGTTGTAAGTGGACATAATCCCATATACGACCTTATTGTCCTGCATGTACCCCGCTACCTGGCCAACAATGTGGGCATAGTTGCTCCAGGTGGACGAGAAATCGAGACTGATGCGGTTTGGAAGGCACTGTGTGGCACACTGCGACTTCCGATGGGATAAGCATTGTAGACACTGATTGTAATCGGCTTTTCGATCATATTATCATTATTGCAGTTGCCTAGTGAGATCGTTACGACAGTCGTGACAGTAGTTCCGGGAGTCTCCAGCCAGCCCCGAGCGTCAGTAGCCAGCCGTCGTGCGGATTCTGAAATCCCGACTTCAAGCACAAACTTGATGTCGCCAATGGCATCAGGTCCCCAACAGGCGTCTGGTTCCTTGGTCCCAATTCCCAAGCTTGGTCGCTGGCGATGACTGAATCAAGCCCTCGCTCTTAACCTGCATAGCGAACAGCTGGTCATTGGCCATCTCACGAAAGATGCCAATAGTGATCTCGTGATCTGGACACAGCATTGCTTTGACGACCAGGATCCGGTTCCGATCATAATAGTAGAGTAGAACCTTACGGGCCTTGGGATTGATGTCAGCGAGAACTTGAGAGAGGAGATTACAACTAGGTCAACGAGTGATGAAGAACTGGGAGGCGTGACGTTATTTATGAATATGACGGAGAAAGAAACGACTAACAGCACGCTTGCAACATGTCGAACTTTCATGACCGCGAGTATTCTGCCTTCAGGGCATTACTAGAAATAGATGACAAATTTAAGAGCCATGTCGAACGCATCTGCTTGATACAGGTAGTAGATCATTCCATACCGAGGAAAGAGCGAAACACCCGTCATAGTGGAGTTGGGCACTGATAAGATATCACGTGTCGGCGATCATCCGTGCAGCTATCCCCCGTCGTCCGAGTTCAGACCGAATTTCATACTCCCATTCACTTCTCCAGTTTCTTCATTGTTGCGCTCTGTGCAAATCACGTTTCACTTCCACAAGCGCTTACTTTCCTAAATAGTAGTCACCATTTACATCTCTCTTCACTGCGACTTTGTTACATCATCTTCCCACTATGGATTGCTTCACCTCTGCGATGCTCTCGGGACGCGCATAATGTGGCGCAAGCGCAAGATCTCTTATTCATCAGATAAATATAAGAAACAGAGGCTCAAAAACACGCACCCCATCATATCAAGTGACGAAGAAAACAACAACGAAAGTTCTGCCTTAGCCGAGGACGAATGGTATATCGACTGTATCCTTGACGAAACAGAGTCTCAGTATCTTATTGATTGGGAAGGGCCTTGGTCGCCTAGTTGGGTAAGTTGAGCACAGTCTACATAAACTACCCCATATAGTTAAAGGAGGCTCCCTGAATGTGGGTGTCACCTAACAAGCATACAATAACCAGGAGCCAAAGGAACACGCCAACGACGCTGCAATTCAGGTCTGGGAGGAGAAGAAGAGACATCGCCAGTTCCAGGCCGATACTCATCTGACTGAAATCTCAGAAACACAGTCAGCAATTCGATTCTCTCAAGGTCATAGTGCAAAGTCCGTCGGCTCTTCTGACCAGCGTTTGGAATCACGTGAGGGCTCGCCATTATTTGTTGCTTCTGATTCTGTATCTGAGCCACATCCAGCTCTGGAGGCCAATCGATGGTCTGAAGTCCCAGAGTCAAAGCGAACGACGCCTATTGCAGTCCCCACACTCTGCCATAGTGACCTAACTGGACCCATTCCCTCAGCAGCCCCACTGTCTGAGGCTGCATGTGTGTTTGAGTATACCCCGAGTACTGCTATTCCATCGGAGTATTTACTTCCTGGTGAAGTCCAAGGTTATCTTGCAACACAGACTACACGTAGTCCCAGAGGCACTCCAACTATTGCTAGTGAAGGTGAAGTATCAAGATCTGGCAATCTATTGACGCCGGAGGCTGCCCAAGGTTCTCAACAGCCAAAGTCAACTGCATCGCCCATCCTCCAAGAGCCATCTGGGACACCAACCTGTGGAAAAGTGGATGGAATCGCAGAAACTCCATCTGATACGCTGGCCGTTTTAGAAAGCCAGAAGTCGTTCCAGTATCCTTTGGCGAGACGTTTCGATTCACAACACACCCCCTCATCAGGAGGCTATCGGTCTGGGCTTAGTTCTTTGGTATCACAGCTATTACTGTCTGGGAGCTGTCTCTCCAAAGGCCACGTTAAAACTGATCGATTGAGGTCTACTGTATCAGAATCAAACCCGAGTACATCACAGGGATCCATAAATTCTCCCATTCAACCCCGGGGCCAGAGACCGTCATCTGCACGGCAGAGTAATAAAGTATCCATGATGTCTACTGGAAGCATGGAGAACCATAACCAAAAGAAAGAAGTACCGTCGTTGGCTGAAACCATGGAGAAGTATAGTCAGTATGAAGGAGCAACTCCGAGGGAGAAAATGAGAAATGCATACGCCCAGTTGAGCGCAAAAGCGAATTCTCTACAGGCTATTGATGTGAGCGTGACTCCATCATCTGTGGAAGATATCGAGCCCGTAGCGCCTGTATCCGTCCCCGAAACAGCCGCACCTCTCAGTGTTAGAGTTGACAAGGAACCCACTGTTCATCACACTGAGCCAGAAATGAATCCCGCTTCATCGGAACCACTTGAAGAAATGTCACATCAAGAACAAAGCATACAAACCATTCAACCAAGTGCCTTGACGGTCACCCATACCGAAGAAGTCCCTGCCGGATCAGTACATCTCGGTCCGTCTGAATTCGCCGTGCCACTTCCAATGGACTCCAGAGTCAAAGATGACTACGAACGAGTCCTGATGGATGAAACCCAGGGTATTCGGGATTTTCTTAGAGGGCCCAGTACTTCAGGGATGTCTAACGGGCAAGAACGCCTTGTGTCAAGAATGCGCGAGATATTAGGAAGTCTAAGTAACGTTACCACGCACCCCGACCTCAATATCGCAGAGCATATCAAAGATTCGGATTCAGATCTAAGAAAGGAGGCAGCTTGGGCTGAATACTCCAGCGCAAAATTTTTATTCCTAGGCTACCTTGTGGAAGTTGCATGTAACCGGGATATCCATCTGGTGATTATGGTACAGGGAGAGAAAACCCAAAAAGTGGTTGAGCGATACCTAATGGGCAAAGGTCTCGCATATACTCGACCTCGTGAGGAAATGGGGTCTGGTACCAATCTGGAGGTTTCCCTGGTGAAAGGTTCCTTGAGTTTGGGGATCCAATCTACACATAGTGAGGGGATAACTGAGACTTATAAATCACCCTCTGCAATCATTGCACTGGACTCGTCTTTAAATGTGAAGAGCCCTTCGGTCGAGCATATGCGAACCACCTTTGCTCGTCATGGCAACCTACTTCCCATTATTCGACTCCTTGTCTCAAACTCCAGTGAGCACATTGAGCTTTGTTTCCCGGATCCTCCAGAGCTTCAACGCCTACAGTCGATTATCCAATATACCGTTCGTCTTCGTAATATAGTAGGTGATTTGCAAGACGATGCCCTTGGTGTACGTGAAGACGTGGAAGAGATATTGCCTTGGCTTTCTTCAGATCACTTCAGCCTCAGCTGGCCTTTAACCTCTATTGAACCTTTGCACATCGTGAGCTCGGATGAGCTGTTATCTGTTCAACTTGAAGCTCAATCCCAGACCACTGTTGCCGGTACTCCAAACCCCAACACACAAGCTCAAAAGCGTGTATTTGTGGAAGACTCGGGAGAGCATACGGCTAAAAGGCCAAGGATGGAAATGACACAGGATAATACGCAACTTACCGAATCAACGAAATTTCCAAGTCAAACCCTGGATAGCGGTCTGCATGCATTGGAGAAGAATCTCGTGCAGATGAGAGCAGCACATGCGGCTGAACTTGAGAAGTTCCAGAATGCATTAACCGACATGCAATCCCGTTTGCAGGAGAGAGAAAAACTACTCGAGTCGCTCCAGCATCGCTATGAAACTCGAACTAAAGACCTCCATAAAATTCGCCGGGAGCGGGATCAGCTAGCCGAATATAAAGTCACGTCAGAGCAGAAAATTGAAAAGCAAAGAGAGGATATTGGCAAACTAAAGGATGAGCGTACCCAGCTAAAGCATGATCTCGAGCAGGCCAGGGGGGAGATCAAAACTGGAGGAGGTGCTGTAGCAGAGCTGGAGATGGCTCGGGAAGATATTCGGCGCCTCACACAAGAAAATTCCGGCTTGGAACGGAAGGCAGAATACGAGGCCAAGCAAGCCGAATACACTCGCGAGCAGTACCAGAATGCTTCTAATATGGCGGCTCAAGCCGGGAACGAGGTCCGCCAACTTCGAGAAGAGAACGAGTTATTAAAGCATAAGGTTGCTGGTAATGCTAGTCGCCTACGAGAGATCAATATAGAGAACGACGGGGCACGGCATCTCTCTCGAATCTCTGAATTGGAAACTGCTCTAGCATCTCGTGAAGATCTGTTACGCCGAAAAGAAGATGAGCTGCGGGAAATCCGCAAGAACCGTCCCTCTACCCGCTCGACGAGCACTCAACCTCGCAGTCCGAGATTGGCCGCTGGAAGTCGCCCAACGAGCCCAGGAATCAATAGTCATAACGGGCGTGGCAGCGCGTTGAGGTTCAGCTCCGATATGCCTGTTTAAGAGGCTCTTACCTGTTTTTGCATCAGTCCCACCGATTTAAGTGGAACTACTATCACGTTGCAGCGACTCCACCGATTTCATTCTTGCGTGCTATGACGTTTACATAGAAGGGGCGTGAATCCGATGCTTTTCTTTCGTCAATGACTTTGCATTGTCTGGGCGTTTTGTATGCCTGCACCCTTTTTCCCTTCTTTTTTTTATCTCTTTTTTTTGTGTTTGGACCCTGCGCCCCTTCTCAAGTTGTCTACGTTAGATTTTGAATTGGATTCTATCTATCAATGTACATCATCCTTATGGCTACATTGCTCGATTTTATTGCAATTTTCGTCCTGTTCTACTGCCCTAGCATCCAATACCAGCGATTAGTCAATATATAGGCTGTTTTAGTACTGTTTATGCTACATGAAGATGTCTCGTGGTTCCAAAATGTATAAATGATTAATTACATACAATTATTACCGTACATTAGTTATTGTATGACAGTGCTTTAATCCCTGTGTATCAAAAACATGAGACCGACGACAGAACCAAGCCATATAAACGAGTGAGAAAAATAAGTGCAATATAATAATAAAAAGAGAATATAATCAGGTTCATCAATCTTTAAGCCATGGCGTTAGCCATAAAATTAGACAACTCTTTCGCTTTTTCGCCCTTCGTCATCGTAAAATGATTAGCATCTTCCATTACCGTGATTCCACCAATATTCTCAGGTCCGACCAATGTATCCCACTTGTTAGGCCCCAGGTCGGTCCGGTCATTGAGAAGCCAGACCATCTCCTTGGGATCCTTGGAACCGTCCGTCGGGGGATCAGGCCGGGGGTCTCCCGGCTTCCCGCAAACACCGTCCTTAGCCCAGATGATATAGGTCTTGGGCATTTTCTTGGCCCATTTGGCGTCTGTGAATGGAAGGGGCACGGCCTTGTATGCATCAAGGGAGTCGATAAAGGCGAGGAAGTGAGGGAGGAGCCAGGAGGGTGGTGCCGTTTTACCTTCGCCGAAGAGGCCGATCGTGTTGAAGAAGCCGTACAATCTCTGCGGCAGCTTCTCGAGCCCAATGGGGAATGGTGTGTCAAGGAGAAGCAAGCGGTCGACTTGCTCGCCTTCCTCGAACATTAGATGGCGTGCTGCATCGTATGCACAGATGCCTCCTGCTGACCAGCCGCCGAAGCTGTAGGGACCCTTCGGTTGCCGACGACGAATCTCTGCTACGTAGGGAGCAGTGAGTTCGTCCAGGCTGCATTTGAGCTTCTCAGGTGTCTTCATGTAAGGACAGTTCAGTCCGTACACGCAGACGTCGGGAGAGAGTCCCGGGATGGTGGCGTAGGATGTAGCTGAGCCGGAGCCGTCGGGGAACAAGAATAACGTCTTTGTTGCTGTCCTGGGGTTTCCTTGTAACAGGATGGATGTGGCCTTGGGATGTTGAGTAAGCTTTGGCTGAAGGTCATGGATAGCGTCAGAGAACTTGACTGGCTCTGGCATGGGAGTTGGCTGGGCGGCCGTCTTGGGTTTTAGGTCCAAAGCCACCTCTATATCATTGAGGGTCTGGTTTTCGATGAAGAACTCCCCTGGCAAGTCCATGTCCAAAGTCTCTCGTATTCTTCCGAGAACAGTCAGGGAGAGAAGCGAATCCATTCCCATCTCTCCCAAGTTCTCTTCAGGGTCAATCTCTTCCGCGGACACCCCGATCTCCTCCGCCACGATGGTACGAATTCCCTTCATGGTGTCGTTTTGCTCGACCTGAGCTACCTTCTCATTCGGCGGTGATGTGATCTCAGGAGTGCTTGCACTTGAAGACTCGCCACCGTTGAAAGAGAAGTTCGACTCTTGTTCACTGGAAGATCCATCATGGCTCTCTGAAGGACTCACTTGGGCGATGAGCCGCTTGAAGTCATTGACGCTTGGGTGATCGGTGAACACAGAAGATTCCAAATCGAGGTTCAACTCTTCACGATACCTGCCAGTGATTGTTAGGGAGAGGAGCGAATCTACACCGTAGTCCGCAAACACCAGGTCGTCTGATATATCAGACTCTGCCAGACCAACTTCCTGGGCCAGAATGCTGAGTGCGCGTACGACCACACTCGGTCCAGAAGATTTGGTGAAGGACTTGGATGGCACGGGCGCTTTGGGACGGGCCTTGGCAGCTGTGTTGGCCTTCTGAGTGGGAGCTGGGGGTGGTGATTTGGCTGCAATCGGTGCCTTTGAGCCTCCAACAGGGGGAAGAACGGTGTCAAGTATCTTGCGTGCCAGTGCTTGGAACTATTCATCATGTCAGTAAAAGGGAAACCAAAAAGCAGTAGTGAGGTACCAACCTTGACACCTCCAAAGACAGCAATGATATCGTCACCCTCAAAGATGTAGACGTCTCCAGCCCAAATGTTGTTTTGCCATGGTTGCATCCTCACATAAGTGCGATAAGTGACATCAGGTGAGAACTTCTTCAGGCAACGCATCGAATCCCACCCATGATTAACAAATACTTGGCTCTTAGAATCGGTCGCATCGCTCGCGTTCATGATGAAACCAGACAGGTGACCGAAGCTGTCAATCCAGAATGGGTTTCGATGGAAATTGCCTGGCGGCGCTTGGAATTTGACACGAGCCGTGGCCTCATTGTTGTCGCTGTCCAGGATAACCTCGCGGATTGACTTGTAGTTGTCATCATAATCGACCAACGCGCTGAAAAGCTTATACACCATTCCTCGCTGGATACGGTGAGCCTCCCCTGTTTCCACATTCTGGTGAAGACTGTCGATGCTTCTCTTGACCAAGTACGAGATCCTCTTCCACTCGAGCTCGGAGGCACTGGTATCAAAGAACTTCACCGTGCAATGCGCATGGTCCACGGTCTTTTTGCCGTCAGCATTGACAGCATATACTTGAACTGAAGCCTTCTTTTCAGCCCAGTTGGCAGTAGCAGAGACTCGGAAGAGCTGCTCCCCTCCCTTCGCGATGAGTGGCTTCGGCACGACCATGTCACACACATCGAGACCAAGATCTTTAAACTCAGGGTTGTATTTCTCGATGAGGTATTCTCCAAGCGTCTGGGCAATATCCGCGTAAAGTGACTGTACAGAATGTAAGTGGCTGGGTTATAATGATAGTCTGGTCATGCATGTATTACTTACCGATGGGCAAAGTGCGGCTCCATTGACCTTGTGGCCTTGGATAACACGGTTCAACTCGGGATCAGCGATGTCATTTTGTACCACAACAGTCGCTGTTTTACCATCGTCGCGGCTCTCAACAACCCTTTGTGCAGAAGTTGTCAGGAATGTAGCTTGTGGTGCAGCTTGAATTGCAGTTTGAGGAGCACCCTTGGTAAGGCAGAAGTTATTGGTGTAGGGTATCCAGTAGTTTTTGAGATCCCACTTGTAGGAAGGAAGCGGGAGCACCTGGTGGCTGGAGCTGAAATCCTGATGATATTCTTTCCAATTAATCTCAATGCCAGCCAAATGAAGGGCCGACAGACTATTGGAGAGGACCTTCCATGCATTCTCCTCTCGGCGAAGAGACGCCACGGTGGTAACTTGAGGGCCGAATGTTGCTTTGATCATACCAGAGCAAATGGTATGGCCACCAACTTCAAGCCAGACAGTCTTATCATTCATTAACTTCGCATATCTGGTGGCCTCCAGCGCTCCAAGGAAGTTCACCGACCTCCGGCACTGTTTCGCCATATATTGAGCTCCCAGAACATCGTAATTAGATTCTGTGATGACTTCTCCCAGAAGTGAGGAGACAAACGGCAACGACGGCTTACGGAACGTGACACCCTGGGCTTCTTCTTGAAACTGTTCAAGAATTGGGGCAACTTGCGCAGAATGGAAAGCGAACGGCACCCTTAGTTTAGTAGACTTCCAACCTTCAGTGGAACACCTTTGAGCCAAGTGATCGATATCGGCGGTAAGGCCACTGACAACGGTCTCACTGGGTGAGTTGACACAGGCAACTTCATCCACACCTTCCTTCAGCAACTGCTTGACCTGTGGGTATGAAGCCTTGACTGCCAGCATGGCGTGCGTTCCAGTCTGGCAGTTTTCTGTAAGGAGCGTAGCCCGACGACCACAGAGGTAGATAGTATCGGAAGTCGACAATACACCTGCTGTATTCAAGGCAGCAAACTCTCCAAGGCTATGCCCAAGGACGAATGCAGGTCTTATACCCAGTGAATCCCAGTATTTGACCAAAGCCATCTGAAGACACGTGGTACCGAGCTGTGTCACGACAGGGCCCAGCTCCTCCACAGGTACGCTTCCATCAACCAAAGGAAGGATTGAAGGAAATCCTTGGCTTCGGCTGATGCAGTCGAAATGCTGCATTGTTGTCCGAAATTGGGAGCATTTTTCATACAGTTGCCTTCCCATTCCGGTGTGCTGGGCTCCTTGGCCAGTGAACGCGAACCCTACTCCAGGGGCCGTCGCAGGAACAGAGCTGAAGCTTTCCTGGCGAGAGCTGTTGTTAAGGGAGTCACGCAGCTCCTGCAAGCTGGATCCGGTGGCTGTGACACGGAACGGGTGATGGACACGCCGTGCTGTGGTAGTGTATGCCAGGCTTGGAATAAACTCTGCCTCGCTTACATTGAATGACCTTCCTTGTTCATCAATGTATTTTACGAGAGAGTTGATGTTATTTTTGAGTGCACTCTGGGATCGTGCCGACACAGCCACAACATGAACAGATCGAGTATCCTGTCCCTTAACCTCAGGAATTGGAGCATCTTCCAGCAGAAGAGCGGTATTTCCACCAGCCGCCGAAAAATTGTTGATGAAGCACTGCCGCTTTCCTGAGGCTGGTCGGTTCCAGGGTGTAGGTTGGAAGGCAATGTGGACATTGCGCTGTGCGAGATCCGTGGGGAAGTTGTGGTTGATCTTAGTCTTGATACCACAATGAGGGGGTATGGTATTCTTCTTCATCATTAGAAGCACCTTCAGAAGTGCAGTTACACCAGATGCTGACTCTCCATGCCCAATATTTGCTTTGGCGGAACCAAGATGGAGGGACTGTCCTGGTCCACGGCGGTAGTCGGGGGCAAATGTATCCAAGACCGACTGCATTTCCACTGCATCCCCAGCTTGAGTACCGGTTCCGTGCATTTCAACATAGCTGACGTCTTTGGGGTCGATATTCGCATCGTTCAGCAGTTTATTAAAGATAAATGCTTGTGCGCCAACATGAGGGCGGGTAATCGAGACAGCTTCTGCCGAGTGATTGGTATAGGCCCCATTGATCACACCGAGGATTGGATCGTTATCTGCCTGAGCGTCTTCCAGCCGCTTGAGAATGATCGTACCCACTCCATCTGCTCTACAGTAGCCATCAGCGCCATCGTCGAATGTGTTACAATTCCCGGTTCTGGACAGGAAATGGCCCCGGTCAAGACCGGCATGGTTGTCGGGGTTCGTCAATATATTGACACCTCCAGCAATAGCGGCATCGCAGTCGTTTCTCCAGATCGAAT